GTTGCGATTCACCGCTTCTGCACATGCGCGTGACGTCATTTTGAGCGCGAGCGGCGAAACCCGGAAGTAACGCGCTCTGTTACTTCCGGGTCGCCGCAGAGCGCAACCCGAAAACGCTCAACCTAAAGCTACTTCAACCCGAGGTATGACTATATTCTTAGTGTCTTGTAGGCCTTAAGCAACTAAAAATAGCCCTGATTATTTTAGCAAAGGATGGGGTGCAAATTCAACGCAGAAGGGCTTTCTGGGTGCTGGCGAGACAGGCAGCGGCCCCTGGGGCCAGCCCCTGCAAGCCTCCTCCCCAGGCGGTCAGCTCTTTTCTGCACACAGCCACTCTGAACGCCACTCTCCGTTCTGCTCTCCTCCCAGGCCAACCTACGCGACACCCAAAGTCCTGGAAAGGGCCGGCTTAACAATGGCAGACATTGATGTCTTTGAATTCCACGAGGCCTTTGCAGTAAGTATTTCTGGAGAGGGGAGGCTGAGAGGCCATAAGACAGCCCTCTTCAAACATCTGAAGGGCTGCCGTGTACAAGACTGAACAAGCTTGCTGTCTCCAGATTCAAAGGGTGGGACCTGGACCAGTGGTCTCCAATGTTGAATCCTCCTTCCTTTGAGGCTTTAAAACAGAGATTGCGTGACAGGGATTCCTGCCTTGCAGGGGGCTGGACTAGATGGCCCTTGGGGGCCCCTTCCGAGCCTACAGTTCTAGGACTCGATTTTTCCCCCAGTAAAAAAATCCAATTAATATGTCCAATCATCATGCTCCAATTCAAATAAACTAAAATAAAAAAGAGCAAATTATAGTCCAAATTATAATTATGAATTTTTCTGAGCTCCCCACGGTTTGTATCTCTGAAGCATATCTCCACATCTTAGTCCTGCTTCTCCTTGTATCCATATTTTCCACATCTCGATTTTAACGCTTCTACAGTTCTAGGACTCTATCTGCTGTTGCTGCCCAGAGCATCATCCTTCCTCTCCCTTTTCCCTCCTAGGGGCAGATTCTAGCTAATATGAAAGCGATGGATTCAGACTGGTTTGCCCAGAACTACATGGGCAGGAAGTCTAAGGTAAGGGGCCGATGTTGGCAGTTTCGCTGTGAATGTGCGTCCTCCTCCTTTATAGCCTCCCCTATGCCTTGCCTGCTGGTGACCTGTATGCTTTAATACATTGTGTGTGTGTGTGTGTGTGTGCGCGCGCATATATTCAACGCTTGGGCACAGAGCTAGATTTAGGTTTGATGAGACCCTAAGCTACCCTAAGCTACTAAAGGTCATAGGGCCCTTTATATGTCCAGCTGTTTTTTTGTGTTGAATATATGCTATATGGTAATTTTTGTAAAGCGAGATGAGCGCCGCAACCCCAGAGTCGGCCACAACTGGACCTAATGGCCAGGGGTCCCTTTACATTTTACCTTTTTGCCTTGCCTGCAAAATGGAAAGGGCCTAGGGCCGAGGCAGCATCGTTGAAGAGTGGCTGGGGAAACTCAGCCAGGTGGGTGGGGTATAAATAATAAATTATTATTATTAATATTATTGAGGAGACGATGGTTGGAGCTGGATCAGTGGCTCCCAAATCTTTCCCCAAGGACCACTTGAAAGTGCACTGTGCTCGAAGCTCTGTGATTTTTAATGTCATTTTATTGCTGCTTTTATTTATTTCATTGTATTACACAGTGAATTCTACGGAAATTCAAATTGAACATGTGCTTTACCTGTGCATCACCTGAATGAAACTGGCAGGCCACTGGTGGCCTGAGGACCAGAGTTTGGGGGACCCCTGAACTCAGTACCCAGTTTTCAAGGCCAGGGCTTTCTTTCCCTTCTCACTGCCCCCACGGCTTTGCTCCTTTGGTGGTCTTGATGCGGCTGACCTTGAAGGTCTTCCACCAGGAGCTGATCCTTCCCCACATTGGTGGTGAGTTTGGTAACTCGCACTCAGGGCCCTACTTTTCTCTTGCCTTCTGCTTGCAGGTCGGCGCTCCCCCTCTGGAGAAGTTCAACAACTGGGGCGGATCCCTGTCCCTGGGACACCCCTTTGGGGCCACCGGCTGCCGCTTGGTCATGACCGCTGCCCACCGGCTGAAGAAGGAAGGAGGGCAGTACGGCCTAGTGGCCGCATGCGCCGCTGGAGGACAGGTAAGCCGAAGGAGCACCACCACGCCCTCCCAGTGGGACTGCCGCCTGCTTGCCTTGACATTGGCCACGATCTCAGCCCATGCAGGGTCTTGCTAAATAGCAGCCTTTGCTGTCCTCCTTTCCCAGAAATCCCATCCCCTTCCTCCTTCCTGCCTCTCTGTGGGAGGGGAGAGGTTTGTTCCTCCACCTGCAGGTCCCTTCATGAATAAACCCTTTCCTGTTCCTCTTCTGCCTGCAGGGCCACGCGATGATCGTGGAGCGTTACCCACAGTAACCCCATCCAGGACTGTCTTCCTCTTGCCCTTCGTGACACAGCCGTCCCGCTTCAATGCGCTAATGCCAGAATCCCTCCCTGGTCCTTCCTCAAAAGGACACCCAATGGCCTTTGTACATATTTTCTAGTAGCAGTTGGACCCTTGGAAGTTCTGCCTAGTCCATAGAGGGGGCCTTCTGCAGTTGGTATCTTCTGAAATGCAGGACACCTCCCCCTTGTATTCTTGCATGAGAACACGTTAAAAGATTTGGAGTGCTCTGACTTCCGAAAGCAGGAGTAAGTCCAGAAATGAATGGTTCGGTTTTTAAAGTTAAGCCTGTTGCCGTATTTCAATAGGGTTTTCGATCTGAACTGCAGTCAACTGGGATATTTAATTTTCCCCGAGGGGTGAGGGCTTAGCACGAAGGAAGTGGACTGTTAACAAAGGTGGAGCGTTTGTGTCTCCACACCTGTGCCTTAATAAATGAGAGATACAAGGTGGGGATGGCGAGTGTGTGTCTTATTCTCTCCAGTTATTTCCACAGTCCTTGAGGGGGCAGGCAGCCTGCAACAGACCCCACCACCACCAACATTACAGTGGGGATTCCTCAGAGCTCAGGTCTCTTGGCTCCTACAGGGTGATATCAGCTCACGGCGGGGTGGGGTGGGGGAATCTGTTTGCTTCAGCCATTATTATACCCCACCAATCCATCCACAGGGGTTCAGCTATTCTCTACCATCATTTAATTCTTGTAAGCACTTCATTCATTCATTCATTCATTCATTACATTTTTATCCCCCTATTTTTTATCCAAGGAGCTGAAGGGGGCGCACATGGCGGGTTCCCCCCTCCTAATTTAATCCCCACAACAACCCTGCGAGGCAGTGACCAGCCCAAGGTCACCCCGTGAGTTTCACAGCCCAAGTCCCACACGCTAACCACTATACAGCACCTGCTTTTAACACCAGCTTGCTCTTTAAAGTTATTAAACTTTAATAACTGCCTTCATCTATAGATCGCAGGTTCACAACATAAAAATGCAAGATAAAAAACACAAAATATATGAGAAAAAACCTGATAACTCCCCTCCACGTACAAAACATATTTAAAAGGATATCGGATGTTAGTCAGCCCAAGGCCTGGTTGAAAGAGAACATTTTCAGCTGGCACCTGAAGGTGTATAATGAAGGTGCCAGGCAAGCCTCCCAGGGCAGAGCGTTCCACAAACTGCAGAAAAGGCCTGATCCTGTCTTGTCCAGAAGGCCCGCTGCTGGCATGGTGTTCCTGGTTGAAGGTGAAAGCGAGTGGCAGAACTGGCTTCCTACATTTCATAAAAGGAACTTTTGCTCCTGGTTTCCAAAAGCTGCAATATGTTTTTGACCAGGCAGGGAGGAGGAGGGTGGCAAGCCGAGAGCCATTTTCTACTGCCCAAAGCTGTGGGGCTGGAAGATGACAAGAATTTATTTTAATTCTAAAAAACACACAATACACAGCCCTCTTCTGTCCTCAAAGCCAGCTTTGCTCTTTTAATTTCCCACCCTACACCCGAAGCCAGGCATCTTGTTTACAATACAAAAAGGGGGGGGGCTTTGTACTGGGACCCCAGACTTGAGGGACGACTCTATTGAGATTTGCAAGGGCTTATGTGTAAGAGTGGGTTGGACGTGGGTGGCGCTGTGGGTCATCATCATCCTTTTTATTCGACCGTCAGTCAGAAAAAAATACATTTTATCAATACACAGTTAAAACATCCAGGAAGATTTTAAAACTTAGCCAACACTAAAATGGGCTAAACAGATAGCCCCATAGACCACAGAGCCTAGGGCTTGCCAATCAGAAGGTTGGCGGTTCGAATCCCCGCAATGGGGTGAGCTCCCATTGCTCGATCCCTGCTCCTGCCAACCTAGCAGTTCGAAAGCACATTAAGTGCAAGTAGATAAATAGGTATTGCTCCGGCGGGAAGGTAAATGGCGTTGCCGTGCGCTGCTCTGGTTCGCCAGAAGCAGCTTAGTCATGCTGGCCACATGACCCAGAAGCTGTACACCAGCTCCCTCTGCCAATAAAGTGAGATGTGGTCGGTCACGACTGGACCTAATGGTCAGGGGTCCCTTTACCCTTTACCTTTAAACAGGGATGTCTTCTAAAAGTAGTGTAGTTCTTTATTTCCTTGACATCTGATGGGAGGGCAATACACAGGGCAGGTGCTACTACCAAGAAGGCCCTCTGCCTGGTTCCCTGTAACCTGGCTTCTCACAGTGAGGGAACCGCCAGAAGGTCCTCGGAGCTGGACCTCAATGTCCGAGCAGAACGATGGGAGTGGAGATGCTCCTTCAGATATACTAGACCGAGCCCGTTTAGGGCTTTCAAGGTCAGCACCAACACTTTGAACTGTGCTCGGAAACGTACTTGGCCGCTGTGGGAAGGGACTCTGCCTTCAAAGAAGGATAGGGTTCTCAAAGCTGGGCTGGCTCTGCAGGCCTTGCCTGCCCACATATCCCCCTGAAAAGTTGTTCCTGGTGACATGGAATCAGCCACCCTTAACGTTTTGGTTGGCCAGAGGAGATCCCCACCCTCTTGCTTGCTCACCTGTGTGACTTCCAGCCTCTCAGTTGCTGAGTTTGGAGTCCAGCGTTTCGCTCTTGGTCTGTGGACCCAATTGGGAGAAACAGGAGGTTGAGTAAACCGGCCCTACCATTTTACTGTTGCCCCTTGATTCCACCTGGCACCATCCCAGGAAGCAGTGGGGAGCCCCCAGCCTGGCTCCGTTGCCTTCCCCCGCCCCCCAAAGCCGAGGGGAGAGAGAAGCCGCTTCGCCCAGCAGCAAGGAGGATAGCCTAAGGACCTAAGAAGAACCTGCAGGCTCGGGCCATGGGGCCATCTAGTCCACCCAAATTCCCGTAAAAAAACTAAGACGGATAGACTGCCTCTGGACTTGGAGGTTCTGTAAGAGCATAGGAAGAGCTTGCTACATCCGGCCAATGGCCCCTACTAGTCCAGCATCCTGGTGGCTGACCATATGCCCGTGGGAAGCCTGCAAGCAGCATCGCTCTCCCTTCCTTGTCAGCATAGCAACCCCTGTCCTCAGAGGTCTGCACTGACTGCTGATTGGCTACTGGGCCAAGTTCAATATGTTACTGTGGGGATAGAAAGCCCTTAACTTGGGACCAGTTTTCCGATGAGATAACCTTTCCCGACATAAATCCGCTAGACCACTTCGATTGGTGGAATTGGCACGATTACAGGTGCCACACTCAGAGGGAGTGACATATAAAATAATAATAATAATAATAATAATAATAATAATAATAATAATAATAAAGTAAAAAGTAAAAAGACAGGAGTGCCTGGCGTGCTCTGGTCCATGGGGTCACGAAGAGTCGGACATGACTAAACAACAACAACAATAATAATAATAATAGTTATTACAGTAGTACCTCGGGTTACATATGCTTCAGGTTACAGACTCCGCTAACCCAGAAATATTACCTCGGGTTAAGAACTTTGCTTTAGGATGAGAACAGAAATCGTGCAGCGGCAGCGGGAGGCCCCATTAGCTAACATGGTGCTTCAGGTTAAGAACAGTTTCAGGTTAAGAATGGACCTCCAGAACAAATTAAGTACTTAACCCGAGGTACCACTGTATTGTGCATTCCTAAGAACATTTAGTGTGGCAGCACCTAAACTTTGGAACTCCCTGCCTGCTGATATCAGGCAGGTGTTTTCCCTGGACCCTCTTAGGCAACTGCTAAGAACATTCTCGTTTAGCCTACCCAGATGTTTAGAAAGCTGGGTTTCAGAAGCATCGCTGCCTCTGATTATGGAGGCAGAGTCATCTGGCCACTGTGATCCACGCGACGGTCACCTCCAGTCTTGATTATTGTAACTCACTCTATGTGGGGCTGCCCTTGAGACTGACCCAAAAACTCCAGCGGGTGCAGAATGCCGCGGCGAGACTCCTTACGGGGTCCTTGCCATGGGATCACATTCACCCGGTGTTCAACCAGCTGCACTGGCTCCCGGTGGAGTACAGGATCAGGTTTAAGGTGCTGGTTTTAACCTTTAAAGCCCTATGAGGCCTAGGACCCTCGTACCTACGGGACCGCCTCTCCTGGTATGTCCCACGAAGGACCTTAAGGTCTTCAAATAAAAACATCTTGGAGGTCCCAGGCCACAGGGAGGTTAGGCTGGCCTCAACCAGAGCCAGGGCTTTTTCGGCTGTGGCCCCGATCTGGCGGAACGCTCTGTCCCAAGAGACTAGGGCCCTGCGGGACTTGACATCTTTCCGCAGGGCCTGCAAGATGGAGCTTTTCCACCAGGCCTTTGGCCAGGGCACAGCCTGACCCCCTCCTTTGGAAATCCTCACAGAACTCTAGCCCAATGGTTGCCATTAATTTGATTCTGAATTGATTTTAGAATGAATTGATTTTAGAATGCTGTGTTACTTTTATTGTTGTTAGCTGCTCTGAGCCCAGCTTCAGCTGGGAAGGGCGGGATATAAATAAAATTTTATTATTATTATTAGCTATCGATAGCCCTGTCCTCCTCCATGAATTTGTCCCATCCTCTTTTCAAGCCATCCAAGTTGGTGGCCGTCGCTGTCTCCTGTGGCAGGGAGTTCCACAGTTTATGAACTGCGTGAAGAAGTGTTTTCTGTGCTGCCAAGGTTTTTGATGGAGCTGCTCCTCTGGAAAAGCTGTAGGAAAGGGTTGTGGTGAGAAGAAGCCCTGGAGGCTTCTCCAGAGGGAGAGCCAGCTGCAAGGGGCAGGTAATCAGATTCTGGATAAATAGGAGGCTGAAGCAAAGGGCCTCAGCAAAGGATCCACGGCCTCCAAGCCTGGACACCAGGTGAAAAAGGGGAGGTGGCAGTTCATTCCCAGCGAAGCTGGTTGTGCGAAGGCAGGGAATTTGAGGCCAGCTGGGACCTTGCTTACCTGAGATGCAGGTGACTTGCACAGACGCTTGCAAAGCGCTCCTCTCACCTGTAAGAAACAAACAGTGACTCCTGAGGCCATTGGAGGAACATGTGACAGTCCTGGCCATGAGCATCCTCTGTTAGGGAGTTTTTGCAGTATAAACCAGCATCATAGAATCATAGAATCATAGAGTTGGAAGAGACCACAAGGGCCATCGAGTCCAACCCCCTGCCAAGCAGGAAACACCATCAGAGCACTCCTGACATATGGTTGTCAAGCCTCTGCTTAAAGACCTCCAAAGAAGGAGACTCCACCACACTCCTTGGCAGCAAATTCCACTGTCGAACAGCTCTTACTGTCAGGAAGTTCTTCCTAATGTTTAGGTGGAATCTTCTTTCTTGTAGTTTGGATCCATTGCTCCGTGTCTGCTTCTCTGGAGCAGCAGAAAACAACAGAAAGCATCCCTTTCACCTCTCTATTTGCATGTCCTGTCCTGGGGGGGTCATCGGTCCAAAGCGACAGTTTCCATCACCATTTTTGTGGTTGTTGTATGGAAGTGAGAGCTGGACCATAAAGAAGGCTGATCGCCGAAGAATGGATGCTTTTGAATTATGGTGCTGGAGGAGACTCTTGAGAGTCCCATGGACTGCAAGAAGATCAAACTTCTCCATTCTGAAGGAAATCAGCCCTGAGTGCTCACTGGAAGGACAGATCCTGAAGCTGAGGCTCCAAGACTTTGGCCACCTCATGAGAAGAGAAAACTCCCTGGAAAAGAGCCTGATGTTGGGAAAGATGGAGGGCACAAGGAGAAGGGGGCGACAGAGGAGGAGATGGTGGGACAGTGTTCTCAAAGCTACCAGCATGAGTTGGACCAAACTGCGGGAGGCAGTGGAAGACAGAAGTGCCTGGCGTGCTCTGGTCCAGGGGGTCACGAAGAGTCGGACACAACTAAACAACTAAACAACAACAAAGTTGTTTTCAAAGTTCTCACCTGCCCTGGGGAGTGAATGATTGGCCACAAAGTTTTTTTTTAAAGGAGCAAAATCAACTGTGTGGGGTTCAAAGCCAGCAAGCGGCCTGAAGAAACCAATTGTGGGTCACAGCCCCTGCCCCAGAGATGTAGAACAGGCATAGGCAAACTCGGCCCTCCAGATGTTTTGGGACTACAATTCCCACCATCCCTGACCACTGGTCCTGTTAGCTAGGGATGATGGGAGTTGTAGTCCCAAAACATCTGGAGGGCCGAGTTTGCCTATGCCTGATGCAGAAGAAGCTTCCGCCCCTAAGTGCATCTCCCACCCCTATTGTGGGTCTCAGTGACCGGTGCTTGGACTGGCAAAGATCCTTCCCTCCTGTGGGCGATGCAGTCAGAAGCCCCTCACATCTTTGTGCTTGGAAAAGCCTCCACATCACCCCCCACTCCAGGTCTCTGAGACCCTCCTGGTTGGAAAAAAACAAAACAAAACACTGCCAATTTGGGGAGGGTGTGCTGCTTACCTTCTTGTCCATGAGGCAGCCAAAAATCAGAATGAAGACCCCCTGCAACAGAGAAGAATGTTGCTTAGTGAAGACCCTTCAGCGGCCTTAAACAAAATACCGTATTTTTCGCTCCATAAGACGCACCTAGTTTTTAGAGGAGGAAAACAAGAAAAAATATATTCTGAACGAAACAGTGGATGTATGATTTTTGTGGTTCATGCTGTGGCCACAGACATGTGATTGGACGGAAAGTTTGGGGTAGCCCAATGCAAAAATCCTGAGGATCCATGTGGATCCGTGCTTTGTAACCACATTCTTGCACCATTGCAGCCCCACGCAACAATGGATGTGTGTGTGTTTTTGGTGCAGGCTGTAGCCATGGACATGCTATGTGATCTGATGGTGAATTTGGGGGTGACCCAATGCAAAAGTCCTGAGGATCCGTGGGCTTTTACATCGCCCCTCCCAGGCAGCCTCCTTTATCTCTAGCATCCATTATCTCCCTCCCGATCGTTTACCGATCAGCTGTTTCCTTTCAACACTCCCTTCCCTCTTGTTTGCCTTAGTGTCTTTTCCTCAGCTGGAGCAGTTTTTTGCTCCTCCTTTTCTTCTAATTTCTGTCCATTGCTTTAGTCTTCCTGTCTCCTCTCCTTGCAAGTTTGCTGTCTTTACCTCCCCCCTCCCAGGCAGCCTCCTTTATTGCTAGCGTCCCTTACTTCGCTTCCGATCGCTTCCGATCAGCGGCTTTGTTTCAACACCCCCTTCCCTCTTCCAAAAAAAATAAAAAAGCATGATCTGCTTTTAGCCCCTGGGCAATTTGGCTCCAGGGACCACACATTTGCTCCATAAGACGCACAGACATTTCCCCTTACTTTTTAGGAAGACAAAAAGTGTGAAGTGTGTCTTATGGAGCGAAAAATATGGTACTTCAGAGTCTGCTCCAAAAAACAAGTCTTTCCTCATTCCTAAAAAAAGCTCAACAGCTCAACAACTTTGATGTGAACCAGTTTTTAACTCTGTGAGTAGATCACTGTCTCTTGGGAGTTGGCCACCCCTGTTCTATCTCATCTCAGTCTCATCTTACCCAGGCCAAATTTACCCAGCTCCTTCAACTGCTCCTCATCAGGCTTGGTTTCCAGACCATTGATCCTCTTGGTTGCCCTCCTCTGCCCACCTTCCAGCTTGTCAATATCCTTCTTAAATGGTGGCACCCAGAACTGGACACAGGACTCTAGGTGGGGGTCTGACCAAGACAGAATAGAGTGGGACTATGACTTCTCTTGATCTGGACACTAGGTTTGATGTAGCCTAGAATAGCATTCGCCTTTTTTGCTGCTGCATCACACGGTTGGCTCATGTTCAGCTTGTGGTCTGCTAAGACCCCGAGATTCTTTTCACATGTGCTGTTGCCAAGCCAGGTGTTCCCCATCCTATATTTGTGCTTCTGGTTCTTCCTGCCTAAGTGCAGACCCTTGCATTTGTCCCTATTGAAATTAATTATGTTAGTTTGGGCCCAATCTGTTAAGATCATTTTGAATTCTGATTCTGTCTTCTGTGACATTAGCTACCCCTCCCAATTTCATGTCATCTGCAAATTCGATGAGCTTCCCCTCAATTCCTACATCCAAGTAATTTAAAAAGATGTTGAACAACTTTGTCAAAAGTCGTACCAAAATCAAGATACACAACATCCACAGCATTCCCCTGATCCACCAAGCTGGTAACTCTTATCAAAGAAAGAAATGAGATTCATCTCGCAGAATTGGTTTTTGAGAAACCCACCTACCTGTTGGAATGCGGGTGGCGCTGTGGGTTAAACCACAGAGCCTAGGACTTGCTGATCAGAAGGTCGGCGGTTTGAATCCCCACAATGGGGTGATCTCCCATTGCTTGGTCCCTGCTCCTGCCAACCTAGCAGTTCGAAAGCACGTCAAAGTGCAAGTAGATAAATACCGTATTTTTCGCTCCATAAGACGCACTTTTTTCCTCCTAAAAAGTAAGGGGAAATGTGTGTGCGTCTTATGGAGCGAATGGCACTGCGCAGTTCTCCCTCTCTGCGCAGCACCTCTTCAGCAAAGCGGGAGGAAAAATGGAAGGGGCTCCGTTTCTCCTCCCGCTTCTCTAGAGAGGCGCTGCGCAGAGAGAGCCACCTTAACCTCACTGGGTTGTTGTGAGGTTGTTGTATGATAGCCCTTCATTTGCCCCCTGAGCAACTTGACAAACAGACAGGAGAACATTATTCTTGTTTTCCCTCTTCAGTCAGTCTTGGATTCCATCACTGCCCAAACCATGTGCCTCTATCTCTCCAAACGGCCAGATGATTCAATTTTTTCCCCCTGGGGCTTTCTGTGAGAGAATGAAATCCAAGCACTAATGCCTGTTAAAATGCTTCTCCTGTTCACTTGCAAAATCAAGCATTTGAAAAGAGGCTCTACAGAAATAATAGATTCAGAATATATATTTTTTATTGTTTTCCTCCTCTAAAAACTTGGTGCGTCTTATGGTCTGGTGCGTCTTATAGAGTGAAAAATACGGTAGGTGCCGCTCTGGCGGGAAGGTAAACGGCATTTCTGTGCGCTGCTCTGGTTCACCAGAAGCGGCTTAGTCCTGCTGGCCACATGACCCGGAAGCTGCACGCCGGCTCCCTCGGCCAGTAAAGCGAGATGAGCGCAGCAACCCCAGAGTCGTCCACGACTGGACCTAATGGTCAGGGGTCCCTTTACCTTTACCTCCCAGTTACCTTGCTTCTGAGCCGATCTGTGTGGCAGCACTCTGACTCCCAGTTACACAAACACACAAACACACAATTACCTTGGCCCTGGTCCACACCCACCTGGAGCGAATTGAGGATGGTAAACATGTAATGCGTGAATTGTGATGCATCCGTGGTCATGGTGATGACGCCCAGTCCCCACGTCAGCCCGAAGGCGGGCGTGAGGATGAGCAGGGCCTTGAAGATGCTGACCAGAGCCTTCCACTCCTCTCCCTGCGGCCCCTCGGACACCGAGGGCCTCATGAGTTTCAGCAGCACCACAAAGAGGATGAGCGCGTTGGCCGACACGACGGCCAGGACGGGCACGGAAAAGGCGTAGATGGCTTTGCTGCGGGAGGAGAGCCAGCAGACGGCCTGGTGGAGGTAGCCCCCCCGGGGCAGGAAGGCGGCCACCGTGGCCACGGCGATGGCAAAGGGGCACAGGTAGCCCAGCGAGACCATGGCGGGCAGGGCGGAGCGGGTGCTCAGCTGGTGGAAGACGAAGACCAGCTGATGGAAGAGCATCAGGGCTTGGACCAGCATCCAGAAGAACATGGCCAGGTAGCAGAAGTGGGTGAAGAAGGCGGCCGCCACGCACAGCTTGCTCTCGGGGTCAGACGCCAGCCGAGAGGCGCCCAGGAACCAGAAGCTGGCCATCAGCAGAGACAGGGCGATGTTGACCAACGTGGTGTAGCGGAAGTAAGACACCTGGGAAACGGGAGAAGGCTGGTCAGGGTGAGAGGGGGCCAGGCAGGCCTCAGGGGGCCCTAGAATCGCAGGTTTGTAAAGTTGGGAGGGAACCCCAAAGGTCATGTAGCCCAACCCCGCAACGCAGGAATCACACAGCTGAGGAATCCCTGGTAGGTGGCCACCCAACCTCTGCTTTAAAACCTCCAATGAAGGAGACTAGTGCTGTGCTGTTTTTTTATTGTCTGTATTTTTAATAGGTTTGTTTTCGAGGGTTAATATAGTAGACAGATAATAAAAGGATATATACAATTTTACAGTATGCAGAGAATAACATGAGTTGAGAAATCAGAGAGAGGAGCTGAGGGAAGTTTTGGGGGGGAGGGAGGGTTTTTAGGGGAGGGGGGGAAAGGGGGAAAATAATGGAGATTATTTATTTTATAATTGTTATGTTGAAATTCTTAATAAAAAAACTTTTAAAAAATAGGGTTTTTTATATTGTTTTATCTTTGATATGTTTTTAGCTTTTTGTACTTCTGTGTTGTTTAAATTTGCACAAGTCTCCTTGAGTCCCAGACTGTGAAAAAGGTGGGATATTATTATTATTATTATTATTATTATTATTATTATTATTATTTATTATGCATTGCAATGCATTGCAGGAGCTTGGAGCAACTCCGGCTCCATGATTCTGTGATAATAAGTGGCTTGACTCACTTGTTTGAGTCACCCTGAGCAGCTGTGCTGGACCTCCCTTTAAAAAGTGCCCTTGTGGTCCATTCGGACCTGGATTTTGCTGTGTATGAAACACTTCATCTGGACCCCTTTAAGACCGTAAGAACACAAGGAGCCTGGGGGATGAGGCCGATGACCCTTCTTTTCTCACAAGGACCAAGCAAATGCCCCTTATGGGAAACTCGCAAGCAGGATTCGAACGCAAGAGCCCTCCTGCAGCTCCCAGAAGCGTTGCTACTTCCGATTGTGGAGGCAGGGCAGAGCCAGAAGCCATTGACCACCCTCTCCATGAATTCATCTAACCCTCTTTTAAAGCCACCCCCATCGTTCAGCCCGGACACTGAGGTCCAGAGCCGAGGGCCTTCTGGCGGGTCCCTCCCTGCGAGAAGCAAAGCTGCAGGGAACCAGGCAGAGGGCCTTCTCAGTAGTGGCGCCCTCCCTGTGGAACTCCCTCCCACCAGATGTCAAAGAGAACAACAACTACCAGTCTTTTAGAAGACAACTGAAGGCAGCCCTCTTTAGGGAAGCTTTTAATGTTTAATAGACTATTGTATTTTAATATTCTGTTGAAAGCAGCCCAGAGTGGCTGGGGAGGCCCAGCCAGATGGGTGGGGTATAAATAGTATTATTATTATTATTATTATTATTATTATTATTATTATTATTATATTATTCTTACAGTGGTACCTCTGGATGCGAATGGGATCCGTTCTGGAGCTATTACTATTATTATTATTATTATCCAAGTGCAGGGAGTTCCATAGATTAAGTCTGCACTGCATGGAGACGGACTTTCTTTTATTCATCCTGAATAATCCAGCTTTTCTCCATCCACTATCTCCCTGCTATGCACGACTTTAAAAAAACCTTCTACCATGCCTTTCCCCAGTGCCGGATTTACATATAAGCTAAACAAACTCTAGCTTAGGGCCCCACTCTCTTGGGGGCCCCAAATTTTTTTTAAAGGAAATAAACACTGGATGTACATTTCCAAAATATAAGATAAAAAACTAATAAAATAAAACTTACCTACAGCAACAGTGCTTTGTGCTGTGTAGGCTCCTATGATGTAAGTCAGACATAGGCAACCTTTGGCCCTCCAGATGTTTTGGCCTACAACTCCCATGATCCCTAGCTAAGAGGACCAATGGTCAGGGATGATGGGAATTGTAGTCCAAAACATCTGGAGGGCCGAAGGTTGCCTATGCCTGATGTAAGTCATGGGCCCCGCCTGCTCCCTAAAATATCCCTGGTTTGCTCCTTTCTATATATAAGGTGCTGACATTCTGCATGGACTGGTTGCAGGGCAACATGTGCAAATGGCTTTAGATACCTATTAGGTCCATAAATTACTATATAGCATCTATTCAACACAAAAACAGGGACAATTTGTTGTTGGCAAAGGACAGCTGGACATAGAAAGGGCCCCATTCCCTTCAGGAGCTTGGGGCCTCGTCAAACCTAAATCCGGCCCTGTCTTTCCCCCCCAACTCAAAATTCCCGAAGGGTGCAGCCTGTTTGTCTCTCACCTTGTTCTTCACCACCGAAGTCCAGACGAGGTAGTAGATGGCGAGGGTGGCGATGAGAGCCAGGATTGAGGCGCAGACCCCGAAGGTGCCCAGGAAGGTCAGGGCGAAGCTGTCTGGCACAGGATGAGCAGACATGAGAATGGAGAAGGAAGTCAGGTGGTGGCAGGTGCACTTGGTGGCGGTTTCGGTGCCGGAGGTCTGGCACCCCTCGGCTGACCAGCCGCCGACCCTGCCGTGCAGGCTGTGGTCCCAGAACACACACTGTGCCACCCTCTCCTCCTCATCTTCCTCCTCCTGCCCTTCGCCGGTGCCGTTCCAGTGGCCAAAGGTCATCTCCACCTCCACCTGCGAGACGCTCCCGTTGGAAGCCGTGACGGAGTTGGACATCACTAAGCTGCCCAGCCTGGCCTTGGCGCCACGGCTGCCTGGCAGGATTCTGCCCAGCTTCTTCAGCACCAGGCTGGTGACGGTGACATTCTGCCCGCAGCGCAACAACTCCTCCTCCTCAATGTGGACGCGGAGAGGGGGGTCCGTGTCGAAGCCCTTGTTGAAGTCCTCAAACTCAGGGCCCATCTGGGCGCTCTGGAGCTCAAGGTTGGGGAGCGTCAAGTTGTAGGGGCTGCCCGCGGGCGGCAGGAGGAGGCTGGCGAGGTTCTCAATGGACTGCAGGAGCCTGGAAGCGGCCGACGGGCTCAGGGCTTCCACTGCAGACCACTCCGGCCCCGGGTCTACGTCGAGCATTGTGTTGGCAGCAGCCAGCAAATTCTGAAAGCAGAAGGAGGGATTTCCTCATTAACCTGGGTCATGGTTAGAATTGTAGAAGAGTTGGAAGGGACCCTTGAGGGTCATCTAGCCCAACCCCAGCAATGCAGGCGTTGCAGCTAAACAATCCCTGGCCGATGGCCAAGTCTTGCAGTGAGAGGTGGTCATGTTGTAAACAAAAATTGCTCTTTTCCCTTATGGGGTATCCAAGAGCCCATATAGAGTCCTTGCATAGGTTCCCTGTTGGTAGGAGAAAATAACAGAGGCCAGCCAGAGAATATTGAGAAGCAAAGCAGTTAGTAAGCTTGATCTTTATTGATCTGTTGCAACAGAGTGCTCCCCTCACCCCCAGGAGAGAGGAGGAACCCAGAAAAATGGCGCGCAAGGTCTTATATAGACTTTTGAAATCGCCACCCTGTAGATCAAGACCACCCCCAGAAACATACATACATCACAAAAAAAGCGGTCTAAAACAGAAATTTTGAATGTTGTTGGCAGGTTACTTGACTGGATTTCCTGGGGAGCCTGGCTAGTCTTTTGTAATGATAAATACTTAGTTCCTGGGCCAGGTCACAGGCTCACCCTATTCATAAACAGACAGGATTTGTGAGGAAAGGGACAATGGGGAGGTTTCCCACTTTGACCTTGCAGAGAAAACATTTGCTCAGTTTAAGAATCAAAATGGTTCCAGGTCGGTCTTCCTGTGCTGATGTACTTGCTTGGTTGGTACACTTATGAACATTACCATATATCTAAGACCTCAAAATGTATAAACAGCATAAGGGATGCGGGTGGCGCTGTGGGTTAAACCACAGAGCCTAGGACTGATCGCCAAAGAAGAAGATGAAAACAAACAAACAAAAATGAAAGCGCTTTACAAGCAAGATAAAACAATAATGTTATCAACAAGATAAATTAACGAACAATAATTTCTAACGTTCAAAAAGTTAAGGAAACGACAGACGCAATACAGATAAAAACTCACTCCAGCTTTCTAAACATCTGGGTAGGCTAAACGAGAATGTTCTTAGCAGTTGCCTAAGAGAGTTCAGGGAAGACAATTGCCTGATATCAACAGGCAGGGAGTTCCAAACTTTAGGTGCTGCCACACTAAATGTTCTTAGGAATGCATAATAATAACTATTATTATTATTATTATTATTATTATTATTATTATTATTATTATTTTATATGCCACCCCCTCTGAGTGTGGCACCTGTAATCATGCCAGTTCCACCAATTGGTCTAGCAGATGTATGTAGGGAAAGGTTATCTCATCGGAAAACTGGTCCCAAGTTAAGGGCTTTATATCCCCACAGTAACATATCGAACTTGGCCGAGTAGCCAATCAGCAGTCAGTGCAGATATAATAATATAATAATAATTTATTATTTATACCCCGCCCATCTGGCTGAGTTTCCCCAGCCACTCTGGGCGGCTCCCAATCAAATGTTCAAAACAATACAGCATTAAATATTAAAAACTTCCCTGAACAGGGCTGCCTTCAGATGTCTTTTAAAGAGAAGATAGCTGCTTATTTCATTCACATCTGAAGGGAGGGCGTTCCACAGGGCGGGTGCCACTACGGAGAAGGCCCTCTGTCTGGTTCCCTGTAATCTCACAATGAGGGAACCGCCAGAAGGCCCTCGGCGCTGGACCTCAGTGTCCGGGCTGAACGATGGTGGTGGAGACGCTCCTTCAGGTATACTGGACCGAGGCCGTTTAGGGCTTTCAAGGTCAGCACCAACACTTTGAATTGTGTTCGGAAGCATACTGAGAGCCAATGTAGGTCTTTCAGGACCGGTGTTATATGGTCTCGGCGGCTGCTCCCAGTCACCAGTCTAGCTGCCGCATTCTGGATTAGTTGCAGTTTCCGGGTCACCTTCAAAGGTAGCCCCACGTAGAGCGCATTGCAGTAGTCCAAGCGGGAGATAACCAGAGCATGCACCACTCTGGCGAGACAGATCCCTGAGGACAGGGGTTGCGATGCCAACAAGGCCTCCCTCCTGCCAGCAACTGTGGTGCAGCATCCTGCACTAATTCCAGCTTCCGGATCAAGCCCCAGGATAAGCCCCATGCAGAGTACTTTGAAGGAATCCCGCCCTGAAGTCCTTCCCTGCCTGGGTGCTGCTACTCACAGACACAACGCTGCTCTCCAGGCGCATCTGGGCTCCCAGAGCCACCTCTGAGATGATGTCCATTGTGTTGAGCGCAGCCAGGAGGTCCCGGGGGTTTCTGCCCTGAATGTTTCCGGACTCGGTCTCTGCCTTCAGCCAGTCTATCATCCAAGGGACCTCCGTTTGGGGGCTGCCCAGCCCTGCCTGGAGCAGCTGCACACAAACAGCAGTGAGGCTATTAGACCAAGGGTGGCTTCCTATGGAACTCATTGCCACTGGATTCCACAATACCCACTGGCTGAGCTTTGGTCTCCGACTGTAATAAATTATCTATCTATCTACCCACTGGCTGTTAAAAAATACATGATGGAACATGTGCAGAGTTGGGTGGTCAAGAACATAAAGGTTCTGCAAACCGAGCCTTATTGAAGGAGTTGTGGATGTTTTGCCCGGAGAAGAGGAGGCTGAAAGGAGATATGAGAGCCATCTTTAAATATCTGATGGGCTGTCACACGGAAATCACTTTGAGGTTTTATTTTTTCGTTTTATTACAAGCTCTACTGAAAAATGTAAAAAATGATTACCAACCATAAACTGTTGGCAAACAGGACAAATGCATATTTGGATGTTTAAAGCCTTGTATGGGCGGCTTATAGCATATCTAAAAAAAATAATTTAAACATCAAGCATAAAAAAATTAATCATCCACATGGCATCAAAACAGACTTGGGAAATCTTTTACATTACAGATTAAGCTCACATTCTTAATATTGTTAATTAAATTTACGTCCACAGGGTGTACTCCAGTCTACAGTGTTAAAATTATTTCTCCATAGTTGCTGTTGTGACTGAGACAGAGAGGAGATTAGGGTTGATGAACGATATAGATCAAGACCGTACAGAGTGGAACATGTCTTTCTTTGATATTCTTGAGTTAAGCATTTAAGTGCTAGATGCCACATATCTTGGGTCCAAGTTCCCATGGGGGGGGCGTTTCCACCCCAGTTTGAAGCAACTATTTGTCTCACGGCTGCCATAAAAAGTAAGACCAACCCTTTAGGCTCAACATTGGGAAGCAGTATAAGGAGTCTCTATAGGAGTATATGGTATTTTAAAATGGGGTTTCAGAGTTTTTAGGGGTTTTTGAATGTCTTATGTAGATTTTTCAATTTCATTGTTCTGTATGGGACAATGACAATAAAGATATCGTATCGTATCGATATCGTTTCCCATTGATAGCAGAGCTAACATGGGAACAGGTACAAGAATTTGGCCCATAATGATGGCAGACCAAATTTATGGAATATGCAGAGATGGCGAGACTGACGGGAAAGCTCAGGAACCAGGAAGATCAAGTACAGTCATACCTCGGGTTGAATGTGCTTCGTGATGAGCGCATTTGAGTTGCGCTCCATGGCAACCGGAAGTAACGGAGCTCGTTACTTCCGGGTTTCACCGCTTGCGCATGCGCAGATGCTCAAAATGACATCACGCGCATGCGCAGAAGCGCCAAAACGTGACCCACGCACGCGCAGACGCAGGTTACGTTTGCTTCTAGATGCGAACGGGGCTCCGCAGTGTTTGCAACCCACGTCTGTGCATGCACGGGTTGCAATTCGGCGCTTCTACACATGCACAAAGTGCAATTTAGAGCTTCTGCGCATGCGCAACCGCCAAAACCCGGAAGTAACCCGTTCTGGTACTTCCAGGTTTCGGTGGTCCGTAACCCAAAAAAACGCAACCTGAAGCGGCTGAAACCCAAGGTATGACGGTATATAAACTGTATATAGACTGTATATAGGCTGTATATAGGTATGAGTGGAGAGAGAGAGAGAGAGAGAGAAGCCCAGAAGAACCCACCCGTTACCTGGGCCTCGTGCAACCCAGACAGCAGTTGATGATTTGTGCAGTTGTCTTGGACATTTTCCCAGGTCCCTCCAGGAGAGCAGGACCGCAGCATCTTTCCATCGGTCCCCTCGGGACACAGGAGCTCAGCCACCTTCCCTGCCTTCGTGGCATCCCACCTGCCTGTAGAGTTCTCACCGGGGCAGAAGCGATCTCCGGCTGTGGCACAAGAAACACACATGCACAGGCAGGAAAGGCCTTCATGGAACACGTCCAGCTCTCAAAGGAGCGACAGAAAGGCACAGACTCTCTGGCCGCCAGTTCCCCCGTCTCCCCCGTTACCTTGGATCGGGCCCACCGACACTGTGGTCTGCACGGTTCCCAGGTGGTCGCTTTCAAAAGTGCACCGGTAGGCGGTGTCACCGCTGGGGCAGGAATTCAGGGCGAGGAAGTGGCAGAGAGGGTCTCCGTTGCCCCCCAGGCGAACTGCGGAGAGAGAGGGGGCCAGATGTTCAGGGCAGGGAGGGAGGGAAAGGAAGGAAGGGAGGGAGGGGAGGGAAAGATCTGGCGGGGGGATGTAGGGGTGCAGATATCCAGAGTGTGGGACTCAGGTGGGATTGCTATGAGGAGTTATGAAAAATGAAGCAAGCCATTGTGTCCGCGATGAAAGCATTGCCTTGACTGGGTTTGATTCATTGACAATAATTTCTGATCGAATCCCACAGGCCTCTGCACCTCTGCCATTTGCGTTCTCTACACCTGACAGGCACGTATAAGCATTCTGAAACACAGGCCAGTTGCTTCATCAGGCATCTTGGGTCATTAAGATAGAAGGTAGCTTTGATGTAGTTTAATCTTTAGATAGATCATAAGGGCCAGGAATCTTAAAAAGCAGAGACATCACCTTGCCAACAAAGGTCCATATAGTGAAAGCTATGGTTTTCCCAGGAGTGATGTATGGAAGTGAGAGCTGGACCATAAAGAAGGCTGATGGCCGAAGAATGGATGCTTTTGAATTGTGGTGCTGGAGGAGACTCTTGAGAGTCCCATGGACTGCAAGAAGATCAAACCTCTCCATTCTGAAGGAAATCAGCCCTGAGTGCTCACTGGAAAGACAGATCCTGAAGCTGAAGCTCCAAGACTTTGGCCACCTCATGAGAAGAGAAGACTCCCTGGAAAAGACCCTGATGTTGGGAAAGATGGAGGGCACAGGGAGAAGGGGACGACGGAGGACGAGATGGTTGGACAGTCTTCTCGAAGCTACCAGCATGAGTTTGACCAAACTGCAGGAGGCAGTGGAAGACAGGAGTGCCTGGCGTGCTCTGGTCCAGGGGGTCACAAAGAGTCGGGCACCACTAAACGACTCAACAACAAATGCTGGCAATCCCAAGTGGGGAAAGTTTCTGCTGCACTCAGGTCCTGCTTGCTGGGCAACTCTGTGGGGAGGGAGTTCCACAATTTGGGGGCCACCACCGAGAAGGCCCTCATCTGGGCCACACACATGCACGAACTTTCGAGGGAGGAAGAACTACTAGGAGGGCCCCCTCTGGTATCTTAACACCCTCCTTGCGAGGTTGCATCACCCCACATGCACCCACAAGACCCCTGCGATCAGAAGAACTGGCACTACTTCCAGAGCCACCGTAGACCTGTTTCCTACTTGCAAGAACTTGGTTGTTTAGTGTGGCAGCCCCTGCACTTTGGAACTCCCTGCCTCTAGAGTTCAAGCAGGGCTCTGAAAAGATCTTTGTTTCAACTAGCCTTCCCAGACGCTGAGAAAGTTTTGCATCTTAATCTGTTTTAGTCTTTTCATTTTTGTATGTTGAAAAGCACTGCATATTTTTTTCTTGTTTTATCCTTTTGGAAACCACTTTGACTTTTCATTGTTGTTGTTTGTTTACCATCAAGCCGTGCATTAATTTTATGAAATAATAATAATAATAATAATAATAATACAGTGGTAACTCAGGTTACATACACTTCAGGTTACAGACTCCGCTAACCCAGAAATAGTGCTTCAGGTTAAGAACTTTGCTTCAGGATGAGAACAGAAATCGTGCTCAGGCGGCGCGGCAGCAGCAGGAGGCCCCATTAGCTAAAGTGGTGCTTCAGGTTAAGAACAGTTTCAGGTTAAGAATGGACCTCAGGAACGAATTAAGTACTTAACCCGAGGTACCACTGTAATAATAATAATAACTTTTATACCCTGCCCTCCCTCCCCAGCCAGAGCTGGGCTCAGGGCGGCTAACACCAATAAAATAAAATCACAGTAAAAACATAATGGGGGGGGACCAATTTAAATACAGGTTAAAATGCAATTTAAAATGCAGCTTAATTAAAAATGCAATTTAAACAAAACGGCTGCGCAGAATGCCCATCCAGGCTGATGGGCCTCACCAGCCGCTCCCTGCCCTCCCCTCACCCACCTGGGTCTGGGGCGCCTGGATTCCAGGATGCTCTCAGCTCTCCTCCTCTGTTCCGGACGCAGCACTGCAGAGTCAGGCCCTCAGGGGAGCTGCAGTTCATGGAGAGCTGCGACCGTGTCTGGATGAGGTCCGCTTCCCCAAGGGGAACGATCACCTCCTTGGTCAGCTCGTGCATGGTGTTTTCGTACAAGTAGCGGCAGATGTATTTTCCTGTAAGAGACACATGTCAGAACTGGGAGCCAGAATCCGAGAACTGCAGAGTTGGAAGGGGTACCCCAAAGGGCATCTAGTCCAACCCCAGGCAGTGCAGGAACCGCAGCTCTTGGAAGTTCTCTCCTGGCGTGGAACTGGGAATCACGGGCCACCCCTGCGTGTGGGCAGGGTCCTCCAGGTAAAATCCTGCACATATTTAGGAACGCCAACCATCTCCCAAGGGAGTCCCTTCCACTCTTACCATTAGAAAGTTCTTCCTGATATTTATTCGGAATCTCCTTTCTTTCTCATAATAACCTAAAGTTTCATAAGAGTATATATTTAAAGTAGATGAACAAATGAACAAATGAAGTTAATTTGGGTATGCAGAAGATATTAAAAATAAATTTAAGTAACTGCAGAAAGAGGGGGAAGGAAGGCAAATTGTGAAATGTCCTCTATGTCACATAGAGGAGGGAGAAAGGTTGTTTTCTGCTGCTCCAGAGAAGCGGACACGGAGCAATGGATCCAAACTACAAGAAAGAAGATTCCACCTCAACATTAGGAAGAACTTCCTGACAGTAAGAGCTGTTCGACAGTGGAATTTGCTGCCAAGGAGTGTGGTGGAGTCTCCTTCTTTGGAGGTCTTTAAGCAGAGGCTTGACAACCATATGTCAGGAGTGCTCTGATGGTGTTTCCTGCTTGGCAGGGGGTTGGACTCGATGGCCCTTGTGGTCTCTTCCAACTCTATGATTCTATGATTCTATGATTCTAAGTGTTCCGGTTTGCAAACTTTTTATGGAAGCCAAACGTGCTCCGTTTGGAGTGTTATGCTTCCGTTTTGAGTGTTACGCTGAGGTCTGTCTGTTTTTGCTATTTATTTTGCGTTTTCATTTTTGCGGCTCTTTTGTTTTGTTTTTGTGCCATTGTGGAACCCAGTTCAGCTACCAATTGATTGACTGTGTGACTGCAGTACACTGTTTATTGCTTTCATTTTATGGATCAATGGTCTCCTTAGACTGTAAAATTCATGTTAAATCGCTGTTTTAGGGGTTGCTTTTAAAAGTCTGGAACGGATTAATCCATTTTGCATTACAGTCGTACCTCGTGTTACGTTTGCTTCACGTTGCAGCTTTTCAGGTTACGAATGCGGCAAACCCGGAAGTGTTTACTTCCGGGTTTGCCGCGCGCGCACGCACAGAAGCGATCTGCGCACTTCCTGCATGCGCAGTAGCACGTTCTGCTTACGGACTGTTCGCACACCGGAACGGATCACGTTCGTAAGTAGAGGTACCGCCGTACTTTCTATGGGAAAGCGCACCTTGGTTTTGGAACGGACTTCCGGAACGGAATATGTTTGAGAACCAAGATACCACTGTATTGATTTTTTATTGATTATTGGGGGAGGGAGCTGCCCCTGCACCCCCCCGGCTACGCCCATGCACAGACACATATTTAGACCGAAATCATTCCTTCCATAGAGAGAGCAATACTGCACCAGCCCAGTCCGGGGAGACGGAGCAGAGCCTCAGCTCCGCCTCAGAGCCGTTCTGCAGCAGAGTCACTTGTGTCCCGTTGAAGATTTCCTTGGCTCCCTGGGAGCTGAGCAGGTAGAACTTCACCTCCGTGGCTCCATCCTTCAGGCTGAAGGAGAGGGTCAGGTCTTGGTCAGCACCGCCAGAGGCCACTTCCGGAGGCAGCTGCTGGCTGTCTGCAACTGGAAGGGATAGGATGTCAGTGTGGTGCGGCTGTTAGAGTGTTGGACTAGGAGAGACCCGAGTTCGAATCCTCCCACTCGGCCAAGGAGCTTCCATTGGGCGACGCTGGGCCAGTCCCTGCCTCTCTCAGCCTAGCCCACCTCCCAGGGGTGTCGGGGGGGGGGGTTAAGTTAGGAGGGAGAAAGAAGCATTCTATTCCTCTCCCCCTCCCCTTTAATTACCATTATTATTGGACCAGAGATTCTTAGAAGACTGGAGTAAATATACGAACTATTTGAAAAGGAATTGTAATGAACAGATTACGCTCATAGGACTGCAAGAAGTTCTGTAAGGAGGACCATCTGAAATATTGCCAGAAAGACTATGAGGAGAACTATTAGTTAATGCTAATTAAGAGTAATAGAGAAATTAAGAGATGCAGAATAAGTGATAAAGAATGGAAAATCATCAGAGGTGGTTGATGGAAGTCTAAAATATTGTATTGTATAAGAAGTTATGTTAAATGATTGTTGGAAATGATATGTAAAAAAACCAATAAAAGTGTGTGTGTGTGTGTGTGTGTGTGTGTGTAAAAATTACCATTATTTTTAATTATCCATTTTATTAGTCCCTTTTTTTTGCAGCAACAACTCAAAGCCGCTTACAAATAAACACAAAACATAACATTAAAACCAGCCTTAACAACGAAAGCAAAGAAAAAAATCTAACCATATCCGAGGCACTTATTTAGTTATTTATAAAGTTGTTTATGTACCACTGTATCACAGAAATATATCACAGTGGTTTACAATGATAAAAAAACAGGCAGTGGAATAAAAAAAAAGTTAAAAAACAAATTAAAACCATTTAAAAGTGAAGAAGGGACATCAGTTAAGCATTGTGGAAGGATGTACTGCCCACAGATGAACTCAGGCTTGCTAGAGAGGTTAAAAGCAACAAAAAAGGTTTTTATGGGTATGTTCGTAGCAAAAGGAAGAACAAAGAAACAGTGGGGTCACTCAGAGGAGAAGATGGTGAAATGCAAACAGGGGACACAGAAAGGGCTGAACTCCTCAATGCCTTCTTTGCCTCAGTCTTCTCCGATAAAGAAAACAATGCCCGACCTGAAGAATTTGGAGCAAATGATTCAGCAAAGGAAACACAGCCCAGAATAACTAAGGAGATAGTACAAGAATACTTGGCTAGTTTAGATGTATTCAAGTCTCCAGGGCCAGATGAACTGCATCCAAGAGTATTAAAAGAACTGGCAGATGTGATCTCAGAACCACTGGCAGTCATCTTTGAGAATTCCTGGAGAACGGGCAAAGTCCCGGCAGACTGGAGGAGGGCAAATGGTGTCCCTATTTTCAAAAAGGGGAAAAGAGAGGACCCAAATAATTACCGCCCAGTCAGTCTGACATCAATACCAGGGAAGATTCTGGAGCAGATCATTAAGCAAACAGTCTGTGAGCACCTAGAAAGGAATGCTGTGATCACCAATAGTCAGCATGGATTTCTGAAAAATAAGTCATGTCAGACTAACCTGATCTCGTTTTTTGACAGAATTACAAGCCTGGTAGATGAAGGGAACGCAGTGGATGTAGCCTACCTTGATTTCAGCAAGGCATTTGACAAGGTGCCCCATGATATTCTTGTAAAGAAGCTGGTAAAATGCGGTCTTGACTATGCTACCACTCAGTGGATTTGTAACTGGCTGACTGACCGAACCCAAAGGGTGCTCATCAATGGTTCCTCTTCATCCTGGAGAAGAGTGACTAGTGGGGTGCCACAGGGTTCTGTCTTGGGCCCGGTCTTATTCAACATCTTTATCAACGACTTGGATGATGGACTCAAGGGCAGGGGGTTGGACTCGATGGCCCTTGTGGTCTCTTCCAACTCTATGATTCTATGATTCTATGATCCTATGATTCAGATGCCCCGGTGGAATAGAGAGGTTCTCGGCAGGGATTTAAAAGCTGGCACAGAAGGTGCCTGTTGAATTCTCAGTGGCAGGGAGTTCCACCGGACCAGGCCGTTGACACCAAAGGGTCTGTTTCATGAACCTGGCTAGGTAGTGAGGGGGAAGCTGGTGCTGCTGTTTTAACAATGGGGTCCTGTGCAGCAAGGGTATTGTTAGCCCAGAAGTGGAAGCAAGAAGAAATTCCGACGAAAGAAGAATGGCAGACGAAATTAATGGACTACAAAGAATTGGACAAAATGACAGGAAGGATTTGAAACCTGCGGGACCAGAGATTTACAGAAGATTGGAAGAAGTATATGAACTATTTGAAGAGCAATTGTAACTAACAAATTACGCTAGTAGGGCTACAAGAGGTTTTGTAAGGAGAAATATACAAAGTAGAAAAAGGTAGAGATATTGGTTATGAGTTTTAAATGTAATAGGGAAAGTAAGAAATGCATACTGAGAGATTAGACTGGAATATTTTCAGACAGGACTGATGGAAGTCAAAAAATGGAATAAGATGTAAAAGTATGTTTAATTATTGTTGAAAATGGTATGTCAAAAAACTTATATATACACACACACCAATGGGGCCCTATGTTCCCGGTCAGAAGTCTTTGTCAGCAATCTGGCAGCAGCATTCTGCCCTAGGTGGAGTTTCCAAGCCAGACCCGAGGGCTGCCCCACCCAGGGTGCACTGCAGTGTACCGATGCCACACCAGGTGGGCTTTTGCAAACCTGTGGCCGCCTCCAGCAGCGGCAGGCAGTAGCCGGGGTCTTCAGAAGTCCAGCGGAGGCAGTCGCAAGGGGGTGTGAAGACGAAGGAGGCCGCGGCCTGGAAGAGACCCCCACACCCCTGGAAGCGAGAGCAGTCTCTGTCGCTGTACTGGTAGCCGGGGAGACAGCGGCAAGTCCGGCTGTAGCCAAACGCCATCATCTCCCACTGCCGGGGGTCACACTCTGGGGGGAGAGAGAAGGAGAAGGATGTGTTGGGATGCTGCCGGGGAGATGGGGGCATCAGGCAGGCCCCCAGGTGGCTCCAGCCACTGGCCTGCAGCCAGGCGATCTCCAGTCTCAGTATCAAACAGCGACACAAGCCTCAGATACCTTTACAGACTTGGCACGCTCTGTCAACAGAGTGAATAAATCTTCTTACAACGGAAGTGGCAGACAGAGACATGTGTAAGCATTATTTACAGGCATGTATTCAGCATCTATTCGCTGGTGGCGCTGTGGGTTAAACCACTGAGCCTAGGACTTGCTGATCAGAAGGTCGGTGGTTCAAATCCCCGCGACGGGGTGAGCTCCCGTTGCTCGGTCCCTGCTCCTGCCAACCTAGCAGTTCGAAAGCACGTAAAAGTGCAAGTAGTTAAATAGGTACTGCTCCGGCGGGAAGGTAAACAGTGTTTCCGTGCGCTGCTCTGGTTCGCCAGAAGCGGCTTAGTCATGCTGACCACATGACCCGGAAGCTGTGCGCCCGCTCCCTCGGCCAGTAAAGTGAGATGAGCGCCGCAACCCCAGAGTCGGCCAAGACTGGACCTAATGGACAGGGGTCCCTTTACCTTTACCTTTAAAGTAGATTAGCCCAAATGCTGAGTTGCTGAGGTCTGCCATGCATGATGCGCAAACTCTGCAGATCCCTAAGTGTGCCAGTGTCTGTTGGCATCGGTCGCTGTGATGTTCGGGCTGAAGAAAGCTTTTGAAGCTCCCAATCGATCGACCAGGAGGGAGGGAACATGCCAGTTGGGCATGTGTCTCTGCCAGGGTCCTACTCGAGTGTAGGATGAGCTCCTGGCAGATTCCTCCATTGTAGGGGGTTGGACTAGATGACCTTTGGGGTCCCTTCCAACTCGACACTATGATTCTGTGCTTTGAAAGCAAAGAAAGTCTGAACAGAGACCTGCCAGGGTCAGAGCACTGGCAGCAATGGTTTCCTGTCCTATTACAAGTGCAAAGCTGCATAAATTGTGCTATCACTAATTGCTGCTGCTGTGAAGGGTTATTTTGCATACATTTAAGCTCTAAGTTGAATTGTTACAGACATACTTGCCACGTTCCATTGCTGTTTAATTCCAACATTTACATTTCTCCCCTTCAAACTCACGACAACTGAGGATTCACACCCTTAACCCTAACCCTGCCCACAATTGCATGTTAGGGGACATTCGGCACAGAAACCTTTAAGAAGTTTCTGGGATTAATTGGCTGCAGGTGGCCGTTGCTATAAAGGAAAAAAGCTGAGTTTTGTAGCCTGCCTGCAGGAATAACACCCACCAGAGTTTGTGTTTATTGTTTAGTAATAAAGTCTTCGTTTTAGTTTGGGTTTTTACACCCATGTCTCCTGGAGTCACTCTGTACTCTGCCACTGGCTGGAAATCCCCCTCCAACATTGCATTAATGGGAGTTATAAACAGATAATAGAATAAGATGAGTAATGTATGGCATCTGCAAAATGTGGATGAACAGTGCGCTGAACGAGGTTGATAGGTAGTTGAAGAATTTAAAACTGGGAAAACAAGAATCTGAAACTGACAGATCTGGGTTTTCTTTCTTAACAGGTTGGGAGCCCTGTCTGGGGAACTTTTTAATGTTTGATCTTTTATCGCATTTTTAATATTGTGTTGGGAGCTGCGCCCAGAGTGGCTGGGGAAACCCAGCCAGATGGGAGGGTATAAATAATAAATTGTTGTTGTTGTTGTTGTGGTTGTGGTTGTGGTTGTGGTTGTTGGTAGGGCTTATATACCTTCCTATACCCAGAGGTCTCAGGGCGGTTCACAGAAAAGATCAACATAAAAACCACAATATATATAATCAGAATAAAAAACAACACCCCAATAACACACACATTTTAAAAGGGTATAGGATGTCCATTAGGTCAACCAAAGGCCTGGTTTAAAAGGAATGTTTTTGCCTGGTGGCTAAAGGTGTATAATGAAGGCGCCAGGCAAACCTCCCTGGGGAGAGCATTCCACAGATGGGGAGCCACTGCAGAAAAGGCCCTGCTCTCGTGTTGCCAGCCTCCGGACTTCTTGAGGAGGCACACGAAGGAGGGCCTCAGAAGATGATCTCACCAGATAAGGCAAGCCTGGAGATACAGAGTCAAGGTACAATAATCCCAACCCCTTGAGGACCAGAAGCTTGAAGCAGGTAGAGAGCAAGATGGTTTGTGAAGGTGGCTCAGGAACAGCCTCAGGAGGCTCTTTCCTTTACTCACTGGTCGTGACGTCCAGGCTGGCGATGCTGCTTGATGTGCCAGCTACCTCCCGGGGGACGCTCACCGTCTGGAGGAACTGCTGCACCTGCACGGAGTCTAAGGGCCCTGAGGACCCCGGGGAGAGCTTGAGGTAGGCAGCGCCACGGATCAGGCCTGGGGGAGAAAGCAGACAAGCATGGGCGCAGAACAACGCCTCCGCCCCTGCGCCATGCAGCTGGGCGAGAGCAGAGCCAGTGAGTTGTATGGGAGGGGGGTCCTGCCTCGCCACCCCCCATCCCGGGTGGCCCCTGGGTAAATCAGCACACACTTCTTATTCCAGGTTGCTTTTTAAGAAATGGCTGGTGCAGCTTCAATGTTTTTCTTGTAATGACCTGTATGTTTTAATACGTGTGTGTGTGTGTGTGTGTGTGCGCGCGCGCGCGCATATATTCAACGCTTGGGCACAGGGCTAGATTTAGGTTTGATGAGGCCCTAAGCTACTGAAGGTAATGGGGCCCTTTATATGTCCAGCTGTTTTTTTGTGTTGAATATATGCTATATGGTGATTTTTGTGTTTTTTGTGTTGAATATATGTTTTATGGTAATTTATGGACCTAATGCAACGTGGGTGGCGCTGTGGGTTAAACTACAGAGCCCAGGACTTGCCGATCAGAAGGTCGGTGATTCAAATCCCCACGACAGGGTGAGCTCCCGTTGCTTGGTCCCTGCTCCTGCCAACCTAGCAGTTTGAAAGCACGTCAAAGTGCAAGTAGATAAATAGGTATCGCTCTGGCGGGAAGGTAAATGGCGTGCGCTGCTCTGGTTCGCCAGAAGCAGCTTAGTCATGCTGGCCACATGACCCGGAAGCTGTACGCCGGCTCCCTCGGCCAGTAAAGTGAGATGAGCGCCGCAACCCCGGAGTCGGCCACGACTGGACCTAATGGTCAGGCGTCCCTTTACCTTTACCTCTGTGTGTGTGTGTGTGTGTGTGTGTGTGTGTGTGCATCTATTCGACACTTGGGCGCAGGGCTGGATTTAGGTTTGATGAGGCCCTGTGTGTCCCCAGATGTTGTTGAACTACAACTCCCATCACCCCTAGCTAGCAAGGCCAGAGCTCAGGGATGATGGGAGTTGTAGTCCAACAACATCTGGGGACCCACAGGTTGAGAACCGCTGCAAGCCATGGGTAGGCAACCTAAGGCCCGGGGGCCAGATCTGGCCCAATCGCCTTCTCAATCTGGCCCACAGACAGTCCTGGAATCAGCGTGTTTTTACATGAGTAGAATGTGCCCTTTTATTTAAAATGCATCTCTGGGTTATTTGTGGGGCATAGGAATTTGTTCAGCCCCCCAAATCTAGTCCAGTCCCACACAAGGTCTGAGGGACAGTGGACCGGCTCCCTGCTGAAAAAGTTTGCAGACTCCTGCCCTCAGCTACTGAAGGTAATGGGGCCCTTTATATGTCCAGCTGTCCTTTGTCAACAACAAATTGTCACTGTTTTTTGTGTTGAATATATGCTATATGGTAATTTATATGGTATCTAAAGCCATTTGCACATAACAAAATATGCATTTTATCAAAGTAATCGTTGAACTGAAACACAATTAAGAAGAAGTATGTTTTTTTTGGGGGGGGGCAAAAGAGTGGGGCCCTAAGCTATAGCTTGTTTAGCTTATACGCAAATCTGGCACTGCTTGGGCAGGAAGAACCAGATGTACAAATATAAAATGGGGGACATCTGGCTCACGATGTGAAAAGGATCTAGGGGTCTTAGCAAACAGACCACAACCTTAACATGAGTCAACCGTGTGATGAGGCAGCAGAAAAAGCTGAAATTTGAGACCCCAAGTTCCGCCACTGCCTGCATTGCAGGGGGCCAGACTGGGCGGCCCCCGGGGTCCCTTCCAACGCTAGGATTGTGTGAGACCTTATGGAATGTGGGTGTTTTGATTGGGGGCGCATGACTGGGCAGAGGCAAGCAAGGAGGTAGGATGTGCCTCTCTTCAGCAATGTGCCTTGGACTCAAAGGAGGAGAGGTCTGTTTGGCCATCCAGGGGCAGGATCCTGCCCCAGCTGAACCTATACTGAGTCCAGCCCTGCCTCTGAGGGTCCCTTTTCACTCACCAGCTTGTCTCTTGACTCGGGGCCCACAAGAATCGACACCCTCCGAGCGACTTCTGAGGCACTAGGAGGAAAGAGAGGCGAGACCTTAAGGTTGTGCCAGAAAGTGGCCTTTCGTGAACTGGAACCCAGTTTCACAGATGCACAATGCATTGGGGCCACATATACTATACATTTAAAAGTGAGGGGACGCGGGTGGCGCTGTGGTCTAAATCACTGAGCCTCTTGGGCTTGCTGATCGGAAGGTCAGTGCAGTGGTGCCTCGCAAGACGAAATTAATCCGTTCCGCGAGTGTCTTCGTCTAGCGGTTTTTTCGTCTTGCGAAGCAACCCTATTAGCGGCTTAACGGATTAGCGCTATTAGCGGTTTAGCGGCTATTAAAGGCTTAAAGGCTTAGCGGATTAGCTGCTAAAAGGCTATTAAAGGCTTAGCGGATTAGATAAAGGGGGGGGGAGCGAAAAAAAAATCTCAAGACTCGCAAGACATTTTCGTCTTGTGAAGCAAGCCCATAGGGAAATTCGTCCTGCGAAGCAACTCAAAAACGGAAAACCCTTTCGTCTAGCGGGTTTTCCGTCTTGCGAGGCATTCGTCTTGCGGGGCACCACTGTGGTTCGAATCCCCGTGACGGAGTGAGCTCCCGTTGCTCTGTCCCAGCTTCTGCCAACCTAGCAGTTCGAAAGCACACCAGCGCAAGTAGATCAGTAGGTACCACTCCGGTGGGAAGGTAAATGGCGTTTCTGTGCGCTCTGGCTTCCGTCACGGTGTCCCGTTGCGCCAGAAGCGGTTTAGTCCTGCTGGCCACATGAGGCAGAAAGCTGTCTGTGTACAAATGCTGGCTCCCTTGGCCTGAAAGTGAGATGAGCGCCGCAACCCCATAATCACCTTTGACCGGACTTAACCGTCCAGGGGTCCTTGACCTTTTACCTTTACCTCACATTTAAAAGCACATTCCCCCACCCCCACCCCAAAGAACAATCCTGGGAAGAAAGTCCTTCTTCGCGCAGCGCATAAACTATGGAACTCCCTCCCACAGTGATGGGCATCTGGTTGGGCGCTGTCAGAACAGGATGCTGGTCGAGATGAGCTGCGGGCCTGATCCAGCAGGCTCTTCTTATGTCCTTAACTATGGTTTAACCCTCAGAGAGCTACAATTCCCTGCACCCTTAAACTACAGTTCCCAGGACTCTTTGTGTGGTGGGAGAGGGCTTTAAATGCATGGTGTGTGTGCAGGCTCCATTTTTCCCTCTTCTATGGGGTGCGTGTCTCCTGCTTCAGCCCTTGTTTTGGGACTGAAATGAAAAATTTAAGGTCTTATATATATATAATAAATGTACCAATCTAGCACGTAAATAGATATGGGGACCGCATGTCCTGAGCAGCACAGGAAGACTGCCCTGAAACCATTTTGACTCCCTGAAACTATTTTGACTCGCAAACTGGCCAAATGTTTTCCCTGCAAGGAGGGAGGGGTGAGGGAATCTTCCCATTGTCTCAGGAATTGGGAAATCACCATCTCAAAGAAATGGGCAGACTACCAGGAAAGGTAATCACATAAGGCATCATCAGATAACCTGGCAGACAGGAAAAACAAGAACATTCAAATTTCTGCTGTAGACCGCCTTTTCTGTGATGTAGGTATGATGTTTGTGGGGGTGGTCTTGGACTCCAAGGTGGGCAATTTAAAATGTCTATATAAGGGCGGACACACCTGGGTTCTGGGTTCCTCCTCCTGCGTGTGAAGGGGGCACCCTGTTGCAACAGATCAATAAAGATCAGGCTTACTAGCTGCTTTGCTTCTCAATATTCTCTGGTTGGCCTCTGTTATTTTCTCCGACTGATGGAGAACCTGCAAAGGACTTTACAAGGGCTCTTGTGTCCCCCATAAGGGAATAAGGGCAGGTTTTTGTTTATTACAGGACCTACAAGCCTTCCTTGCCAGCCTCCTTGGGATCAAGACTCTGCTCACACAGACTCATCAACCTGAAAGGCAACATATCCCTAACAGGACATCTCAGAGAGCAAACATCCTTTGCAGGAAGATTTACATGTGTTTCTTCCTGGCTTCTGGAAGGGCAGGATGTGTCCCCCGCCCTGCATGCAAAGCTCAGTTTTTTGCAGAAGAGGTGGGGCAGCCCTGGTGGTGTTGGGGAAGGCGTGGCGCGTTTTCCATGGGGCAATCCTTGAAGGGGGTCAAGGGGGGGAGCAAATTTGGGTTCCTGTGAGTCAGCATCCTTTGCAAGGTGGCCGGTTCCCTTGATACTCTGGGCTTATCCACAAGGGTCATAATCCTGGGGACAGGCGTTCTGTGAAGCCCCCCCGCCTGCGTCAAGGGGTCCCCATTGGGGATCCCTCTCAGCACACCCCACCACCAAGCCACAGCCCCCCAGGATGTCTGGGGAGGCACAGCCACACCAGTTAAAATGACTCAAAGCTTTGTAGTAAGGATAACTTGGCTTCAACCTCCGTCGGCTCCAAAGCCCTTGGCCAGAACCTGCACAGTTCTTTTTTCCTTTTAACAGTCCCCCCCACCCCCCCAAATTGCCAAGTTATTAACAAATACAAAAGAGAGAAGAACATAGAAAAGTGAGGAATTGGTAAAAGATGTTTGGAAGTCAGAAAGAAGGGAGGGAAGGAGGTCGGTGCTTTGTGTGAGCAATGTTTTAAGTTATGGATTTGTGTAATTAAAATGTAATGAAATATGGAAAACTCAATAAAAAAATGGTTTAAAAAAAACAAAAGAGAGAAGAACAAATTTCTCAAACATATACGAATAAGGGATTCATAATTCGGATTTGGGTAGCCAGATTCTGTGCGATTGCCATATAACTTAGGGAACAAGCTGTGCTGTTATAAAGATGAAGGTTTTAAATGATAATTTTAGGTTATATATTAGTGACTAAGCTTTAATTGATATATTTTTTAACTGTTGCTATATCTGTATTGTCCCTGTTATACCTAATTGCAAATTCAAATGTATCCCTATTGTGTTTTATGACTTCCTCGATATTGTATGTGGGCTGGAATTGGTCTGTGACCGAAATAATAAAACTCAATTCAGGGATTCATCAAAATCGAATTTCCTTTCATTTTTTTCATTATTTATATGTGCTGGAAGTATGTGCCGCACATAAATGTAACAGCAGCAGCAGCAACAGCAACAATTCACAGCAGTGGCTTTGAGATATGAGATCATCAAGTACAGCAATTTTAATCAAAATCTGACATGCAGTAGGGTTTTTTTGTTTTGTTTTTTACAGAATTGTGGTGATCCGTCATGGAACAACCCCACTGAAGAAGGTAACTGGTTGCCTAGCCCTCCTTACTGGTTGCAAAGGGGGCCCCCATAACTGCTCAAGTTTTAGGACCCCCCCCCAAATGTAGGGGGAGGAGAACGCCCTGGGGGAGAATCAATGCAAGAGGCTTACCGCGGGGGCTTCATCTCCATCCCAAGCAACTCCCAAAATCAGGGGCAGGCAGCTTGCAAGCAGCACAGAGAGGGAAGGGACCATGGCGATGTCTGAGTGGTTCAGCCTGCCAGAGAGCATCCCTGGCCAGGTGTCTCCAGCAGGCTGCACCTGGTATCGGGCATGCAAATGTTTGTGCTGGGTGTCCGAGATCCAGGCAGGATGCAGCCCCAAAGCTTGTGTGCTCAAGGTGGGAGCTCCTTGTGGGCGGGGCTAGAGCACAGGTGTGAGTGGTGGTGAGAGGGACAATGGCACTGGAGCCAGGCTGGGCTTGGCAAAAGAGAATATTATTAGCGAAGAATTGGAAGAAACAAGATTTTCGAACCACCGACCTTCCAATCAGCAAGTCCTAGGCTCTGTGGTTTAACCTACGGCGCCACCCACGTCCCACAACATATATAAAGGTAAAGGGACCCCTGACCATTAGGTCCAGTCGTGACCGACTCTGGGGTTGCGGCGCTCATCTCGCTTTATTGGCCGAGGGAGCCGGCCTACAGCTTCCGGGTCATGTGGCCAGCATGACTAAGCCACTTCTGGCGAACCAGAGCAGCGCACGGAAACGCTGTTTACCTTCCCGCCGGAGCGGTACCTATTGATCTACTTGCACTTTGACATGCTTTTGAACTGCTAGGTTGGCAGGAGCAGGGACCGAGCAACGGGAGCTCACCCCGTCGCGGGGATTCTGATCGGCAAGTCCTAGGCTCAGTGGTTTAACCCACAGCGCCACCCGCGCCCCTCCACAACATATATATATGAAACACAGTAAAATACCAAAAATTAAAAACTTCCCAATACAGGGCAGCCTTCAGATGTCTTCTAAACGTTATGCAGTTCTTTAATTTACCTTTGCTAGCGCTGGGTGCATTTTAAATGTTGGAGGCACTCCATGTTTCCGAACACCAGTTGCTGGAAAGTGTAGGAGGAAAGAGTTGTTCTTGTGCTCGGATCCTGCCTGCTGGTTTCCCACGGGCAACGTCTCAGCCACTGTGAGAACAGGATGCTGGACTAGATGGGTCCCCCTTGGCGTGATCCAGTGGAATCTTATTACGTTCTTACTGAACCTCCAGGTCCAGAGGCACTCTATCTGGATTCCTAGGTTCTTGGGGGCATTTGACCACTTGTGTGAAGAGGATGCTGGACTAGATGGGCCGCCTTTGGCCTGATCCTGCAGGCTCCCCTGATATTCACCAGAACTCATTTAAATGGCAGTACTGTAATAAACAAAAATCTGCCCTTATTCCCTTATGGGGGACACAAGAGCCCTTGTAGAGTCCTTTGCAGGTTCTCCATCGGTTGGATAAAATAACAGAGGCCAGCCAGAGAATATTGAGAAGCAAAGCAGCTAGTAAGCCTGATCTTTATTGACTGTTGCAACAGGGTGCTCCCTTCACACGCAGGAAAGGAGGAGGACCCAGAACAAAGGTGTGTCCGCCGTTATATAGACATTTTAAATTGCCCATCTTGGAGTCCAAGTCCACCCCCAGAAACATCTTACCTACATCACAGAAAGGGTGGTCTACAACAGAAATCTGAGTGCATTGTTTACCTCCTGTCTGGCAGGTTACCTGTTAAATGTCACTTGATTGGATTGCCCGGGGAGCCTGGCCAGTCTTTTGTAATGATACATACTTATTTCCTGAGCCAGGTCACAGGCTCACACCCTGTTCATATCTTAAATGTGCCCTTAAGACAGGATTTGTGAGGAAAGAGACAACGGGGAGGTTTTCCACTTTGACCTTGCAAAGAAATATTTGAGGTCAATTTGTTCAGGACTTTTTTCCTGTGGGGTTTCAGACATGTGGTTTATATATTTATGTACGTGTTTGCTTGGTACATTTATGAACATTTATTACATATCTAAGACCTTAAAATTCGTATAACAGTGCTCACAGCTTTTGGATATACAGTGCAGTAATAAGAGAGAATGAGCAAAGGGCCTTCTGTTCCTCAGGGATTACGGTAATCAGAGTTTCTTCCTACACCCCAAGAGATTTGAAGCAAAGTTTCCTTTTCGCAATCTACAGACATGGTGCTTGGGCTATTCACTTAAACATTGCCCTGTCATTAAAAGGGATGTGATATTGTGCGCCCACACACATGGGTGTGTGCATTGAAGATTGTGCACGAGTGAAACTCGGGTGCTTATCAGATTACGCAAACTTTCGCATGCTGGGGGAAGAGGAGAAGGAGAGCAGCCTTCTAGCAGATTTCTGCAACACTCGCTCTATCAGGAACACGAAAGGGCATGTCGGTGGCTTGGCAGCAAGCCAGGAGACAGAGTCCGATCCTGCCTGGGCCTGAACTCCAGGGAGGCAAAACAGCTGAGATCATTTCCGAGGCAGGTCTGGAGACGGGCAGGAGGACCGGAGAGATCTTCTGCGGTGGGGGGCACAGCTGAACGAAGCCCCCGGAGCCTTCGCTGGGGACGGATGAGACAGCTGGAGTGGGGAGGCAGGTGAGTTCACAGGCTGCAGCCTGTCAGGAGTCGACCGGATGCTCAGCCTGAGTCCCCCAAGATAACAATTTGGTGTTGAGTCGTTTAGTCGTGTCCGCCTCTTCATGACCCCATGGACCAGAGCACGCCAGGCCCTCCTGTCTTCCACTGCCTCCCGCAGTTTGGTCAAACTCATGCTGGTAGCTTTGAGAACACTATCCAACCATCTTGTCCTCTGTTGTCCCCTTCTCCTTGTGCCCTCTATCTTTCCCAACATCAGGGTCTTTTCCAGGGAGTCTTCTCTTCTCATGAGGTGGCCAAAGTCTTGGCGCCTCAGCTTCAGGATCTGTCCTTCCAGTGAGCACTCAGGGCTGATTTCCTTAAGAATGGATACGTTTGATCTTCTTGCAGTTCATGGGACTCTCAAGAGTCTCCTCCAGCACCAGAATTCAAAAGCATCAATTCTTCGGCGATCAGCCTTCTTTGATGGTCTTTATGTATGACAACAATAGACCATTTTCCACATCTATTTTTGGCCCTGGAAATGTCTCAGGATCCAGCTGGGCAGTGAGAGGCTCCTCTGCAGAGGCCCCTCCCTCAAATGGAGGGGTTTCATTTCATTTGGCAGCTCAGGGCAACTCAGACTCCCCCTGGGTCCTGGGGGCTGCTTGAGATGTGCCTGCTACTCAGGACAACCTGCGCTGCGCAGCCTGTGCTATCAGAATTTTAAGGTCCCAAATATAGAATAAATACTCATAAATGCACACATGTCTAAATACATGATCTGTTGTAAACAAAATCTACCCTTTTCCCTTATGGGGTATTCAAGAGCCCATATAAAGTCCTTACGTAGGTTTCCTATTGGTAGGAGAAAATAACAGAGGTCAACCAGAGAATATTGAGAAGCAAAGCAGCTAGTAAGCCTGATCTTTATTGATCTGTTGCAACAGGGTGCTCCCCTCACCTGCAGGAGAAGAGGAGGAACCCAGAACAATGGCGCACAAGGCCTTATATAGACATTTTAAATTCCCTGCCCTGGAGCTCAAGACCACCCCTCCATACATCATACATACATCACAGAAGGGGTGTAACCCAAGACCACCACCCACAAACATCACACCTACATTACAGAAGAGGTGGTCTACAACAGAAATTTGAATGTTGTTGTTTTTCCTGTCTGCCAGGTTATCTGATAATGCCTTATCTGATTGCCTTTCCTGGTAGTCTGTCACCCTTTGAGATTGTGATTTCCCAATTCCTGAGACTATGGGAAGGTTCCCTCACCGCCTCCCTCCTTGCAGGGAAAACATTTGTTCAGTTTGGAGTAAAAATGGTTCCAGGTTGGTCTTCCTGTGCTGATCTATGTACATGCTTGGTTGATACATTTATGAACATTTATTATATATATAAGACCTTAAATATTATTATTACAGAACCATGTGTCTGAAAAAGTATGGGAGAGCAATCCCAATGACCTAAAATATTCCTTGCAGGAAGGGAGGCAAATGGGGAAAGCCTTCTCATTGTCTTTTCACTGGGAAATCCTGTCTTAAGGGAGTATTTGAGTATTTGTGTAGGAATAGGGTGAGCCTGCAACCTGGACTCAGGAACTAAAGTATTAACCATCGCAAAAGAATGGCCAGGCTGCCCAGGTAATGCAATCAGTGACCACTATCAGGTATCCTGGCAGGCAGGAGTTCTGTTGGAGACCGCCTCCTCCTGTGATGTATGTATGACGTTTTGGGGGGTGGTCATGGACTCCAGGGTGAGCGATTTCAAAAGTCTATATAAAAGCTTGCACACCATTGTTCTGGGTTCCTCCTTCCTCCTGCGTGTGGGGAGCAGGGACCCTGTTGCAACAGTTTAATAAAGATCAGGCTTACTAGCTGTTTTGCTTCTCGATATACTCTGGTTGGAGTCTGTTGTTTTCTCCTAACAATAGGGAACCCACTTAAGGACTCTATACAGGCTCTGGAATACCCCATAAGGGAAAGGGAGCAGTTTTTCTTATAACAGCCTGTAAGCAGCTGAGGTCACAGAAACATAACATTGTAGGGTTGGATGGGACTGTTAGGATACTGCCGGGGAGACGGTGGGGGGCATTTGGCAGGCCCCCAGCTGGCTCCAGCCACCAGCCAGAAGCCAGGCAATCTCCAGTTCTCGGAACAGCATCAAACAGCGACACAAGCCTCAGAGACGTTCAGAAGCTGAGCATGCTCTAGTCAGCAGAGTGAGTAACTTCTCCCAACGGAAGTGGCGGACAGAGACATGTGCAAGCATTATTTACAGGCGTTTATTCCACATAGTTCAGGAACAAAGGAAAAACATGTCTGCTTCCCTTCGTGTCCAGCAAAACAGCAATATAGCAAAAGCAATATACAACGGAAGTTCCCAGCAGACTGTGCTGGAAATATTAACAGGCATGTGACACACAACAGTCATGCCTGTTCCTTTGAAGGTGGAACAGAAATATATCCTAACAGGGACCCTGAGGGCCATCTAGTCCAGCCCATTGTAGCTCAAGAATCCCTGGCAGGTGGCCATCCAATCTCTGCTTAAAGACCTCCAAGGAAGGACAGTCCGCCAGCTTCCGAGGGAGACCGTCCCACTGTTGATCAGCATTTGCAGGCAGTTAATAATAATAATAATAATAATAATAATAATAATAATAATAATTTATTTATACCCCACCCTTCTAGATGGGCTTCCCCAGCCACTCTGGGCGGCTTCCAACAAAATATTCAAATACAATAGTGCGTCAAACATTAAAAGCTTCCCTAAAGAGGCCTGCCATCAGATGTCTTCTAAAAGTCTGGTAGTTGTTGTTCTCTTTGACATCTGGTGGGAGGGCGTTCCACAGGGCGGGCGCCACCACCGAGAAGGCCCTCTGCCTGGTTCCCTGTAACCTCACTTCTCGCAATGAGGGAACCGCCAGAAGGCCCTTGGCGCTGGACCTCAGCGTCCGGGCAGAACGATGGGGGTGGAGACGCTGCTTCAGATATACAGTACCTAAGGATATGCCTGCACACACAAACACAGTAACACAAAAGTGTGTGTGTGGAGAGGGAGAGAGAGGGAAACAATCAGTCAACTTTGCTTAGTGCCCATTTGCAAAACAAATGCATCCCCCGGGATGTTCCGTCTTAAGCCTTTTAGCTTGCAGCAGCATGAACGGTGCTAATAATAATAATAATAATAATAATAATAATATTATTATTATTAATACCCCGCCCATCTGGCTGGGTTTCCCCAGCTACTCTGGGTGGCTTCCAGCAAAATATTCAAATGCAATAAAATACAATGCTGGGGTGGGTTTGGAGCTCAGCATCAAAAGGTGGCAGAATTTGGAAACTGGAGGTGTGTAACGATGTCAGTAAATAAGCTGCAGCTGGATGATACCCAGAAATTTCAAAAGGGAGGGAGGTTGGATGGCAAAAAAAGGATGTGGGTAGAGCTTTGGCAGCACAGAAATAATAGGAAAACAACCATTTAGTGCTTATCAGAGTGTCTCGTGTTTGACTAAGGTGTTGGGTGTGAAGCAGGGACCAGCCAGAGGTCTAATAAAAGATTCCAGGAAACAGGAAGGGGAAAGGAGAAACTTGACCCTGCCTAGCTGAACTGTGGAACTCCCTGCCACAGGAGGCAGTGAGGACCAATTCATGGAGTAGGAGAGGGCTGTCGATGGCTGCTCGCCACAATGGCTGTGCTCTGCCCATCACGGTCAGAGGCAGCAACGCTGCTGAATGCCAGTGTCTGGAAACTGCAGGAGGGGAGAGTTGCTCTTGGGTTCGGATCCTGCTAAGGGGCATTCAGTCAGCTGCTGTGATGACAGGAGGCTGGACTAGGTGGACCGCTGGCCTGTTCCAGCAGGGACTTATTATGTTATAGATACAGGTAGGTAGCTGTGTTGGTCTGCCGTGGTCGAAACAAAATAAAAAAATTCCTTCCAGTAGCACCTTAAAGGTAAAGGGACCCCTGACCATTAGGTCCAGTCGTGGCCGACTCTGGGGTTGTGGTGCTCATCTCGCTTTATTGGCCGAGGGAGCCGGCGTACAGCTTCCGGGTCATGTGGCCAGCAGGACTAAGCTGCTTCTGGTGAACCAGAGCAGCGCACGGAAATGCCATTTACCTTCCCGCCAGAGCGGGACCTACTCATCTACTTGCACCTTGATGTGAGCTAGTCCTAGGCTCTGTGGTTTAACCCACAGCGTCACCCACATCCCTTCAAATTGCAAAGGGGAGTAGCACCTTAGAGACCAGCTAAGTTTGTTATTGGTATGAGCTTTCGTGTGCATGTACACTTCTTCAGATACATGTTATGAACGCCATCTCAACTCCTCGAAAGATTCCATCAACAGTGTCTCCGAAAATTTTTGCACATCCCTTGGGAAGACAGGCAATCTAATGCCAGTGTACTGGAAGAAGCAAAGCTCACCAGTGTTGAAGCAATGATTCTTCAACATCAACTTCGTTGGAGTGGTCATGTTGTGCGGATGCCTGATGATCATCTTCCAAAGCAACTACTTGAAAATTGAAAGTGTCATGCTGGTGGTCAACAAAAGAGGTTTAAAGACACTCTCAAGGCAAATCTTTAAAAATGTAGTATAAACACTGACAACTGGGAAACGCTGGCCTGCGAGTGCTCCAGTTGGAGAACAGCCTTGACCAAAGATGTCCTGGGTTTTTAAGACACTCGAACTCAGGACGCAAGGGAGAAACATGCTAAGATAGGGACACTCGAACTTTGACGACACTCAAACTCAGGACAAAAGGGAGAAACATGCTCACCATGATCAACTCTCACCCGAAAACCAATATCCCCACTGTCGAAGGATGTGTGGCTCCAGAACTGGCCCCCACAGTTGCTTATGGACTCATTGTTAAAGTCATGTTTATGGAAGACGACGATCTTCTTTGGCTATGAGGGATTTCCAAAGAAGAAACAAGATTATGTCAACCATCAAAAAGGGACTGGAGTCACTGGGGCAATCCAGCCAGATGGGCAGGGTATAAATAGCGTTATTATTAGTAGTAGTATTAGTGTTAGTTTTATTACCACCACCACCACTGATAAACCAGTAATTCACTCGCTGTTGGAGGCTGCTTTAGAGGGGAATGTTTGGCAGCTGACTTGGGAGGGGGTCCCCTCCCCCCTTTTAGCTCTCTCTATAAGCCCTTTGCATTTACTCAAAAAGTGTCCAGGGGAACACCAGCCTCTGATGGGGCACATCTCAGGTGTCTCTGTTTCCACCCCTTCCTCTTTCTCTGCTTAGATCTCTTTCCCACCTTGTCTGCAGGTAGCCCCTCACCTGCTGCCGCCACCCTGCAGCCTCCGACCCCTGCCTCTTCCACCGCCGCATCCTCATGGAGACCAGTCCCGGGAGCGGCTTGGTGGGGGTCCTGAATGGCCTGGCAGCTCAGCTGGGAGAGCCTGCAATAGCAGACACGGTGAGTGCGTTTATTCTACGCCAACCTCTTAAGGCAGCCTTCTCTCAGAATATCCCAATACCCTCCCCATTTGAAATTTGTCAAGCCACTGGGAGCGAGTCTTTCAGTGGCGATGTCTTAAAGTCCTTCGATGCATCATGGAGTTCATCTACAGAACTCCCTGCTGCAGGAGACAGTGATGGACACCAACTTAGGTAAAGGTAAAGGGACCCCTGACCATTACGTCCAGTCGTGGCCGATTCTGGGGTTGCGACGCTCATCTCGCTTTATTGGCCGAGGGAGCCGGCGTACAGCTTCCGGGTCATGTGGCCAGCAGGACTAAGCCGCATCTGGCAAACCATGCGCTGCTCTGGTTCGCCAGAAGCAGCTTAATCATCATCATCATAATAATTTATTATTTATACCCCACCCGTCTGGCTGAGTTTCCCCAGCCACTCTGGGCGGCTTCCAATCAAGTGTTAAAAACAATACAGCATTAAATATTAAAAGCTTCCCTAAATAGGGCTGCTTTCAGATGTCTTTTAAAGATAAGATAGATGCTTATTTCCTTCACATCTGAAGGGGGGCGTTCCACAGGGCGGGTGCCACCACCGAGAAGGCCCTCTGTCTGGTTCCCTGTAACCTCACTTCTTGCAATGAGGCCACATGACCCGGAAGCTGTACGCCAGCTCCCACGGCCAATAAAGCGAGATGAGTGCCACAACCCCAGAGTTGGCCACAACTGGACCTAACGGCCAGGGGTCCCTTTACCTTTATTATATATATAAGACCTTACATTTTTTATTTCAGTGGTGACAGCCACTCCATGGGGTGCCCTCAGGGGTCTCCTGGGGTCTGCACCCGCCCTGTCTGATTCAGAGCGGTCTTTTTGCCTCTGCAATGCCCTGATTCAGCCATTGGGTAAGGTTGATTCCTGCCCTCCTTGTTCCTGATGTAGATCTTCAAATCCCCCTTTTCCCCCTGGAGGGAGGTGCGGTGTTTTTTTGTGGTTCACCTCGGGTGCCCAAATGTCTTGGGTCCGCCCTGCTCTCGCACTCCGATCCTCCTTGCGGGTTCCCATCATGGGCATCTGGCTGGCACAGTGAGGACTGCGAGACTAGATGGGCCTGATCCAGCTGGCTCTACTTATGTGCTTAAAGATCAAGTTTTGCTAAAAGGGAGGATGCACAGTGTGTGGATTTCAAACCAAAAATAATTTAGGGTGGTGGCAATAAATCATAGAACTGTAGTGTTGGAAGGGACCCCTGGGGGTCATCTAGTCCAACCCCCTGCAAGGCAGGAATCTCAGCATACAGCCCCCCACCCAATTTGAAACCCTACTGAACCTTACTTAGCTTTGCAATTGTGCTGGCAGTTTTATAGCTGCACCAAACAGCCACTTCTTCTATTGCTGCTTGATGAATTGCTTGCGTCACCCTTTGCAATAACTGTTACTGACATCTTTATTATTCTGTACAGTGATATTATTCTTGAGCAGGCATCCCCAAACTCGGCCCTCCAGCTGTTTTGGGACTACAATTCCCATCATTCCTGACCACTGGTCCTGTTAGCTAGGGATGATGGGAGTTGCAGTCCCAAAACAGCTGGAGGGCCAAGTTTGGGGGTGCCTGTTCTTGAGAATAAATAGAAATATACAAATGGAGGGGAAGATGGCATTTGAATGCTTGAAGCAGGGTTTTGAGCTCTAAGGCCAACTCTAAGGCAAGTTTCTGCTCTATAACCAACTCTTAGCATTTGTTTTTATCTTCTCTTCCATTTTATTTCTTAACTCCTTTTAGTGCTTCGCTTTGTTGTTTTAATTTATTGTTTTATCTCATTGTTTTATTGTTCTAACTCCTCTAAACTGTGAGGCTGCCTGAAGCTGGGGTGGGCTGAGCACTTTGCTAGGCAGTGCCAAACGCAAGGTCGAGCCAAAGTTTACAAGATACTAGTTATAAATTAAGGAAGAGAAACATCTTGATTATCAGAACTGTTGATGAGCGAGCCCAGGTGGCAGCTGCAGAGAGTCTCCAAAACGCCCCCTTCTGCTGGATGGCACTCATGCCAGACTCGTAAATTCAAGTCCGCCACATTTGGAGATAATTGATTTCTGCAAACTGCCGGCGAATAATCATAATTATTATGGTACTTACTAGAAAGAACTGCAAAGATCTGGGAATCATGCCAGATTCGTTAATCAGCTCCCCACAACCCCGAAGGAGACAGAGCAAAATCACACATTATTTTCTCCAAAAGGAGGAGAGTAAGAGGGAGCTGAATGAGACTGAATGAGCTGAATAAGGGAAGCGGGTGGCGCTGTGGGTTAAACCACAGAGCCTAGGGCTTGCCAATCAGAAGGAAGGCGGTTCGAATCCCCGCGACGGGGTGAGCTCCCGTTGCTCTGTACCTGCTCCTGCCAACCTAGCAGTTCGAAAGCACGTCAAAGTGCAAGTAGATCAATAGGTACCGCTCTGGCGGGAAGGTCAACGGCATTTCCGTGCGGTGCTCTGGTTCGCCAGAAGTGGCTTAGTCATGCTGGCCACGTGACCCAGAAGCTGTATGCTGGCTCCCTTGGCCAATAAAGCGAGATGAGCACCGCAACCCCAGTGTCGGCCACGACTGGACCTAATGGTCAGGGGTCCCTTTACCTTTATCTTTAAGAGGGAACTGAATGAGGCCCTTCCTCCTCCCCCCACTGTTCTGGATTGGTCAACTCATCTTAAAGGGCTCCAAAGAAAAGGCTAGTTTTTTTACTTTATTATGTCCGTGCTTGAGGTTGGATGGGATGAATTCAAAAGCGGAGGGCAGAGAAATCAGCATGCCAAACTTCTGCCCTGCAGGGCTTGGAGGAGGACTTGGAAGAGGAGGGCCAGGTGAGGCGGCCAGTGGCCCAGTGGACCGTCTCGGAGGTCTGCTCCTGGCTGAGCCGAGGGTCCCTGGGGGCTCAGGGGAAGCCCCTCCTGGAAGCGGCACACAGCCACGCCATCTCTGGAAAGGCCCTGCTGCGCCTGACGGACGAGACGCTGGAGCGCATGGGGGTTGCGCCCTGGAGCTTGCGGCAGGAGCTGTTGCGCGAAGTCCTGCACCTCCGCATTCAGCAGGAGATGAAAGACTTGCTGGACATTACAGGAGGTGAGGACGGGCACCCAAAGCAGGCGGGGAATCGCACGGGTGCCCCATAACTGTCCCCATCTACTGGGTGCTGTCAAAGTCCCTACTGGGACTGGAATGGAAGCAGAATGTGTAGGGTTGGGGGTGGGGAGACCGAGGGCATTGATTTATTTAATAAAATGTATCCCTGTTAACGGAGAAATCTGAGGGCTCCTTGGACAAAAACCAAGGCCACCAGCCAGGAATACCAGAGCAAAACAGCAGCCAGGAGGCTTGGTCTTGATTGAAGACTGTGGCGACAGGACTCCCACCTGCCACCAGGTGGAACAAGATGCAAGCCCCTAACAAGAGAGAACCCAAACTTTTATTAGCTGCTAATCCCCATGTTACACCCCCCAAACTACATCACTCATACATCACGGTTACATCATGAAAGGGGAGGTCTGGTGGCAGTAATCTGAGCATCCTGGACCCTGCCCCATGGTTCCCCTTGCCCTCCACCAAACACCCATCAAGTGGAACAAAAGAGATATTTCCCTGTTTCCCAGCCAAGTTAATCGCACCCTTTTGTCTTCATCTGGGTTTGTTATTTCTGGTTTTCCCAGTGAGCCAGTACATAGATGCATTTATCAGTGAATTCTTACATTTGGTATTGTGCGGCAGAGGCCCTTTGAATAGACAGGAAGAAACTGTGATGAAGTGTTTTGTGGGGACAAATCACAAAAGTCACAAAAGCGACTGTGCTAATTTTGGCAGTGGGCTGCATGTCCATGACATCTGCTGGAGGGGCAACACCCCCCCAACCTATACATAAATTCCTGCAACAACCCCCACATAATAAATTTTAATTTAAGTTTTAACGTTATAAGGGGAAAATTACAGAAGGAAAAATAATAAAGAAAACACACACACACACACACAGAGGATACCAGGGGACTAAAGAAAGCATTTTGCAGCATCAGTGCAGACATGGAACATGAATTCTGCAGAATATTGCTCGAGCTTAACAAATAAGCATTTGGAAAGGAAAATTCTGCAGTGATTACCAGTACATACACTGAATGCAAGGTGGATCCAACAGAAACATTAATCTTAATTCCCTTGCTTTTGTATCATGTGTGCAACCGTAAGAATAGAGCTGTAATGAAACGTGGTAAGATAAAATAAAATATAAAAGCATGGGTGTGTAATAAAATTTATACACTGTTAGATTATTTGAAAAGACCCTCAAAGCGGCTTACAAAACAGACAAAACAATGAAATGATCAATTAGAAAGATTAACACTTTGGAAAGTTTAAATAACAATAGGCTACAAAGAGGTTAAAACTCGCATCAACTTTCTAAGCATCTGGATAGGCAGATGTTTTATTTAGTGGGTGCCGAAAAGAGGTGCTGTCAGTCTGAGTTCTTAAAATGTGGAGTGGGTGTTCATCGCACCTGTAGCAGTGCCAGTTCCGCCGATGGAAGTGTTTTAATAAACGGTCTTGCAATATTTCTGAAGGAAACTAAACAACCCCTTCTCCGTTCTTCCACACACAGCGTGATCGAGGGAGGCCCGCTGTCAAGTGAGCTGCTCTGTCTGGGATGCAAAAAAAGGAACACGCTTTGGTGCCAGCCTTTGGCTGCAACTGGACCTCCGAGCTGGACGGTGGAGCCCAAAGCCCAGTGCCAGGCCAGGCTTCAAGAACTGCAGAATCGAAGGAGCTGCTTTGGGGTTTGGACTCGGCAGTTTGCAGCCCCGGGGGCAAAGGCTTTCGTGGCAGAATGTGGGTTTTCTCGGGGAAGGGGCTGCCCCCCATGCCTGTAGCCTCCTAGGGGCCTCCTGCAAACATCTGGTCAGAGGAGGATGGCCCACTCTTCGTAGGTGTGGGGAAGGGTTGCACCCCAGCAGTGGAAGTTATGTTGCTAGGCATGCAGAAGGCAAGAGGCTCAACATCTGGGAGCTGCAGGCTGGGGGGGGATCCCTGCAGAGATCCTGCCAGTCAAAGAGGGCCATACTGAGTTAGGTGGACCAGGCGTCTGACTGATTTGCTGAGACGTAAAGCTACGAAACTGTCGTTTGAGAAAGTATTTTTCATTTTGAATTCGACAGGACTTGCTTCCCGGAAGCCCAGTACAGTGGTACCTCGGGTTACAGACGCTTCAGGTTATAGACACTTCAGGTTACAGACTCCGCTAACCCAGAAATAGTACCTCGGGTTAAGAACTTTGCTTCAGGATGAGAACAGAAATCGTGCTCCCGTGCCACGGCAGCAGCAGGAGGCTCCATTAGCTAAAGTGGTGCTTCAGGTTAAGAACAGTTTCAGGTTAAGAACGGACCTCTGGAACGAACTAAGTACTTAACCTGAGGTACCACTGTATGATGCTACAAATAAAACAGATACATAACCTATTTCCTGCTCTGCAAAATTAAATCAACTTTTATTACAGTGCACCATACAAAAACATTACTTTAGTACATGGGTAGGCAAACTAAGGCCCGGGGGCCGGATCCGGCCCAATCGCCTTCTAAATCCAGCCCACGGACGGTCCGGGAATCAGCGTGTTTTTACATGAGTAGAATGTGTTTTTATTTAAAATGCATATCTGGGTTATTTGTGGGGCATAGGAATTCATTAATTTTTTAGTCCACCCCCCCCCAATAAAATATAGTCCAGCCCCCCACAAGGTCTGAGGGATAGTGGACCAGCTCCCTGCTGAAAAGGTTTGCTGACCCCTGCTTTAGTATATATGAGGCTGAGTCCTTGCGTGTTTAAATTCCTTTATCTTCGCAAGCTTGACGTGTGCAGCAGGGACTGTTGCTGGAGCTGGGATGTTGCACTGCAGAGAGTTGTTCAGCCACAAGGTGGTGAGCGAAAGAAACCAGCAGGCAGAGAACATCAGGATTAGGAACCACCACTGCATTTAAGGCCTTCTCACGTCTCTGCACCCCATTCTGAAAAGGCACCCCCACACTTAAAATAATGGAATCAGAGTTGGAAGGGACTGCAAAGGTCATTTAGTCCAACCCCCTCTGGCCAAGACCAAGGTCCCTTCACAAATTCCTCTTTGGTCTTCACCGGTGTCTCAAAACCCACTCTGCTGATCCTCAGCCTCCTTGGCCAGCCTTTGAAAGGCATTTGACTCCCCGAGTAGCACTTAGGCATTCCACAGGGCAGGCGCCACCACCGAGAAGGCCCTTTGCCTGGTTCCCTGTAACTTGGCTTCTTGCAGGGAGGGAACCACCAGAAGGCCCTCGGAGCTGGACCTCAGTGTCCGGGCTGGACGATGGGGGTGGAGACGCTCCTTCAGGTGAACACACCTGAAGCTCCCATTGGGCTATGGGAACACACACCACAAAGATGGCAAACACTTTCCAAGCAGCAAGACAAGCTATGAGCCACCCTCTCTCTGGCTTCCCCTAAGCCCAGAAAACAACAGGAGCAAGGATCTCGCCTGGTGGCTTAGGACCAGGCCGTCTGAAACAGTATTTCCCCCATATGAACGAGCCCAAGTTTTGAGATCTTCAGGGGAGGCTCACTTGGTAGGTACGCCTCGGTGGCTGTTCCCAGGGCAACTTTGGAACTCCCTTCCTAGAGAAGTCAGACGGGCTCCCTCCTTGTCTTTCCACCGTCAAGAGAAGATCTTGTTCCGACAGGCCTTTCTTGGGGAACTGTTTTTTTAAAGGAAAAAGCTTTTAATAGTGCTGTTTTTATTATCGATAAATTTGTTTCTTGTACTGTTTTAATTCTATGAAGAATTAAAACAATATTAAGAGCTTGAGTCCAGGTCTGGGGAAAAGGAATCATCATCATTAACATCATCACCACCATGATCTTTCTCCCCAGCCAGTCCTAGCAACCTGATCAGAGTATGGTGGCAGAAGCTGCATCCGTTTTGGTAGCTTCCAGTCACTAATTCAGCATTTGCAAGAGCAACCCCCCTCCCCAAACTGTTTCCACAGCAGAAACACCCACAGAGATGAGGAGACACAGATGTTAAAAAGCATGGGAAATTTTTTAATTGAAGTTTTATTTCATAATAGGTTCTCTTTTTTTGAAGCTTTGTTGTTTCCGTTTTTAAATACAATAAATATTCACCAATAGCATTTCATGGAATGGAATCCAAATCCATTTGCAAGACTTGTCAACCTCGAACAATGTACATATGAGACAGACATGAATCCTGATGGAAGCGTGAAGAAGGGGTGGCGAAGAAATCTGCCGCGAGAAATGTACAGGTTTCCTATTGCAATTTTCTCTCGCTAATAATAATTATGGTCTGTACAGTCCGTTTGCTTTGACACAACCCAGCCCTTGGCAGAGTCTGGCGCAACCGGTGCTTTGCAGAATACCGGCCAGAGAGACCGCTCCCCCTTTCGTCCGAGGACGGTCCTTCCTGGCAGAGAGAGCACCAACGAGGCCCAAGGGACTGAACATTCGCCCTCATATTTAGCGGGGGACAAAAGAAGCAGCAAGCAAAGCTACTCATTCAAAATGTGACCCCCTAACCCAGTAGAATACAATACATTGGAGAGAAGGAAGGATTCCAACCTCACTTTTCACGTGATAGCTTAAAAATCAGCTTCTAAAAAAAGAAAGATCGCCAGGGCCACAGAGACCCAGAAGGTAAACTGGTCCAAAATGCATGCATGGTTCATCCCCGTTCCCAATTGCCTGCATTTTCAGAGTAAGGCTGTAACGCAGAGAAAAGGTTTCGGCTACTTTCCTCCCCAACCACAAGAGATCTGAAATGTGCAGTTGAAGCCTTCCAGGTGAGAGCTCTCGAGTTCTGTCTAAAGGGGTGAGCTCTGAACCGAGAGCCCCCTTTCCAATTCTTGGGGGGGGGGGGAAGATGCTGTCCAACTTGCTGCATGGGGAAGGCGAAGAAGGCCTGAACTACACCGGCAGGGCGTGTGTCTGTCCTACGCAGAGAAACAGACCAATCCAAGATAGCAGCGGAGCCCGTTGAGTCAAGAGATTGCAAACAGGAGTATCTAAGTTTGGGGTGAGAAACCTTGGGGGGCCCCCATATCTTGCTGGACTCCTGCTCACATCACTCTAGACAATGCTGGCTGTGGCTGATGGCAGCAGGAGTCCAGCAAGATTGGGGGGCCACACAATTATTCCCCACCACTGCTCTAAGTTATTACTTCCTAGGATTGCTTTTCAAATGAAAATGGCACTTTGGAATAGCTGCCCAGCCCCACACGCATGACCTGTACACCCACAGCTGTGGCGGCTCATGCGCCGAACACCCTGCTCTGAAATCAAGGCGGGGGGGGGGCAGCCGAGGAGCAGCTTGGGTTGCAGGCCAGCTCTCACTCAGCCGCCAAGCTGTTTGCATCCAGCTCCGATTCATCTTATTCAAGCCTGCATTTGGGCTTGGGGTGGGGGAAGAGAGGTGCTTCTGCAAAGCACAGGGACTTTCTACATCTAGACCTCTCTGCCTGCCAGGGAGTTTCTGAGCAACAGGGAAAGCTGGCTGTGTCTCTGTGCAAACCACTGCTTGGACTACAGGTTGCTACTACCCAAGCCTGAACCTTGCAGGGCACTGATTTGGGGTGGGGTGGGGTGCTGTGCCGCTCCCCGCAGCTCCTTTGCCCACGCCTCCGGAGAACTGCGTCTTAAAAGGTTGAGCCAACCAGCAGCGCATCCGCAGCTACACAGGCAGCAGTAGTGAATCAAGGCAGAGAAAGGAAGATTTCGCTCTCAGAACATACAAAAACGCGGGACAGTGATTTCTGACGGCGACAAAGGACTGCAAAATGTGGAGCAAGTAGTTTAAGGAAGTGTCACGAGCGCTGCCTCCGACGCCCCTTTTAGTTGCAGAGGGAATATCGGGAGGAGAAGACGGGTTTGGGTTCGGAGAGGACTCCTCAAAGCGTTTTTACAATCACCTGCTGAGAGTGGCAGCGGGCACACATTCACCTCTTCAACATGCAATACCTTTATTTCGAAGAATATTTGAGATGAACACAAAAAACCCCTGATGCCACCAACACCCGAGACAGAAATAATAATGGTTAAATGGTGTGTCGGAGTCCCTCCCAGATTTGCGAATGAGCTTCAAACAATAAAGATGACGAAACAGCAGAAATTAAACCCGTTTCCGCAGCTGAAGATGCTACGCTGTACTCCCTTTAACTTGGACAACTACTTTTCCAACATTCTGCTTAAGACAGCAGACCTTTTCTCCAACTTGAGGCAAATCTTCTTAAGGCACCAGGTTCCTTATCAAGAAGCCTAGATAGGTAAGGGAAGCAGAACCAGGTTTCTTTTGAGAGGCGACAGCCAAGCAAAGCCTGCCTTGGGAGACGCCAGGAAGTTAACACCTTTTGTCCTTTCGTCCACTCAGGGCTGGCCTGGCCCCCTCTGGACGTGCGCCTTGGAGCATGGACGATGTTTCCAAGGCAGCACGTTAAGGAATGATTTACTGAGTCACATCATTATCGTCATCTCGTCTTATGCCGTCAAGGCCTGTGCAATTTTGCTGCCAGTTACTGTCAATTTGAGAACCCCTGCTTCCAAAGCAAAGAGAGAAAGTAAAGAGGAACACATGCTCTCACAATGATTCATTAGTCAAACACACACACACACACAAAATAAAGGAGACCCTCCCTCTGACTCAGCCGCCTCCAGAATTGGAAACCGGCTCTGGGGTGGGTCTAACTCAGTGCACCAAAATTATCAACTGATTGCTGCATTTCATTTCGGCTGTGATAGCGTCAAGTATTCAAAGCACGTCTCATTTCCTCTGTACACCCAACTTTTTCTGTGCAAAATCATTTAATTAAAAAAAAAAGTGAGTGAGTGAGAGAAGTCTCCCCAATCCCCATCTCTGGTTCACCTTTTATAGCCATGAAAACATTCACCAAACAAGCGAAGAATGAGAACCTGTTTCTGTTTCACCACCCATGCCCAGAGGCCAGTGCTCTTTCCTGCTGGTTTTTTGAGAGGTGCCTCACTAAGGGTCAGAACAAGCTCCTCCCTTGCTCATCAACACACCAAAAGAAATTAAAAAAGGCATTTAAAGTCAGGTGTGGGAAGAAAACAGAAGGGGGGGAAAAGGATCTATTTACAAGGGGCTGGAGGCAGAAAAGAGCACTGGCTCCTGGATTTTCACATTGCTTGTTGACATAATGATTTAAGCTTACGAAAAGAAAGATTAAATAGTCATTTCACAATTTCCATTTCTCTCTCTCCCCAGAGTGGAATGTGTCATCCACAAGAGCGGGTCACCCCCTCTCATTTTAGGAGCAGAAGCCATAAGCAGCCCCTGCCCTCGGAATCACGTAGGAACATCCTTTGCTGTGATTGGGTTTCCTCCAGGTGCCACCGTTCCAAAAAAGTTGGGTTTCGGCTGCCCTCTTCATACCAGGACGCACAGGCGTACCCACCCCAAACACAAGGCTTGTTCATGAAATTAAACAGAAGGAGGGAGGGGGAATCAGCGCAGACTTCACCACCACACAGTTCAAGCAGGGTTAGGATGGCTGAACACAACATTTGGGTAACAAACACAGAGGAAAGCCACCTTCAGCTACTAGAGCTGGGCATGGAGGCAAACACCGAGTTCGTTTGTCGTTTCGATGAAAGGAGATCTCGATTATTTCCTCTAGAGGGAAGCAGAGCTACTTGGAATGGACCCGCACGGACAGGTTATACGCCTGACAAAAGAGTTCTTGGAAACGGCCGGTCTCCGTCCCCCACCCCAAAGGTTATCCTACAGAAGAGTGTCGTTTGCCGCAACGTAATCCTGCCGGAAATGTAAAGGAGGATTGCAGCTTTGCTCTCCAGAGCCGCTCGGACAGGGTGGGCTGGAAGGCTCCTCCTCTGTTGAGTGGAGACAGCATCTGCCTGCTTCAACATCTGGTTTGGCCATGTGGAAGCCACAACAGGGGTGGGTGGGAGGAGAGGAGGAAGTGAATGGAAGGATAATATAACCTACATAGAATAGTCACATTTTCACTGTGTGATTACCGCCACCAAAGCCCCTTACTTAAAGCAGCTGATTTGTTCAAGCCACACACAAAAAAACCCCTCTTGCGTGGCTGAGTCCACGGAGAGCGGGCCACGCTGCCCTCAGCGTAACCTGAAGAGGTGTTGCGGCAATTGTGTGGCTTCAGAGACGCCCCTGGCGCCCGTCTGTGGTTTTTTGGGTGTCTCCCTTGAGAGTTCTGGGTGGCATGGACCCATGCTTGGTCTGGAAGCATCATGCTGGTTCAGGACATGTTCGCGGTGGTTCAGCCCCTGCCCAGCCACCTGCGCATCCATGAGAGAGGCAGTGCAAGAAGGGTCTGTCCCTCTGCAAGGCTGCCAGGCTTCATTGCCACCCAAAGTGGGTCAAATTTTAGTTCCGTGGTGATGGCTGAAGTGTATTTACATGGGGGGGGGGCTGCGTTCACAGAGCCCCTGCAGGCGGTGGGCCAGATTTCTTCTCTCCCGCCTCCACGTCTAGTCAATCGGAGCTGGGCTTTCGTAGAGAGAAGGGGCGGATGTTGAAGTGCTTGCTCAGCTGGCTCACCTGGGAGGGGGAGAAAGCAGAGGTAGAGAGAACGGGCAAGGTGAGGGGGGTGTTGTTGCAGGAAAGCAGACCCCTGACCATGGCCCCCTCCCCTCCAAGCCCCATCCTTCCTTCTCCTCTGCCTGCCTTCAAATTCTACATATAACGCTCCACTTACTCCTCTGCTCTGCCCACCAATTTGCCCCATATCTCTTTCCTCACCTGCTCTGCTCCTGGGCAGAAAGATGGGGAAGCAGCACCTCAGCTGTGATTCCTGCCTTGCAGGGGGCTGGAGTAGATGGCCTTTGGGGGTTCCTTCCAGCCCAACAATTCTAGGACTCTTATCTGCTTTTGTTGCCCCAGAGCATCATCCTACGTCTCCCTTTTCCCTCCCAGGGGCAGATTCTAGCTAATATGAAGGCGATGGATTCAGACTGGTTTGCCCAGAACTACATGGGCAGGAAGTCTAAGGTAAGGGGCCGATGTTGGCAGTTTTGCTGTGAATGTGCGTCCTCCTCCTTTATAGCCTCCCCTTTGCCTTGCCTGTGGGTGGTGCTGTGGGTTACACCACAGAGCCTAGGACTTGCCGATCGGAAGGTTGGCAGTTCAAATCCCCTTGACGGGGTGAGCTCCCGTTGCTCGGTTCCTGCTCCTGCCAACCTAACAGTTCGAAAGCACCTCAAAGTGCAAGTAGATAAATAGGTACCGCTCCGGCGGGAAGGTAAACGGCGTTTCCATGCGCTGCTCTGATTTGCCAAAAGCGGCTTAGTCCTGCTGGCCACATGACCCAGAAAAACTGTGGACAAACGTCGGCTCCCTTGGCCAGTGAAGCAAGATGAGCGCCGCAACCCCAGAGTTGGCCACGACTGGACCTAATGGTCAGGGGTCCCTTTACCTTTACCTGTGCCACACAGACGCGTGCCACGGGATCACTTACCACGCCGACTCCATAATGGATGTGCGCCATGGTGATGAAGGTGGTGAGCAGGTAGAGGAGGAAGGTTTCGCTCTCCGGCAAGACGCCCGTCAGCACCACGAAGATGACCAGGGCCAGCGGGAAGAGCAGCCAGTTGAGAGGCTGGCAGCGGGTGCTGCTCATCTGGCAGACGATCAGGCGGCACTGGGGGGAGAGGAGGAACAGCTGGTAAGGGAGGACCAGGATGGGAGGAGAGGTCCGCCCTCCAAGGCAAGGCACTGCTCCACCAACAGCTGCTCCAATCCATCCAGGGCCATTTCCTGGAGGACCACTGAGGGAGCCGCTCTAGAACTTCACTGCTCCAGAGGCACCGCTCTAGGGCTTCTGGCAGAACTCTACTGCTGCAGCGCAGACGGATCCTCTGTAACAGAGAGTCAGTCCTACACGTGGGCAGGAATCCAAGGGCAACGCTGGAGGGTAGGCAGTGGAGGTGCTTTCTGCACAAGCAAACCCATATAGTTGTCAAGGGGACTCTGGGGCCCTCCTGGCTTTGAGGCTCTCCTCCTTGCGCCTTGAGCAAACTCCCCAGTTCAGGTAAGCTGAAAAGTTAGACCAAGGATATGGAAGTTTTTTCCTAAATAAAAAGAGGCGCTGGCTTTTCCTAAAAAAGCTTCTTCCTTGAAAAGATTCACATTTGCTTTGGCAAAGGGTGTTTAAAGAGATAACAGAAACCACAGGGTTAAAGCTGACCAAAAGTCCAGAGGTAGCATTATTTTGAATTTACGATGGGGTGGAAGGTTCGCAAGGGCTTGCTCACAAATTCATTGGCAGCTGCATGAATTATTATAGCTAGGAAGCGGAAGGGGCAAGGGGAATATAAAATGGAAGAATGGTATAAAGAGGTCTGGGATATAGCTATTCATGATAACTTAATGTGTGCCATTAAGGTAAGACGGGGAATATGCAGGAGAAATGATTTTGAGGAGATATGGAAGGTGTTTGTAGAATCTGCACTGTTAAAATGGAAAGGGGTCAAACCATCGCAAGAGGTGTTGAAATTTTGGGAGGTTAGATAGTTACAATGGAATAGTCTCAGTCGTGGGGTGCACATTTTTATTCTTATTTATTTATGATTATTACTTTGTCAAAAAATTAAAATTAAAATTAAAATTTTTACAAAAGATTCACAGTAGTTCAGTCAGCACATTATGGAACTCCTAATCTCAGGGTGATGGGTTCAAGACGCACGTTGCGCAAAAAGATTCCTGCATTGCAGGGGGGGTCAGACTAGATGGCACTCACAGCCTTCCAGGGGCCATTGCACCACATGACTCTTATTTATGTATTTCATAAAAATTAGACACTGCTTGATTTGGGGGGTGGGGGTGGGACAGACCTCAAAGTGGTTGGTTTACAAAAAGATAGACCAATACAGTGGTACCTCTGGATGCGAACGGGATCCGTTCCGGAACCCCATTAGCATCCTGAGTAGAACGCAAACCGCGACTGCGTGGGTCGCAATTCGCCACTTCTGCGCATGCAAGTGACGTCATTTTGAGTGTCTGCGCATGCGGTGAAACCCGGAAGTAACATGTTCCGTTAATTCCGGGTCGCCGCAGAGCGTAACCTGAAAACGCTCAACCTGAAGCATATTTAACCCGAGGTATGACTGTAAAATCGGGGGGGCGCTTTAAAAAACAACAACTTAAAATACTGGAACAGATGAAAATTCACATCCACCTGCCTATCATCCAGGTAGGCTTGTCTAAACAATAATATTTTTAGCAGGTGATGAAAAGTACAGTGAAGGCGCTGCTTGATATCAACAGGCAGGGAGTTCCTAAGGTTAGGTGCTGCCGCCCTCAATGCTCTGTGGGTCTCGTGTGCTGCCTCTAGCAGTGCCCATTCCGTTGATCAAAGCAGTGGCACATGCAGGGCAAAGCAGTCTCTTGGGTGAACGCTTGCGCAAGGAGGTTAGAGTCCAGCCACATGGAAGCCAGAGGTTTCGACATGCGCATCTCACCATTGGAGGAGGAACTGAGGAGGACGTATGGGGAAGCCAGGGGGGAAATGCTGGAGGAGGGTTGTGGAGAGGAGTGTGGCCAAGGGAGATTGCTGAGGGCCGGGTAAAGAGGGCTGGAGGGCCACACCCAGGGTTCCTCACCCCGAGGCAAAGCGCCTTTGCTCCTGCCCCGCCAGGCCCCTCTGCGTACGTGTCTCTGCAGCAGAAGGAACTTACGGAAATGTTGGCAAAGGCCGTGCCGACCATGAAGTAGAAGAGGCGGGGCTGGGTCTCCAGGATCTGCGTGGGCGAGTGGAAGATCCAAATGGTGCAGAGGATGAAGAGGAGGACCGGCGAGAGGAAGGGCAGCATCGCCTCGTAGAAGGAGTGGTGCTTCAGGGTGTTGCTTCTGTAGGCTCTGAAAGGCGGGAGAGGCGTCAGCAAGAGGTCGCCTGGTCGAGAGTTGGTGAGGCTCATTCGACAACAAAAACCCGAGCCTTTAGTGTCACCCGCCCAGTCCTGTGGAACTCTCTGCCACTGGAGACTGAGCAGGGGCCTTCTGTGCCAACTTTTAAACATCAGCTGAAAACTTTCCTATTCTGCCAGGCAATCACAAATGCATCCTTCCGCAATGGTTAACTGATGTCCATTTTTAACTTTGTACGGGACCGCTTTGATATTTTAAAATGACACAGCGGTATACGAGTCTTTTAATAAATATAATTTTCAAAAAAAGGGGGTGGGGTCCCCTGAAAGGCAGCTGGGAGCACCATCAGACTAACTCTGAAGGAGGCAGAACCTGATATAGTTCTTCCAACGAGGTCCCATCTGCAAGGCTGCAGTGTGGCCAGCAAAAGGAAGATTGGGGCTGAGAAGCAGAACCCCCTCCATCGGGAGCAGGCCAGCCCCATCAGGCCTCCTCTCCCCTCAAAGGTCACCTGGGGCAGCCAGTGCCTCGGGCTGCCTCAGTGGGAGAGATAGAAGCAGCTGGGCTCATTCCACCAGCTTTGCCAGAGGTCCAGTTCCTCCACCAGGCACCTCCTGCCTCTGAACTGGGCCAGCCGGTCATTAGAGGAACAACTATTTAGAATTCGGTGCCTGAGTTTTCATTTTCCTCTTCCCTCCCTGTCTCTTTCTCCTTGCGTGTCGTGGGTTTTTTGGGAGGGCAGTATAATTCTGCGAGACGGTCTTGTTTTGATAGTATGTAAGCTACTCTGTGGGGACTCGGGTGGCGCTGTGGGTTAAAGCACAGAGCCTAGGACTTGCCGATCAGAAGGTCAGCGGTTTGAATCCCAGCGACAGGGTGAGCTCCCATTGCTTAGTCCCTGCTCCTGCCCACCTAGCAGTTCGAAAGCACGTCAAAGTGCAAGTAGATAAATAGGTACCCCTCCGGCGGGAAGGTAAACGGTGTTTCCGTGCGCTGCTCTAGTTCGCCAGAAGCGGCTTAGTCCTGCTGGCCACATGACCCGGAAGCTGTACGCCGGCCCTCTCAGCCAATAAAGCGAGATGAACGCCGCAACCCCAGAGTCATCCACAACTGGACCTAATGGTCAGGGGTCCCTTTACCTTTAAGCCACTATGGGAGCGTTCCTGGCTGAAAAGTGGGGCACAAAATCCTCAAAATAAAAAAAATAAAATACATATAGGAGGCCTGGCTTTGTCCAAGAGGCCTGGCCCAGCTGGTTGAGAGAGAGGGCCCAGCCAGGACTTCCGGGGTGGCGCCATCGGCAATGGCGGACTCCCTCTGAACTGGAGGGACTAGCTCCGCGCGAAACGGGTCTTTTCCGCTACGGCGAAGCGGGGACCCTTTTAAAAATCACAGGCGGATGAAGCCTGTGACCATGGGACTCGGCGGGCACCCTTAGCGCCCCCCCAACCCACAAAGGAACCCACTAACGGGCTCTGAAGCGAAGAGGCGGAAGCGGCGCGGTGCTGTGAGTCAACTGCTATTTCCGTGGAGCGAAGCCGCACAGCCGTTGCCGGAGAGCGCTGCCTTTTCCTGGGACAATTTGGCTTCTAAAATAAGCACCCGTGAGTACTTAAACTTTGAACAATTGGACTTTAAATAAGGCCTTGCGAGCAGAAAGGAATTGGACTTAAAAATTTTACTTCAATTTGGTACTGAAACGAGAAGGTCTAAACAGGAAGTCAGCCTTCCGTTTCTTTGTAGACAGAATAAAGCACAGACAACGTAAACTAGAGCTCAGAAAATCGCTTCTAAAGGATTGGCTTTCATCATTTAAAATTGTTGAACCCCCCTTTGGCAGCAGGAGAAGAAGGGGGATCTTTTTTGGACTGTTTAAACCTGCAGAAGTGAGTTTAAAGTAAAGTAACTTTCCACCGTCCTGATCCTGGAGCGGGGTGTCAGGACTGACGTTTGAAGCTCATTGACCAGAGATAAACGCTTTTGACAGATAGCTAAAAGAAGAGAAACATAGTGATTCCATTGTTTCCTTTCGCACCTTAAAGGAACAAATATTGACAAAATATCTGAAAAAGGGAAACTCTGTTGCTAGACTTGTCTTTAAAAGAAAGATCAAATAGAAGTTTTCCCCCTAGAGGGAGACTGTGAAACTGTAACCAACTCCTGGGAGCTGGCAGCTGTTACAGATTACAATCGTGGGAATAGACATCTGACCTTCAGGACAATGTATTCAGAAGCTCTGTTGTGTGCTTTCTATAAAACAAATGCCCTACTGGAACAGCTACATGAGAAGACGAATTTGATGGCTGATTCGATTAGAAATTTTGAACAGGCAGTGGGAAATTTTGAACAGGCAGTGGGAAAATATGTGGAGCCCACCCAGGAATTAAATCAGGAGTGCGCCTTGACAGAACAGGCCCAACAGGAATATGAGCTTTGAGATTTTTCAAATGTAAGTTGGAAAAGCCAGATTTGGAAAGAAAAAGTTTGGTTTGGTTTGGAAATGGGGGGTTGGATAGACCCTCCTATGCAGGGATGTTTGGACTTTTCAAGTCTGGCAATGGGCCATGAGATGTTTGGGATTGTGGGGGCTCTCAATTTTGGAGGGTTTTTGAAACATTTTAAATACCACATGGAATTTAGTGTCGATTATGGAAAAGGGGCTGATCTGTCGAGAAGGGTCAAAAATATTGCTAAGCTGGAGTTCCCACGAGTGAAACGAGCAGGAGACAAGGGAAAATACAGTTACAAATATGAAGAAGAGCTGCGGAAGGGACATGGAAGAGACTTAAGGGCCTCGGATATAAGGTTACCAGGTTAATGCGCCAGATCGATGGGATAATAAGGACTGACAAAACCCGGGACCAGGAGGAAGGGACGCTGGATGAAGATTGGATTTGTTTTTATTTCTTTTTTTTTTCATTACTAGGACTGTTTTATAAAATTGATGAATGTTAGAAAAATGTTGGAATGAAATTATTTGGCTTTAGTAAAAATGTTTAAAGAATTATGTAAGAATATTATGGTTATGAGAAGTTGGTAAAAATAAGATTTAAGTTTTAAGTTCCAAGGTTTTTTATAGTAAGATAAGATTAAAATAGTTTAAGGTAATGTAACGACAGAATATTATGAAATATGGAAAGGATTTGCTGTGACAATTAATAATCAGGACACAAGGAAGGGGAGGAGGAGGAGGTCAAGGAAAGAGGGAAATGACAGTTGAGGAGTTGAGAATAATGGATTTGTTTTTAAATGTTTTTAAATTTTTGTGGTGTATTTTTGTTTTTTTCTCTCTTATTTTGAATTTGTATTTGTATGGTTGGAAGTGGCTTGTTTTTCTCTTTTTCTACTTTGTTTTCTTTTGTAACTTTAAAAAAAAAATTCTTTCAATAAATATCATTTTAAAAAAAAAGAGAGAGAGGGCCCAGCCAATCTCTCTGCTCCATAGTCTCAAAAACAAAGGCTTGCCTCTGGCATCACTCGTGCCCATTTTGCTTTCTCAAAACTCTCCCCACTGGGGAGACACTGAGTGGTGCTGACACCCCAGCAGAACTGGGGCAGCCAACCCCATGGGGCGCTGACAACCGAGCTCAGACAGGACTTACTTGTAGTAGTTCAGCAGGCTCATGGGGAGGGTCACAGTCAGCGCGCAACCTAAGGGAGAGAGAGGAGGGCCAGGTTATGACATGCGTTTCCCTTCACACAAAGACAGACGCTGCCACACAGCAAAGCCTGTTCCACAACCCTCACTTGGATTTGTAACGGCAACTTGTGGCAGGGGAATGCGAGTGTCTCCGGAAAGGAGGGAGCAGCTGCTGGTGAAAAAGGAAGCTTTTGCTGGGCTGGCTCAACAGCTGCGCATCCTGCAGTGCTGGCCATTTCTATCATTCATGGAAGAATGCATTTGCTTCTTTCTCTTCTGTTAATACTCAGCATGTTGTGCATTCACCAGGACCATGGTGCAGTGGTGAGTTGCCTTGAGGACCAAAAGGCAGGCTATAAAAATAAATGCAGTGGAACCTCGGTTCTCGAACCGCTCCGTTCTCAAATGTTTCGGCTCCTGGACGTCGAAAACCCTATTTTTCACCCCACAGGGTGCACCGGCCCATAGGGCGCACCTAGTTTTTTTGGGGGGAAATAAAGAAAAAAAAAATATTTCCCCCGCAGGCATGGGGCTGGGGCAGGGCAAGCCCGAGCTTCCCCCGACCCCAGCCCCCAGAACAGGCTGCTATCCGCAAGCCTAGGGAGCCCGTCGGGAAGTCTCTTCAGCGTGCCCCAGGCTTCGGAATGCAGGCAGCTCTGCGCAACCCTAGGGAGACCGGTGCGACTTCGCGCCGGTCTCCCAAGGGTTGCGCAGAGCTTCCTGAAGCCTGGAGAGCGAGTGGGGTCGGTGCGCACCGACCCCTCTCGCTCTCCAGGCTTCAGCAAAAGCCTGCATTCGGCCCATAGGACGCACACACATTTCCCCTTCATTTTTGGAGGGGAAAAAGTGCGTCCTATGGGGCAAAAAATACGGTAAGTGCTCTGGTTTTTGAATGTTCCTTGGAACCTGAACATCCGACGCAGCTTCCGATCTGCAAAAACGCCTAACTGTCAGCCAAACGGAAGCCGCGCCTCGGAATTCGAACGTTTTGGAAGTCGAACGTCTTTCCGGAAAGGATTATGTTTGACTTCCAAGGTTCTACTGTATTGCACATTGTGACTGTTTGGGTTCCATTTTTTTTAAACATCAATACAGCAAACCCCCCAAAGCTGAATCAGTGCAACAACTTAGAAATACTGTGGATTCCTGACGTCAGCAAAGGGGGGCAGGAGGAGAGACGTTAATAAGAGCTCTGCCTGTTCAGGCCAAAAGGCCTTTGTCTACCCCAGCATCCTCCATCCCAGGGGACTTTTTTGGCCCGGCAGTACAGATATTTATCTCCCTTCACTCCACCAGGGGCCAACTTTGATGGGTGGGAGGGACCTCATCTGACACCATAATCGTATCAGCTGATTGACAGGTGGGTGGTTCCACTGACCTGCCAAAATTGGAGAGCAAAGGATAGGGAAGCTAGTGATGCAACAGGATTTGGCAACCCAGACAACCTGGTGCAGTCCAGCTGCCACCTGCCCCACCCAGCTGCATCTGGAGCATATTTGTCTGGCTTCAGGCCCAGTCATGGTAATGTCAACATATTACAGCCTGAATGATCTTGGGCCACACATTTCTGAAGCAGCTCCCATGTGTACCAGTTTGGGTACGGAGATCAGAGGAGAAAGCCCTGCCAATGCCCTAGGGAATCTCTGGGGCAGCTGCTTTCTCCGACAGAGCCTTCTCTGCTGTGGCTCCTGAACTGTGCAACGTCCCTCCCTATAGAGGTTTGCCTGGGCCTGAAACTTTGCACATTTCGCCCGGTACTTCCATCATGCTTGTCTTAACTCTGGCCTTCACAGGTGAAGTGTGGATTTTTAGCTTCCCAACCTGTAAATGTATCTGTTGAATGCTTTTATGATTGCGTTCTACCTTTGAAGGGAACTCAGAAGCTACAACTAATAGCAGAACGCAGCAGCTAGACTGGTGACTGGGAGCGGCTGCCGGGACCATATAACACTGGTCCTAAAGAATCTTCATTGGCTCCCAGTACATTTCCGAGCACAATTCAAAGTGTTGGTGCTGACCTTTAAAGCCCTAAACGGCCTCAGTCCTGTATACCTGAAGGAGCGTCTCCACCCTGGACACCTGGGTCCAGCTCCAAAGGCCTTCTGGCGGTTCCCTCCCTACGAGAAGTGAAGTTGCAGGGAACCAGGCAGAGGGCCTTCTCGGTGGTGGCACCCACCCTGTGGAAAACCCTCCCTTCAGATGTCAAGGAGATAAAGAACTACACAACTTTTAGAAGACATCTGAAAGCAGCCCTGTATCGGGAAGTTTTTTGATGTTTGATGCTTTACTGTGGTTTTATAATTTGTTGGAAGCAGCCTAGAGTGGCTGGGCCAACCCAGTCAGATGTGTGGGGTACAAATAAAATCACCATCATTTTATGCTTTGTGGCTTATTCATTATTTTGCATTTTAGTTTATAGGAATCAGAGTTGGAAGAAACCCCCATGAGTCAACTAGTCCAGGCATCCCCAAACTCGGCCCTCCAGCTGTTTTGGGACTACAGTTCCCATCATCCCTGACCACTGGTCCCGTTAGCTAGGAATGATGGGAGTTGTAGTCCTAAAACAGCTGGATGGCCGAGTTTGAGGATGCTTGATCTAGTCTAACCCCCTCCAATACACACTCTATGTAACCTTACCCAGGACCTTAAGATGAAAGACCAAGAAAAAACAAATAGCAAATGAAAAGTTAGGCAGATATTTTACTAACATTTGTAATTATACAACAAATTTGCCCCAGACCGGCCTCAATGAAATCTTGCCACTATCCACAAGTCCAGAATACCTCATTGATCTTAAATAGGGTCTAAAATTCTGGAGCAAGCAGTGTCTCAATTGTGATCCAGTTTGTGTACTCCAAAGAAAGGGTTGGGGGAAGCACTGGGCAAACAAAATAAAACAGACAGACCAACATGGGATTATGGCACCGTATGATATTAGGAAATTTTAAAATACAGGCTTTCAGAGGAAGCTCCTTACCAAAGATCATTGCAGTGAATAGGTCTCTATACAAGAAATTGAAGAGGAAAGGGTTGTACCAGGCCTCCACTCCCACAATAGACGTCACAATGTATACGATGGAAATGGTCTGAAAAATAATCAGAGAGAGAGAGAGAGGCAGAATTGCAGCATCTGGAAAGACTCATCCGGCCAGCTGGTGTTTGGATAGAATGGCTTAGCGATCAGAAAGCTCTTAGCCACGTTATGACACTGCCCAAAGTGTCAGCATCGCCCTTGAGCCAGTGTCACCAACTGGACTCATCCACTTCAGCCCCGACTGGGCTAGGCGAGCTGGGTAGCACTTCCAGAGACCACCTTCTGCACAGGAACAGGTCAAAGTGCTGTGGACTCACAGCTCAGAGTTGTGAGCACCGGATTCACTTCCACAAGAAGACAGTCGTCGCACAGCAGAGTATAGCAGAGCATAAACGACTCGGAGAGCAGCTCTGTAGAATATCTTCTTTATTCTATCTACAACTATAATACACAACTATATACAGAGCTATATGAGGTCTAAGCAAAATGAATGCTGAACTGCACTGAGTGCCTGCAGCTGCTCTTAGCAGCAACCTTATCTATACACACGATCTCTAACACTCAGTCTCTCTCTCTCCGACACACTGACTGACTGACTGATGTTAGGCTCCTCTCTGGAAAATCACCAGACTCATCAGCAGATTCTTGGATATGGGAGGGGTGAAATCTCCTCACAAAGGAGTCCGGGCTTATGCCCCTGGGGTGGAAAAACAGACCCCGCAGAGCCATTTCCCCCCTACAAATGCATTCCCAGTGCAACTGCTGGCTGCAAACAGCAGACCCACAAACCTGCCCAGCATGAAGCTCCCCTGGGATTTGGCAGCTGGGCCTGGTGGGAGCTGAAGCCTGAAAAATCTTGAGGGTGCCAGCTTGGCCGTGGCTGGCAGAGTCACCCGCAGCCTCAGCTGGAACACGGGGATTGTACTGGTCTGTATCACAGGTTTGCTCTTGCAAAGACCGGCAACACAACATGAAGTGGTCTCTGCACAGGCAGGTAAACACACGCTTATTTATAAAGGTGCTAGGAACCAGCCAACCACTCCTTTCAGTTTTTGCTTTTGGCAAGAGGTTGTTTTTAACCCGATTCAGTCCACTTTCCACCACCAGACATGCAGGGGAGAAAGCGGGGAAGGAAACTAGGATTCAAATCCCTGCTCAGTCACAAAGCCCACTCCCTAGCGACCTCATGGGTAAAGGTAAAGGGACCCCTGACCATTAGGTCCAGTCGTGACTGACTCTGGGGTTGTGGCGCTCATTGTGCTTTATTGGCCAAGGAAGCCGGCATACAGCTTCCGGGTCATGTGGCCAGCAGAACTAAGCCGCTTCTGGCGAACCAGAGCAGCGCATGGAAACGCCATTTACCTTCCCGCCGGAGCGGTACCTATTTATCTACTTGCACTTTGACGTGCTTTCGAACTGCTAGGTTGGCAGGAGCAGGGACCGAGCAATGGGAGCTCACCCCGTCGCGGGGATTTGAACCGCCGACCTTCTGATCGGCAAGTCCTAGGCTCTATGGTTTAACCCACAGCGCCACCCGTGTCCCTGACCTCATGGGAGGGTCGGATAAAAACCACTTATATTGGTCCTGAGCGGGGGTGGTGAGTCTCCAATATTCTATTTTTGTATTTTTAACTAAAACTCTTCCCTGGAAATGTTAACGTTTGAATGACAGCTGGTTTGGTTAAAGTATGGGGAAGATGCCTTGACTGGATTTTATCTGGACAGAATGGACTGGACGTCTGCATCTGCATGTAATGGGAGGATTCTTGGACTGATCTGGCAGAAATACCAGCCTGTGAAGAGACGCTGCAAACCTATATAGGGGAATCCTGGACATAAAACCACACAGAAACATATTGTTTGATTTATCTCGCTTGTCGGAAGAACTCAGAGGCTGTGGGAAATAATGAGGATTAACATCAGAATGACTTATGGGAACCACCGGAAATGAATATGAGAAGCAGTAAAAGTATGAGATGATCAGATCCCCTCCGACCTCAGAGCATGGTGAAGTCTCCCCGGAAAATTTGGCATAATATTTGGATTGTTTAATTATTGAATAATTTGTATAAGTCGGAATATATGATGTGATTTGATTGGAATGTTAAAATGGAAAATTTAACAAATATTCTTTTTTTAAAAAAATAATAATATTGGTCCTGAGCTTTTTGAAGGAAGAGATCATAGAGCTGGGAGGGATCCCGAGGGTCATCTAGTCCAACCCCCTGCAATGCAAGCAAAGCATCCCTGACAGATGGCCCTCCAACCTCGGCTTAAAAACCTCCAAGGAAGGCGTCAAAGCCTTCCTGCTTGGGCAGGGATTTGTCCCATGGGCAATTTGCACAGCCTATAAAAGTTACCGTATTTTTCCGTGAATAAGACTAGGTTTTTTCCCTAAAAACTAATGTCAAAAATTAGGGGGCGTATTAAACACAGATGCATCTCCCCCCATTTTCTTAAATCTGGGTCCCCCAAAATAGGGGGTGTCTTGTACGTGGAAAAATATGGTAACTCCCATGAGAGAGGGAGGGATCTGAATTCACTCGAGTCTTAAGAGCATAAGTAGAGTTTTGTTGGATCAGGCCCAAACGGGCCCATCTGGTCCAGAATCTTCTTCTCACAGGGGCCAATGAGATGCTCCAAAGCAGGCACAGGCAAACCTGGCCCTCCAGATGTTTTGGGACAACAACTCCTATCATTCCTAGCGAACAGGACCAGTGGTCAGGGATGATGGGAGTTGTAGCCTCAAAACATCTGGAGGGCCAGGTTTGCCTGTGCCTGCTCCAAAGGGAAATCTATCTGCAAGCAGGACCAGGGCACCACAGCAACACTCTCCCCTTCTAGTATATCTGAAGGAGCGTCTCCATCCCCATCGTTCTGCCCGGACACTGAGGTGCCCTCCCACCAGATGTCAAAGAGAACAACAACTACCAGACTTTTAGAAGACATCTGAAGGCAGCCCTATTAAGGGAAGCTTTTAATGTTTGATGTATTATGGTATTTTAATATTTTGTTGGAAGCCGCCCAGAGTGGCTGGGGAAACCCAGCCATATGGGCGGGGTATGTATGTATGTATGTATAAATAAATAAATAAATAAATATAATAATTACTTCTGCAGTTCCCAGGAGCTGGTATTTGGAAGCACTGCTGCCTCCAGAACAGAGTAATCAATAGCCCTATCCTCCTCCATGAATTGGCCTCATCCTCTTTTAAAGCTATCCAAGTTGGTGGCCATCCTTGCCTCTTGTTGGAGGATAATTTAACTATGAACTGTCTCGAAAACACACAACCAAAGGTGGACAGGAAGAGAGACATGTCAAGCTGCTCCTTCCCTTTTGGCTCAGGAACGAAATTTGCCCCAAGAGTCATATGTTCCCACCTGCAAAATCTATTGACCAACGCAGGTACACCCCCCCGTTCTCCCCCCAGTGCAATTTATGGGACAGCATTGCGCAGAGGTCTCTGCTCAGCCAAGTCCAAGTCAACAAAACCTCTCCGACTGGCTGTGTGAGGAGGCAAACATCCGGGGGCAAAGGGCCCTTCCAAGGCTCCAGCGTGGTGAGCGGCTGTTCAGAAAGCGATCCATGGCCGTGGGCTGGGGAGGGGAGAGGAAGGACAGCAGGGAAATGATTGCCCAGAGGTATTTTTCCTGCCAAGAGGGAGAGAAGGCAGAAGCTGCGCGCCTGCAGATGATCACGGGAGGCAGCGATGGTCCAAAGAGGACTGGACAAACCCATGAAGGCGGCTAGCAATGGGGACTAGCCAGGATGACTCTGCTCTGCCTCCACAGCCAGGGCTCTCATGCTCAGGTCCTGTTTGCTGGTTTCCCACAAGCATCTTGAAGCTGACCCAGAAACTCCAGCGGGTGCAGAATGCCACCTTACGGGGTCCTCACCGCGGGATCACATTCATCCAGTGCTTTACCAACTTCACTGGCTCCTGGTGGAGTACAGGGTCTGGTTTAAGGTGCTGGTTTTGACCTTTAAAGCCCTATATGGCCTAGGACCCTCGTACCTATGGGACTGCCTCTCCTGGTATGCCCCGCAGAGGACCTTAAGGTCCACAAATAACAGCACTTTGGTGGTCCTGAGCCTCAAGGAGGTTAGATTGGTTTCAAATAGGGCCAGAGCCTTTTCAGCACTGGCCCCGACGTGGTGGAACGCTCTGTCACAAGAGACCAGGGCCCTGCGGGACTTGACATCTTTCCGCAGGGCCTGCAAGACAGAGCTGTTCTGCCTGGCCTTTGGTTTGGACTCAGTCTGACCCTTATGTTTCCCTCCCCTTATGGTTTTGATCTATGGGCTACTTTTAAAATGAGGCTGCATTTTAAACTGCATTTTAAATTGGGTTTTTTTCCCTCCCTCTTCCTTCTGTTTTTACTGTGATTTTATTTTATTGGTGTTAGCCGCCCTGAGCCCGGCTCTGGATGGGGAGGGCGGGGTATAAATAAAACTGATGATGATGATGATGATGATCTGGTCAACCACTGTGAGAACAGGAAGTTGGACTAGAAGGGCCCTTGATCTGATCCAGCAATTTCTTCTCGTGAGCACAGCTGACCGATTTGTTGGTGGCTGGCAGAACGCACAACCCCCTTCCTCCCCACTCCAAGGCAACGACGTCAGCCAAGTAATTAAGTCAGAGAGGACTCTGCAGATCTTAGTCAATGAATGTTGACTGCTTTGGCTGACAGACTCATCTATTAAAATGTGAAGCAGCAGGAAGGAAGGGGGGAACCTCAGATGTCACAGCAGGCGCCATCTGAGAAGCGACTGCTGTGTTGCGGTGGAAGGAAGGCAGAACAGCCTCTTCCAAGATGATGCCTCTTGCATGGCAGCTTTTGAAATTGGCTTCCTTTCCTCAGCTGCCTGGCTTATCACTGGCACAAATAAAAAACTGATGCAAATTGTTGGGAAATCAATTGCCCCATAAAATGTTGCAGCCCTGTTGTTTTGCAGTTCGGTCCCTCCTAGCGCCATCTGACTCAACACCACAATTCCTTGCAAGAGACCTTCTTGAACTCCTCCACTGTAACTTTTACCCACAATGTTTTGTTTTCATTTATTTCATAAAAATTTATACACCACTTGGTTGCAAACAAAAGGGGAAAAAACTCAATATGGTTTACAAAAAGCTAAAACAAGGAAATCAAGGGAAAACATTTTAAAACATACAAAAAGTTAAAATACTAAAACCTGGTTAAAATCCACATCAGTTTTCTAAGCATCTGGGCAGTTTTTTTTAGCAGGTGCCAGAAATAATACAGTGAGGGTGCCTGCTTGGCATCAATAGGCAGGGAGTTCCAAAGATTTCCAAGACCGTTTTGTAATCTTTGGAGGGGAACAGTCTGCCATTTCCAGGCATGGCTTGCTCAAGCTGCCCTGGGGCAGATCGTTAGTCTTTCCCAGCAATGAAATTCTGTTGTCACACTGACTAGCCCAAGGCAACCCTCCTTAAGAGGAGGCGCTCTGTGCCGCTGTGACAAACACTCCACCCCACTCTGACTGCAGAAAGGCATCCTTAATAACTACACGGCCCTGCAAGCCAGGCCAGAGGTTTTTTTCTGGAGCTTGATTTCAAGTAACTGTTTCTTTTCCACTCTCTGCCTCTCAAACGAGCCCCCTTTCCCCACAATGGGCTTCACAACACCAAAAAATAAAAAATACTCAGTTGTCAGAATAAAACAGCACATGAAAAACAAACCAATAAAAGCAAATCCACATGCAGGTAAAGGTGATAGGCAGCCACTGCGGTGTAGCGCTGGACCAGGTCCTGGGTTCAAATCCTCCCACTGGGTGTGACTCTGGGGGCCAATTGCTGCCTCTCAGCCAAACTATAACTCACAGAGTTGTTGTGGGGTAAAACGGGGAGCAGGAGTGCTAGAAGAGGCAGGCTATAAGGAGGACTGGAAACCTTTTGTTGAATAGTTAAAGCATGACTGTAAACATGTAAAAACACAGGTAGGATTTGAATGAAGAACATCGGCAAAATATTTGTTGGAGAATATTGTGGAGTACGTAGGACACAGAATGACCATAATACGCAGAAATTTTAGAAAACACGTGAAAACCACGGAGGGGGTGGAGGGGAAGTCAAATCTGAAACAAACATGATTTGGGAAAATACGTATCAAATTTGTAAACTTTCTGAAGCCTAAAAACCCCCAAAGCAAAAGCAGGAGAGCTATGCGCACAATCTTGACTTCCTTGGGAGGAGAAGGCAGCCTATACAGTCATACCTTGGTTCTCAAACGCCTTGGTACTCGTATGTTTTGGCTCCCGAATGCCGCAAACAGTGACTGTTCTGGTCTTCTAACATTTTTCGGAAGCCGAAGGTCCGGCGTGGCTTCCGATTGAGTGCAGGAAGCTCCTGCAGCCAATCGGAAGCCGTGCCTTGGTTTTTGAACAGTTCCAGGAGTCAAACGGATTCCCAGAACGGGTTGAGTTTGACAACCAAGGTATCACTGTAAATGAAGTAGAGCAAAAGTGGGAAGAGGGAACCGGAGGGTCAGGAAGCGCCGCACTTACCACCTGGCTGATGTCGTACCCCCAGGGCAAGAAGAGAACTCCCGTGTTGTACTTCTCCCAGTGGGAGAGGATGAAGGAGAACAGGACCACCCACAGGAGGATGTAGAGGACGAAGACGCTGACGCCGTTGGGCCCCCGGCCGAAGGTGGAGTAGACCGTCACCACGAAGAACATGCAGGCCCAGCTGTCCAGGCCGTGGTCAAAGAGCTCGCCCAGAGGGGTGCTGGACTGCGTGCGCCGGGCCTGCTTGCCATCCACGCCATCTGGGGGGGGGATAAGGAAAGGAGGTGGGTCAGAGGCACGGGTCAACTCCCTGCAGTCCCAGTGCCTGGCTGGGAGGAGAGGCACAAGCCCCAAAGCCAGAGCTTGTGTTAAAGAATCTGTATTTATCTGTCGGAGGGCCATAGATCAGGGGTAGGCTGTCTGCCTTGCAAGACCTTTAAGATCGCTTCCTGTGCTCCTAAACAGAATCAGGACTCGGTGGATAAACCGCTAACGGGATTTCTCTTACGGCCATGTTCTGGGAGGGCTTAGGAGGCGCGAACGTGAACGCTTGGTACAAGAGAGGGTGGCAGGATGCCCTTACGGAGAAACTGACCCACAAATTGAGACGGGCAAGGGGAACAAAGCACAAAGAGACCTTTGTTGGTGAACGGTGGGGATTTCTTTCATTCACAAGCACTCCAGAAAACCAAAGCCTAGTCCCAAAGATTTATAGTAGCTTGTGGATCGGTTAATAAGAATATATTTAACACATATATACTGTTGTAAGCTGCGGTGTTCATGGATGCAGGTTTTCATAATGAATCTTTTGTTGGGGGGCTGTAATTTGGGGAAAATATAAAGGGGAAAATGTTTTTTAAAAAAAGCATCACTTAAAGAGTCAGGGAAGATGAACCCCTGGCCACCTCTGTCTGAGCAGAGGCTTCTTTCAAGGTGTGCTTTTAAAAGCAGCTTCAGTACGAAGGGGAAAGCAGAGTCCTCTTGCAAGCACCCATTGTTAGAGCAGGGCCATGAACACCGTGGTGACGGAAGGCGGCTCCTGCATGCAAGTCGTTTGGCCCCTACAAGTGCTGAGACCACTGTTGCAAATACCCCCTTCTACCGCCTCTTAAAGGTAAAGGGACCCCTGACCATTAGGTCTAGTTGTGGCCGACTCTGGGGTTGCGGTGCTCATCTCGCTTTACTGGCCGAGGGAGCCAGCGTTCAGCTTCCGGGTCATGTGGCCAGCAGGACTAAGCCGCTTCTGGTGAACCAGAGCAGCACACGGAAATGCCGTTTACCTTCCCGCCAGAGAGGTACCTATTTATCTACTTGCACTTTGACGTGGTTTCGAACTGCTAGGTTGGCAGGAGCAGGGACCGAGCAACAGGAGCTCACCCGTCATGGGGATTCGAACCGCCAACCTTCTGATCGGCAAGTCCTAGGCTCTGTGGTTTAACCCACAGCGCCACCCGCGTCCCTTTCTACCGCCCACAGACACAAAGACACAGTAAAGAACCAGCTTTTACCTAGCGTGTAAGCCATGAAATTGAGGATGCCCACCATGACCCACACTTTGTTCGGAACGTGCTGCTGATCGGGTGCTGTGGAAAGAAAACCATTTTGAGCGTCAACACAACCTCTAGGGACATGTTTGCTGCACAATCATTACTGTTATCATAACCATTACTGTTATTATTATATATTATGCTGCCCTTCATCTGAAGACCCAGGCCCACAGGAGTCAGCAAACTTTTTCAGCAGGGGGCTGGTCCACTGTCCCTCAGATCTTTTTGGGGGGGGCAGACTATATTTTTTTGGGGGGGAAATGAACGGATTCCTATGCCCCACAAATAATCCAGAGATGCATTTTAAATAAAAGGACACATTCTACTCATGTAAAAACTCATGTAAAAACACCCTGGATTGGGCCAGATCTGGCTCAATTGCCTTCTAAATCTTGCCCGCGGATGGTCTGGGAATCAGTGTGTTTTTACATGAGTAGAATGTGTGCTTTTATTTAAAATGCATCTCTGGGTTATTTGTGGGGCATAGGAATTCGTTCATATTTTTTCCCCAAAATATAGTCCGGCCCCCCACAAGGTCTGAGGGACAGTGAACCCGCCCCCTGCTGAAAAAGTTTGCTGACGCCTGGCATAAGACATACAGGAAGGGGCATGATCCCTGCCCAAGACTGAAGAGGCATCAGAAATGAAGGTCAGGACAATAAACAGGTTAACTGGAAACATGAAGAGTTTGGATTTGAGATGCTGCAAGGACTATCCAGGACAATTTACTGGGACGATTCACCGAGATGTAACTGTGAAGGACGACAAGGAGGAGGCCACACAAGCAGCAGCAGCAGCAACAGGAGCAGCCAGAAGATGGGACTTATATTTGTTTTATTTATTTATAATAATATTTGTATCCCGTTGTAGAACAGAAAATAATATATCAAAGCAGTTTGCAGCAATAAAACCATTAACACCTTGCAACAAGAGGTTTAAAACAGAGGCCAATTAACCACTGCCGAAGGATGTCTTCTTAATTGCCCGCATCGGCCTGGCTATTAAGTTTGGGGAAGGGTTTAAATGTTGCAACAGAAGGCACTCGCTGAATCTCTAGCAGCGTTAAAGGTCGCTGTTGTCAATCAAGCCTCACCAACTTGTGGGATGACCAATGATGCTCAGAGGCCAAAGAACAGGTGACACTTCCAGGAAGGATAGGGAAGGCCCAGAACAGGACCACAACACTCCAGGTAGGGTTTCGACAGAGAGATCAAGGCCATCAGATAACTGGTGATCATCACCTCTGCAAACTGACAACTCCCTGCTCATTTCAGCCAAGGGCAGAGTCCTGGAACTTATCACCCGGGTTGTAAAGAGGTTTGCCACCAACGCCTTCTCCCAGCTGTCAGGTTTCCAAGGCTGGAAGGCAACTCGCAAGGCATAGGGTACCACCCTGGCATTCCCAGCCAATCTGGGTAGAATCCTAGAGCTGTAGAGTCAAAGGGACCCAAAAGGACATCTAGCCCAACCCCCTGCAATGACGGGAGCTAGGACTATGGCAGCAGTTCAAGGCAGCCTCTCCCAACTTGGTGCCCCCTCATAAGAACAGCTTTCTGGATCTGGTCAACGGCTCATCCAGTCCAGTGCCCGGTTCTCACACTGGCCGACCAGGGAAACCTGCAGGCAGGATTTGAGTGCAGCTTCCGGGTCATGTGGCCAGCAGGACTAAGCCGCTTCTGGCGAACAAGAGCAGCGCACGGAAATGCAGTTTACCTTCCCACCAGAGTGGTACCTATTTATCTACTTGCACTTTGACGTGCTTTCGAACTGCTAGGTTGGCAGGAGCAGGGACCGAGCAACGGGAGCTCACCCCGTCATTGCGGGGATTCAAACCGCCAACCTTCTGATCGGCAAATCCTAGGCTCAGTGATTTAACCCACAGCACCACCCGCCTCCCTTGGCCGCCTTTAGGCACACACAATTCTCTGCTCCCCTTTAGATGTGTGGGGTGACGAGACAGTTGTGGGCCATTCCCCCCCCCCCCCCCGCAGTCCAGAACTGACGTTTGAGTGTGTCACCGTAGACACAAGGAAGTCAAGATGCCATCAATGCGCAGAGACAGAGTGAAGAACATGCACCATCTCAGCTCATATCACTTTCATGCCTGTAAATGTGTATACAGCTTTTGCTGTTGCTGTTTAAAGAAAAACTGTCTTACCAGATGCATAAAAGTCAGGGTCACAGTATGCCATGAGGAAGAAGTTGAAGACAAGGAGCAGGAAGCCACTAAACGTTATCAAGTTTGGGGCCAGCCACATGGGGAAAATCTGTGAGGAAGCAGCAAAAACACATGCAGAAAACCCACATTAATTGATCAGCCATGTATAGTCGAGCCCGTGACGTTTAGGTAGGAGGAGAAAGAGACTCTCCTTGAGAGTTAGGGTGACGTTTGTCTTTCTTGCTTATCCTTCGTGTGGCAACACAAAAAGGAGTTCAGGCCATGAGTGTAGCTTGTGCATCTCCAGACAATTAAGCCCCCTCAAAGAGGAGGAGAAGGAGCTTCTGAATGAGTCACAGACCAGAACAGGCAAGAGGCTGCGCCAGCCAGAAAGGGGACTGGCAAATTCTCCACCGACAGGGATGCCAAGAGGTCCACTTCAAGCACAGAAAGCGCACTCGACAGGGCACGGAGGGAGAGAGGAGGGCCAACTCACCTTGACCACCGTGTTCCAGAAGGGATGCATGACGTACAGGGAGAGAGGGTTGCTGTCCACAGCACTGTACTGTGAAGGAAACAGAGAGGAGAGAGAGGTTAGGCTGGAGATTTTTCTAACCCAGCAAGAGCTACAGAGAAATACCTAAATCCATATTTGTGTCATGCCTTTATCAGGCCAACCAAAATGGCACAAAGGTCGCCAGCAAACTTTTGAGTTCTCCAAAACAATCACATCAGGCTGGAGCAGCAGTTTCCGAACTTTTTTGAGCAACCAAACTCATCCCCAGTGCACCCTGTCCTATAGGAGGTCTTATTCAGGATAGGGGTTTGCACAACACCCCGAGGAAGGCAATAACCCGATGAAAACCCATCCAGGAACAATTAGCTGCACACATATTCAAAATCCAATTGAAACTATTTAATTAATTCAACAAAATGGATGAAATTTAATAAAGAACAAAGATTGTGAGAGCGAGAGTTATTGTTTTCGCTTCCTTATTTGTATCGTAAAATGCCCTGTGGTCCTCGGGTGAAGGGTGGAATAGGAATTTTATAAATAATAAAAATAACTTGATGTAGTGACACCAGGTTTTAAGAGTCTGATACGTCTTTTATACCTCCAGTCCCCCCTCCCTGCATCTTAGCACCCCCCCCAGGTAATCCCACTGCCCCCCCCCCAAAGGGATGGGTGGGAGATACGGCCCGTTTTGTGAATCACTGGGCTAGATGGTAAGTAAAGCAAGGGGTGGGACAGAGGGAAAACACGGTAGGTGCCAATGCCACGTCTGCTCCTAGTCTGAGTTTCAATGCAGGATGCAGCTGGAGGGAACAGGCTGTCAAACGAGGCACTCTTGGATCTATGCAGGGATCAGGCTGTCCCCAAAACGTACTGGGGAAAGCAAGCATTACAATGGCAGACTCCCCACTCCTAGGGAACTGGCCTGATCCAGCAGGCTCTTATGATCTTATAGTGAGAAATGCACACCAAACACCAGCTTTCCCAACCTGGTGCTCTCAAACGACAACTCCCAAGAGCCCAGGCCAACACAGCCACACTGGCTGGCGCTGATGGGAGCCGTATTCCAAAAGAACAGGAGGGCACCAGGTTAGAGAAAGCTGGGATAAAGCATGGGAGGAGAGGGCAATTCTTCCATTGCGGTGGTTCAGGGTGCCAAGGGCATGCGCCCAACAGCTTGGCAGAGGTTGCTTTTGGGAGAGAGTTCTGGCTCAACCTGCTTCCACAGGCCAGAAGCTCAGCCACAGACAACTGCACGCTTGTTGTTGTTGTTTAGTCGTTTAGTCGTGTCCGACTCTTCGTGACCCCATGGACCAACTGCACGTTAGAAGTCTCCTAAACAAACCAAGTGAGAGCTGGACCATCAAGAAGGCTGATCGCTGAAGAATTGATGCTTTTGAATTCTGGTGCTGGAGGAGACTCTTGAGAGTCCCATGACTGCAAGAAGATCAAACCGATCCATTCTGAAGGAAATCAGCCCTGAGTGCTCACTGGAAGGACAGATCGTGAAGCTGAGGCTCCAAGACTTTGGCCACCTCATGAGAAGAGAAGACTCCCTGGAAAAGACCCCGATGTTGGGAAAGATGGAGGGCACAAGGAGAAGGGGATGACAGAGGACGAGATGGTGGGACAGTGTTCTCGAAGCTACCAGCATGAGTTTGATCAAACTGCGGGAGGCAGTGGAAGACAGGAGGGCCTGGCGTGCTCTGGTCCAGGGGGTCACGAAGAGTCGGACACGACTAAACGACTAAACAATAACAACAAACACACCAAGGTGCTGCAATAATCCCACCCGAATTATTATTCCAGATGATGGAGCTTCCCTCCATATATGCTTCCAACTGCCCTCCCTCTCAAACGTCATGTCCTGCCCCAGAAGCGCTTGAGAAATGGGCAACGTCAGTCAGAAGGTCAGTATTGCTGTGCAACAGCCGCCTGCTTCAGGCCAGCAGGGCAAGTGACGCCTTGCTACGCCGCTGGGTCTCTTGAGTGGCGTCCGGCCAGCCTCCCTGGCACCTGATCCACCAGCTCCGTTCCGTCTCCAAGGACGGAACTACCAAGCGATTTAGGAGGTAATGAGATTTCAGTTAATGGCAGGGGGGTACTTGGCAGATTTGTTCAAATCCCATTATCTCTATCCTTCTTGCGGAAGTCGGGAAAGGCTGCTCCTGAGCATCTGGAGTCAGTGGAAGAGATCCCTCGGGCCGAGTGCTGTGCTTTGCTTTGCCTGCGCTGTAGTAAACCCAGTATTTTGGCCCTGCAGGAAGGGCTGCAAACATTGCGCCTTGAGCTATGGCAGACAAGCAGCAGCACCACCAGAACACCAGAAGGCAACCTGTCAAACATTTAGCATCCCGTCTGCAAAGCCAAAAGGTTTTGCTCTCGTTGGCTTCATACCTCCAGATGAGCAAAGCTCTCTTCCGAAATCTGTTCTTTTCTGCAGGTAAAGGAAGGAGGGATGAGGACCTCCTTTGCCAACCGGCTGCTTTTGCCTACAACTCCCATCAGCCCCAGATAGTAGGAAAGTTGCCGTCAACAGCAGGCTGGCAAAGGCTGGGTTAGGGCCTTAAAGCTGTTTGTATACCCAGGTATTCAGCACCACCAGCAAACTCGGTGCTTGGGAGTTTATTTTGTTGGTTATTACTTACTAACTCTATTTATTTATAGTCCACCTTTTTCTCTTGGTTGACCACAGACTTGACATGAGCCAACAGTGTGATGCGGCAGCTAAAAAAGCCAATGCAATTCTGGGCTGCATCAATAGGAGTATAGCATCTAGATCAAGGGAAGTAATAGTGCCACTGTATTCTGCTCTGGTCAGACCTCACCTGGAGTCCTGTGTCCAGTTCTGGGCACCACAGTTCAAGAAGGACACTGACAAACTGGAACGTGTCCAGAGGAGGGCAACCAAAATGGTCAAAGGCCTGGAAACGATGCCTTATGAGGAACGGCTAAGGGAGCTGGGCATGTTTAGCCTGGAGAAGAGGAGGTTAAGGGGTGATATGATAGCCATGTTCACATATATAAAAGGATGTCACATAGAGGAGGGAGAAAGGTTGTTTTCTGCTGCTCCAGAGAAGCGGACACAGAGCAATGGATCCAAACTACAAGAAAGAAGATTCCACCTAAACATTAGGAAGAACTTCCTGACAGTGAGAGCTGTTCGACAGTGGAATTTGCTGCCAAGGAGTGTGGTGGAGTCTCCTCCTTTGGAGGTCTTTAAGCAGAGGCTTGACAACCATATGTCAGGAGTGCTCTGATGGTGTTTCCTGCTTGGCAGGGGGTTGGACTCGATGGCCCTTGTGGTCTCTTCCAACTCTATGATTCTATGATTCTCCATGGAGCTAAAAGAGGATTGCATGGTTCTCCCTTCATTTAACCAGCACGACAACCCTGGGGATGGGTGACCAGCCCAAGATGCTGGTACTGGTCTCTTGGTGAAGAGGAGACCAGCAGTTCCTCCTATCTGCTGAAAGGCCACTGTAGAGTGGCTGGGGAGGCCCGGCCAGATGGGCGGGGTATAAAGAATAAATTATTATTATTATTATTATTATTATTATTATTATTGTAAGGAGCGTGCTGCAGCCGCTGTTGTGGCAGTGAGCGATGCATTCCTTGGTTGCTGGATCTGCCATCCCTGTGCATCCTGCTACCTGAGGTGATCGCCTCACCTTGCCTCATGGGTGGGCTGGCCCTGTTACTTTTCATGGTTTCTTTGGAGAGAAGCAGACTATGAGGCCGCCTTGAGACATAATGCTGAGGCAGACCATGGTTTGTATCCTGGCAGAATCAGGAGCAATCGAGGAGGGGAAACCCAACCAGGACATCCAAATCTACAATACTCAGCAATTTGCTTCATACGTGTAATTTAAAGAGGTCACAGAATTCTGCTTGCTTTAGAGAAGAACATGGGTTATAGTGGTGTTGGGTTTGAGTTTTGAGTACCACTGCCGCCAGTGCTTACACACAAACAAGGCCTGCCACAGATCAGTCAACCTTAATATTTGTAATTTTGGACAGCACCAAGGACTAGATGAAGATAATAATCCCATTCATTCTTCCCTTGACAGCTCCTGCTGAGATGCAGCCCCAGACCATTCATTTCTCAATTGTTTGGCTTTTAAGCACCAGAGAGTCAGATTACTATTATGGGGAGTGCTGAATAGGAGGCGGAGGAAGAAAAGAAGGCTGGGTGATCTGGGACAGAGCAATACTAGAGGGAAGGCTGGCTTGATGGCACAATCTTGACAGCAGAAGATAATCAAGATCAATCTTCAAACCTGAAGGCAATCAAGATCAAGTTTCAATTTAATCCCCTAGGAGGACTCCTTGCTAGAATAACCCTAAACTCATCTTACAAAGCCAAACAACCAGGTCACTTATTATTTTGCAAGTGGTTGGTGCAAAGAGTTAGTTAGTGCATGACTATGACTCCTAACCTGAGCCATCAGTGAAGGAACCTCCTTGTCTTTCCTCCTGAAGATACGCAAGGCTGACACTTGAATGCACTTTGCAGCTTGAGGCTGCCTTTGGCATGGGTCATTTGAAGCGGTGGCCACTCTCCCCAATGACAGCCCCAAAGATATACAAGGTAAACTTTGAGGCTGAGAGGTGGTGGTTGGCCCAAGGTAAGCTTCATGGCTGAGGGGTGTCATAATTTTTTTAGGGTGCAGACACACACTCTAAAGAAAACCAATCCTTTGCCCTTCAAAATTTAGGAAATATTCTCTGTGAAAATTACACTTCATTTGATTATTTGGGATGACCAATCCCAAAACCATCTCTGTTCATCTTGGAAAACTTTTCCCAATGGCTCTTTCACTTGCAAATCCTTCCTTTTTGGTCTGGCAAATTTCTGTTAAGAGCAAAGCAGACCTGCCAAATGAGCATCTTTTGTGTATCAAAAGGTATTTACCATTTCAAAGGAATGGCCCAGACTAGCCAGGAAACCAGGCCAGAAAACTCATATCCATGCTCCAAGATCCTAAAGATGCCAAATCACACAGCATTCCTTTGTCTTACATATATTGCCCTTTTTCCAAGCTCAGAAGCTAGGGAAGGCATCATCCATAACCTTGTACAGTTGTACCTTGGTTCTCGAATTTAATCCGTTCCAGGAGTCCGTTTGACTCCTGAAACAGTTCGGAAACCAAGGTGCGGCTTCTGATTGGCTGCAGGAGCTTCCTGCAGCCAATCAGAAGCTGCGGAAGACATTCGGCTCCCAAAAATTGTTCACAAACCGGAACACTCACTTCCGGGTTTGCGACGTTTGGGAGCCGATTTGTTCGACAACTAAGCTGTTCAACAACCAAGGTACCATCATCATTTCAGAGTCAAGGGGCAATGCTAACTCCGGTTTCTGGCTGGAAACTAAGGTGGACAGAAGGTTCCAGTTTGGTGGAAGAACTTCCAGCCTATGAAAACTGCCGCCACAATAAACTAGTTCATCTCCATCGCAGCCAAGTTGCTCATTTTCTCTAGAAGCACCACTGATTAGGTATAGTCCTTTGCTGCAGTTTGAAAACAACACACTTCAATTAGAGACGTAAACCCACAGTTTCTGCTTCCCCTTCAGGAAACAGTTTTAGCACGGTGCTACTTAAACTGTCTAGATGCCAGCCGTGCCTAACCTGGTGTTCAGGACTACAACTCCCATCAGCCCTAGCAGGCAGGTCTACGATGGTCGAGGCTGATGGGAGCTGTAGTCCAAAATGTCTGGAGGGCACAAGGTTGGACAAGGCTGGCAGAGACAGCTTCCAGAGAAATGGGCTTTCAATGCAGGGACATATTCTGGCAATGAGGGGTGGGGAGGAGGAGGTGGCAGCAGCTGGCTGGCATGGTCTGAAGTTCACCTGGCAGGAGGGAAGGTATTTGGGACACAATTACTGGTGTAATCTTTAGCCTGGATATCACGTAGCCTCGGGTCCCATTACAGAAGCACCTGCTCTGGTTTCAGAGCCCAGCCGCTGCCAAGAGAACACAAGATACCTGCAACTCCAGCCTACAGAGAAAGCACCTGAGCACGGCCCTCCGTTCCTTTTCATGAAGTTTATTTCGTGTGTTAGTATGGAAATAAATGTCTAAAACATAATAAAAGAGCATGATTTATTTTTCTCATCAATGAATGTTTCCCAATTCTGAATTACACACCAGTCTTCTTGTGTGTAATTTGTTAATTCTGACATTGTTTTCGTAAGAAATTATTTCCCAAGCATGGAGCCTGCTTTTCCCAGAGCTGCTGCACACTATGTTGACGTCTTCACCCAGCTATTCACGCCAACCCCAAGAACCTGCTCCTGGACCATCACCACTGCTTCAAATCCCACAAGTGTGCATAGGCAACTCCCCATCTGAGCACGACTGGCATGCGTGCACCAATTTCGGCACTACAAGGGGGTGGGGGTGAGCAGGGCAGGATTGGTGCCCAGAATGCAACCCCTGTGAAAATGGGGAGTTGCCTGTTTGTGGAATTTAGATTTTTTTGCCTCCACGTGCATAACCTTGCACTTGTTTACACTACATTTGCTGCCCCATTTACTCACTTTGGAGAGGTCCTTTTGGAGCTTTTCACAATCCTTTTCTCCCTTTAAGAACCCTGAACCATTTCACATCATCCCCGATCTTAGCCACCTCGCGACTCACCCCCAGCACAGGAGAGTCCACAGCAACTCAGAAGAATAAATAATCACACAGGTAAGGCTCGTTAGAAGTCAATGAAAAATCACGCCAATCTCCTCTCTTCTTTATAAAAGTGTTGGTTAAAAGGTAAAGGTAAAGGGACCCCTGACCATTAGGTCCAGTCGTGACCAACTCTGGGGTTGTGGTGCTCATCTCGCTTTATTGGCCGAGGGAGCCGGCGTACAGCTTCCGGGTCATGTGGCCGGCATGACTAAGCCGCTTCTGGCGAGCCAGAGCAGTGCATGGAAATGCCGTTTACCTTCCCGCCAGAGTGGTACCTATTTATCTACTTGCACTTGGACGTGCTTTCGAACTGCTAGGTTGGTAGGAGCAGGGACCGAGCAACGGGAGCTCACCCTGTCGCGGGGATTCGAACCGCTGACCTTCTGATCGGCAAATCCTAGGCTCTGTGGTTTAACCCACAGCACCACCCGTGTCCCAGTAAAAGTGTTGGTTACAAAACATCAAATATAAAAATCCAAGTCTATTTTACTGGGGGCGTGGGGTGGGATTATATTCCCCTGCAGAAAAACCACAAATATTTCACAGTAAATGCAGACCTTTGCTGTTTCAATGCAATTTCAAGTAAGCCTTATGCAGTCTCTCAAAGTCCAGCTTTGAGCTGAGCTTCAAACTGTTTTATTCTGTCTCTGGAATAGGGCATTGTTCTTACCAATTTTTTTTGCTTTAATTAATTTGTATTTAAAAATACTGCGGAATTGATTTTGCAAGCCTCTGAGAGAATTTTTATTGATGGGCAGCTATATAAAGCAAAGCACAGCAAATAGCTGTTCCACAGCCAAGCGACAGAAACTGCCTTTTGATGAGGCGTCCTCCCAGCTATCATCTCTTTGCAGAATTATGAGCGCGGCAGAGCTTCAAGGCTCAAGTGCCAGGAGACTGTGTCTCTCGCTCAAGCCTGCCCTGCAATAATGCCCCTCCTAATTAGCCACGTTCAATTACTAAGCCCATCATGAATCAGCCAGAAGCAACATTTTCTTTAGACGAAAGACAGCAAAACCAAACCTCTCTCCGTCAGGATAAAAACACAAGTCTGTCGGTAGATATATGCAACCCTTTCAAAGGACTCATGTTTCCAGAAGCATCTCAGGGCCAAATGGAAGCTTAACTTGAGCCTGGGCTGATGTCTGAATTCAAAACATGGTAACAGATACTCCTCTCCTCCTTCTAGATCAGGCTTCCCTAACCTGCGGCCCTCCAGATGTTTTTGGCCTACAACTCCCATGATCCCTAGCCAGCAGGACCAGTGGTCAGGGATGATGGGGATTGTAGTCTCAAAACATCTGGAGGGCCGAGGTTGAGGAAGCCTGTTCTACAGGCTACGGCAGGAGTAGGCAAACTAAGGCCCGGGGGCCGGATCTGGCCCAATCGCCTTCTAAATCCGGCCCACAAATCATCGTGTTTTTACGTGAGTAGAATGTGTGCTTTTATTTAAAATGCACCTCTGGGTTATTTGTGGGGCATAGGAATTCGTTCATTTTTTCCCTTCAAAATATAGTCCGGCCCCCTACAAGGTCTGAGGGACAGTAGACTGGCCCCCTGCTGAAAAAGTTTGCTGAGGCCTGGGCTATGGCATCACACAGGCAAAAGTTAACCCACGAGGTAAACCAGGGGTCGGCAACCTGCGGCCTATGGGCCACAAATGGCCCATGGGGGGTCATTTAAATGGCCCATGAGCCGCCTCCGAACTGAGCCGCCCGCTAAACCGGAAATTGCGTCTGCGCAGATGTGATCCAGCCCACGGAGCGATCTCCGCGGGAGTGAACTGGCCCAGGCGAGGTACTTTGCTGACCTCTGAGCTAAACATAAAAACGTGAGAAAAGCCTGCTGGGTCAGTCCAATGGCCCATCTAGTCCAGCATTCTGTTCTCACAGCGGCCAACCAGATGCCCAGGGAAAACCCGCAAGGAGGATCAGAGCACAAGTGTGTTTTCCTCCACCGTGGTTTCCAGCAACTGTTAGTCCAGGGATAGGCAAACTCAGCCCTCCAGATGTTTTGGGACTACAACTCCCATCATCCCTGAGCACTGGTCCTGTTAGCTAGGGATGATGGGAGTTGTAGTCCCAAAACAGCTGGAGGGCCGAGTTTCCCTATGCCTGTGTTATTCAGATACACTGCTGCCTCTGAGCATGGAGGCCCAGCCCAGCCATCTTGTATAGAGGACATGGATAGACTTACATTCCTCTTTTAAAGCCATCTAGGTTTCTGGCTTTCAGCCACCTGCACAAGTGAGTTCCACAGTTTGTCCTTCATCTGAAGATCACAGGGCAGTTTACAACATAAAAACACAAAATTCATAATAGCAAAAAAACCCCAACAACCTAGTATCAAAACTATCAACCCACCCTCCAAGCTCTGAGCTAGAAATGGGTACCCATGGGCTGGATGCTAAGCTATGAAACATTTTGCATTTGATAGTAGGCCTGGATTGTGGCAGGTGTGCACTACCCTTATCAGGGATCTGTTCCTGTAAAAATAATTAGACTATTTGCAAGAGTTGGTGCTGGAGGAGACTCTTGAGAGTCCCATGGACTGCAAGAAGATCCAACCTCTCCATTCTGAAGGAAATCAGCCCTGAGCGCTCACTGGAAGGACAGATCGTGAAGCTGAGGCTCCAAGACTTTGGCCACTTCATGAGAAGAGAAGACTCCTGGAAAAGACCCTGATGTTGGGAAAGATGAAGGGCACAAGGAGAAGGGGACGACAGAGGACGAGATGGTGGGACAGTGTTCTCGAAGCCACCAGCATGAGTTTGACCCAACTGCGGGAGGCAGTGGAAGACAGGAGTGCCTGGCGTGCTCTGGTCCATGGGATCACGAAGAGGCGGACACGACTAAACGACTAAACAACAACATTTGCAAGAGTGACACCTCTTCTTTGTGCCCCTCGTGTATCTGGAGTTTAAGTGAGGACCACTGCAAATAGCCCAAAACAAGTTCCCACTGGCTCCAGTCTTTCTTTTTCCAACACAGAACTGAAACTGCTCCAGGCCTGGCCTTCGTTCTAAACCTGCTTGGAACTATATTAATACACGCAACCCTTCTATAGCTGCTGGCAAACAATGCACATTGGCTAGGATGCAGGATTTCCAAGAAACTCCACATTTCCAAGGCAGGTATCTTGTCCCTTTGGATGGAAACCTGGGACTGAAATGTTTGTGTGGCCTGATGGAAGTTTCAGAAGCCAGAGGTTGCTGAATTATACAATTTCAAGGAGCCAGGGTGCTCCAAAGAGGAGGGAGACAGTCTTGTGCAGGAGGAGGAATTATGGGGTGCAAAGCTTGCTGTGCAAGATCCACAGCTTATGCCCTCTTCGTGACCCCCTGGACCAGAGCACGCCAGGCACTTCTGTCTTCCACTGCCTCCCGCAGTTTGGTCAAACTCAAGCTGGTGCTTGCCTCCCCCTCAAAAATATATATGAATGGTTGGGTCCTGGCCAGCAAATTCACATTGCATGGTGCTAAACTGCTTCAGTGAGCAGAGTGGTATAGCCATCCACTTAATGAACTCAGGACACAAGGGAGAAACCTGCTAAGAGGAAGGCACACTTGGCAAATCCACACCGGGATCAACTCCCGCCCGGGAACCAATGTCCCCACTGTGGAAGGGCGTGTGGATCCACAATTGGCCTCCACAGTCACTTACGGACTCACTTTTAAAACTGTGTTTATGGAAGACAATCTTACTCGGCTACGAGGGATCACCAAAGAAGAAGAAGTATAGCCAAGGTGCTTTTCAGTCCGTATTTGTGGCAGACCAGTTTGCGTTGACACCAGCTTGAAGTATCAGTGGCTCTGACTCAGAGCATTCTTCAAAAACACTAAGGATATGGGAATGCTGGCACAGAATTGAATCATGAAAGCTCTGAAGAGCTGTTAGGACTTGTCAAGGCTCCCAGTTGAGTGATCCTCTATCTGCGTTGCGTGAAAGTTCAGGCAGACTGCCTAGACGCAGCATCCTTCAGACAAGGGTGAGCTGGGATGCAAGCTCGCCCGTCTATTTCAGGATGAATAATAATGCTTGGCATTTCTGTGGCGCACTTCAGGTTATTTTTGTAACCCTTAAAACACTTCAGTAAGGTAGACAAATGCTCTCAGTCGTTTTGAGTGGATACGCAATGGTGGTATACCCACCTTAGGAGAGAGAACGCAAAAGCAGTTCATGGTATGGCAAGGGAGTTTGTGTTTGTTTGAACTGCAGTCCTCCTGGGCATGTTCAAACCCTTGAGTGTGCCTGAAGTGGCTCCTTGGATCATGGCCACAGAGAGCTTGCCACATCCAATAAAAATATTCTCATTTATTCCCTTCCTCCTCCTCCCCACGCTCGTGTGAGTGTGAGAGAGATGTGGCAATGTAATTTGTCAAGAGCTTCTATATGAAAGAAATAGCCTGAAATGGTTAAAGGTATGACCTCTCAGTGGAGGTGGGTTTTTTTTTGGGGGGGGGGTGATATGGAGAAATCTACTTTAGGGGTTTTCTGTTTGCAGTTATTTTACTTTTACGCCTAGACATTCTGTTGTTGTGCCCATAACCGGGGTTTAAGGTGCCATTTAGCTCCTAGCTACCATATCTCAGAAACTGAGATATGGGGTCCCTTCCAACTCTACAATTCTATGGTTCTATCAGTATGGCTTGAAGGATGAGTAGCAGCAGCCTGGCAATTCTCAGAGGTTGTACAGAACTACTACTTAAGTTTTCTCACATAGAGGCCTCTAATGAAATCAGTTTGTGGTCTTCTCCTACGTGGGGCAAGGTCCGGACCACCTTGGCTGTTCCTGACATACCTAGAGCTTCAACACAGGGAAAGCAGCCCATTGCAGACACCATTCCTTTGCTCTCTGCAGTCCTGGGAAAAAATCTTTGCTTTTGCCTTGTCAAAAGCCTTGATCCTAAGAAGAACCTTGTGCAGCTGGATCAAACCAAAGGCCTGTCTAGTCTTCCTGCTTCCCACAGTGACTGAGAAGAAGACCACAAGCAGGGCACGAACGCAACAGCACTCAGTGGAGAAGGAGGATTTTGAAGACTCAAACCTTGGCTTTCAAGGCTAAATTAATTTTTATTTAGCATGTTTTTTATGCTCATTTATAAAGCATTTCGAACGGTTGGAAAGCAAAGTGCAATCCATTAAAAAATGACATGCAGTGAAATCTAAAACGGTCTGACAGACGGCAAATAAAGAGCAGCAGGTTTCATCCCTGATACGAGCCAGCTAAAAGGGCCTCTTTCTGAAAGATCCAGCAGAGCAAACCTATTTTTGCAGGTCTCCGAAAAAGAGGAGAAACAAAAATGACAGGTAGCCACAGTGATATGGCACACCCTTTATTAGGACCATCTACATTTTTGCAAAATAGTGAGCAAGGTTGAACAAAGGTGACTCTGGAGTGTGAATCTAAATGGGGCCACAATTGAAGCCATTTCCCAGGCAGAGCTTTGAACGGAGGGGATTGGTTCATTCCAGAATCTGCATTTCAGCGGCGTTGACTGCTCTGCCTGCCCTCCTCCTCTGGGATCCCAGCGGAATGATTAAAGTCTTGCGGCTCAGGCAGTCTGAGGCCTTTGGTGTGCTTCTGCAATGCGCACAAAGGACAGAGAGCTGGGAATGGCTCTCCCTCGAGCTTGCCACTTGGCAGCCGCTGCCGCCTCTTGCTGACATGTTAGGAGGCCAACATCATGCGCTGCAGCCCCAGAGAAAAACGTCACAGGGCTTTGGGCAGGGCTGCTTCACTTGCGCGCAAGTACCGTCTTCTCCCCATCTGGCTCCCTTTGGGACGAAAGGGATTGCAGCAGTTTCTCCCCTAGTAGGGAGCAGGAGGCCTCCTATTGAACGTGGGTCAGTTGCATTCCATCAGGTGTGGGTTGCGAATGCCTGGAAAGGCAGGTAGCTGCTTTGCTTGCCTCTGTGCAAGCAAACTGAATTATGGGTGCTGGAGGAGACTCTGGAGAGTCCCATGGACTGCAAGAAGATCCAACCTCTCCATTCTGAAGGAAATCAGCCCTGAGTGCTCACTGGAAGGACAGATCCTGAAGCTGAGGCTCCAAGACTTTGGCCACCTCATGAGAAGAGAAGACTCCCTGGAAAAGACCCTGATGTTGGGAAAGATGGAGGGCACAAGGAGAAGGGGACGACGGAGGACGAGATGGTGGGACAGTGTTCTCGAAGCTACCAGCATGAGTCTGACCAAACTGCAGGAGGCAGTGGAAGACAGGAGTGCCTGGCGTGCTCTGGTCCAGGGGGTCACGAAGAGTCGGACACGACTAAACGACTAAACAACAACAACAAAGCACCAGCTTGCTACATGGAGCCTGTCCCATTTGCATATCAGGCTCCCATCCCATATATACAACAGGTGGTATTCAACTAAGGTTTACTCAGAATACACCCACTGAAATTAACGTAGAATCACAGAGCTGTAGAGTTGGAAGGGACCATGAGGGTCCCCTTGTCCAACCCCCTGAAGTGCAGGAATCGTTTTGGCCCCGAATGTGGGGCCCAAACCTGCAACCCTGAGATTAAGACCCTCATGCTCTGCCGTCTGAGCTATCTGGGAAGGCCCTTGCTAGATGCATTAACGTCAGTGGGTATACACCAGGCCCAGGCAAACTGGCCCTCCAGATGTTTGGGACTACAATTCCTATCATCCCTGACCACTGGTCCTGTTAGCTAGGGATGATTGGAATTGTAGTCCCAAACATCTGGAGGGCCAGTTTGCCTATGCCTGGTATACACCAAGTAAATCCTAGAGCTGAATGCCGACCATAGTCATGAGCCAAGAAAGAACATCTTCCATTTTAATTCTGAAATGACATTACCTATATTTCTGAAATGACACCTTGGCCAATACTGGGGGCTTCTTTTTCTTACCATACCCTCAAGCCCAATAATCTTTATTGAACATAAAATGGAGATGAGTTCTTCAAAGCTTGCTACCTACTTTGTAGCTTTGAGCTGGTCGTCCTCAGGGAGCGTTATCCTGTTAATGGTTCAGATTTGTGTAGACCAACACATCTCGGACTGAGCAGAGGAGGAGAGGATACCGGGGGCAACATGAACTCAGTCAACCCGCAGTTGCAAGGAGGCAGCTTGACTGGTCTGGATACTGCCCAAGAAAGTATTTATATCTTACTGAGTATGACTACTAGCAACCTGGAGGAACTTGTGTTTCATGTATCAGATGCTTGGTGAGCCCTGAGTTAACCACATCAGGAGTCACATGCTCCCAAGGCGTTTCATAGTATGTTATTGTGCTTGCAGTTTTAGATGGCACACAGAGCCAAAATAATCACAAATCTCTCAAAAATAATGCCCTTTCCCCAAAACCCTTTATTATTTTTTTAAAAAACACCCCTTCATCCTTCCAACTGAGAATAATAATAATAATAATAATTTATACCCCGCCCATCTGGCTGGGTTTCCCCAGCCACTCTGGGTGGCTTCCAACAAAGTATTAAAATACAATAACCTATTAAACATTACGAAGAAGAAGAGTTTGGATTTGATATCCCGCTTTATCACTACCCGAAGGAGTCTCAAAGCGGCTAACATTTTCCTTTCCCTTCCTCCCCCACAACAAACACTCTGTGAGGTGAGTGGGGCTGAGAGACTTCAGAGAAGTGGGACTCGCCCAAGGTCACCCAGCAGCTGCATGTGGAGGAGCAGAGACACGAACCTAGTTCCCCAGATTACGCGACTACCGCTTTTAACCACTACACCACACCAGCTCCCAAAAAGCTTCCCTAAACAGGGCTGCCTTCAGATGTCTTCTAAAAGTCTGGTAGTTGTTGTTCTCTTTGACATCTGGTGGGAGGGCGTTCCACAGGGCGGGTGCCACCACCGAGAAGGCCCTCTGCCTGGTTCCCTGTAACTTGGCTTCTCTCAGTGAGGGAACTGCCAGAAGGCCCTTGGAGCTGGACCTCAGTGTCCGGGCAGAACGATGGGGGTGGAGATGCTCCTTCAGGTATACTGGACCGAGGCCTTTTAGGGCTTTCAAGGTCAACACCAACACTTTGAAGTGTGCTCGGAAACGCAGGTCTTTCAAGATCGGTGTTCACATAACAGCGGCCACTCCCAGTCACCAGTCTAGCTGCCGCATTTTGGGTTAGTTGTAGTTTCAGGGTCACCTTCAAAGGTAGCCCCATGTAAAGCGCATTGCAGTAGTCCAAGTGGAAGATAACTAGAGCATGCACCACTCTGGTCAGACAGTTGGCGGGCAGGAAGGGTCTCAGCCTATGTACCAGATGGAGCTGGTAAACAGCTGCCCTGGACACAGAATTGACCTGCATCTCCATGGACAGCTGTGAGTCCAAAATGACCCCCAGGCTGTGCACCTGGGTCCTTCAGGGGCACAGTTACCCCATTCAGGACCAGGGAGTCCTCCACACCTGCCCACCCCGTCCCCTAAGAACAGTACTTCTGTCTTGTCAGGAGTCAACCTCAATCTGTTAGCTGCCATCCATCCTCCAACCTCCTCCAGACACTCACACAGGACCTTCACCGCCTTCACTGGTTCTGATTTGAAAGAGAGGTAGAGCTGGGTGTCATCCGCATATTGATGAACACCCAGCCCAAACCCCCAGAACACAAAATGAAGCAACCACATCATAAAGAGCGATGCTTCTGCAAACCAGTTGCTGGAAACCACGGTGGGTGTGGGGCATCAAGAATGTTCTTGTGTTCAGGTCCTGCTGAACGCAAGAAGAGCATCTGCTGGATCAGGCCAATGGTGCCCACAGATGCCCATTATGGGAAACCTGCAAGCAGATCATATCTACCACTCCCCAGTTGCAATCTCACCGCCCTCTTTTCAATCAGCTTACATTTCTAAGCTGTTTTCAAAGATAACCTTGCAGAGAACTTTCCTCAAAAACCCAACCGGTCCAAGTGTCATTGGCCGGTAGCCACCAGCCAAACACGTCCAACTGCCTTTCCCACATCCTCAGGCCTCAACAATCGAAAGACAGCCAACAGCACCGGGTCAAATAGCACCCAGGACGCCTCCACTAATGGAACAGCACTAAACGCGGAGTGTGCGTGGTTTGGGAGCTGCACGGTCAGAGGAAAAACAATGCTGTCCAGGGTTGTAAAGACTGCGGAGAGAATAATTGGGTGCACTCTTCCCACCTTGGATCAAATCTACGCTTCCAGGCAGTGCCATAAGAAAGCTGCAGAGATAGCGCAGGATAGTGCGCACCCCGGAAATGATCTCTATCAGCTTCTGCCTTCTGGAAGAAGGTCCAGGGTTATAAAGACTAGGACTAGCCGCCTGAGAAACAGTTTCTATCCAAATGTGATTTTGGTTTTAAACACAGTGTAAGGTAGTCTCTATGGGAGTATATTGTATTTAATCATGGGGTACCAGAGTTTTTAGGGGGTTAACCAGGCTGGGATAGCAGGCTTGTTGGTTTCTGAATGTCTGATGTAGATTTTCAGTTTCGTTGTTCTGTATGGCACAATGATAATAAAGATTATCGTATCATATCGAATCGAAACCTGGCGCAAGAGATGCAAATGACATTCTATTAAAAAAGACTTGCAAAAATGTCACAGGATGCCGCTGAGGGCTGAATGGACTTATCTCACTGGATATGTCTTCACTGCTCCAAGCTCCTAAACACTTGGGAAAGGCGGTCACCATTTTCCTGGGAGTGCCCACACACTCATGCCTGGCCATTTGTGCTAGGATCACATGCAAACCATGTGTGTGAGAGAAATTAGTGATACGAGAAGAGAAAAAGTACCATATTTTTCGCTCTATAAGACGCTCTTTTCCCCCTCCAAAAATGAAGGGGGAATGTGTGTGCGTCCTATGGAGCAAATGCAGGCTTTCGCTAAAGCCTGGAGAGCGAGAGGGGTCGATGCGCACCGACCCCTCTCGCTCTCCAGGCTTCAGGCAGCTGTCCGCAAGCCTTCTGAGCGCGGCGGGATAGCAGCCCGCAGCCTGAAGCCCAGGGAGCGCAGCGCCAACTCCCGCTGCACTCCCCGGGCTTCAGGCAGCTATCCGCAAGCCTTCGGGCTCCGAAGGCTTGCAGATAGCAGCCTTTTCTGGGGGCTGGGGTTGGGGGAAGCTCAGGCTTCCCCCGTCCCCAGCCCCGCAAGCTCCGGGAGCAGCGGCGAGGTTGCACGCAATCTTGCCGCTGCTCCTGGACCTGCTCTGGGGGCTGGGGGGGAATAAATCCCCCCCCCTTTATTTCCCCCCCTAAAAACTAGGTGCGCCCTATGGTCCGGTACACCCTATGGAGCGAAAAATACGATACGTGGGCTTCCTGATTTGTGGTCCAGTGGCCTGTGAGCTTGTAATCTGGGCAACCGGGTTCGCGTTTCCGCTCCTCCACATGCAGCTGCACTTCCTTGAAGTCTCTCAGCCCCACTCACCTCACAGAGTGTTTGTTGTGGGGGAGGAAGGGAAAGGAGAATGTTAGCCGCTTTGAGACTCCTTAAAGGGAGTGAAAGGCGGGATATCAAATCCAAACTCTTCTTCTTCTTCATTCAGGTGGTCCATGGTATGCCTGCAGATGCACAGTTGAAGGCAGGAGACGGCACATCCCTTGCATTACAGTGGTACCTCTGCTTACGGATTTAATTCGTTTCGGGGTGCTGTGCACACCCTGAAAAATCCGTAACTAGAGGCGCTGCATCTGCGCATGCGCACGGCACACAGAGCGCTTCTGCGCATGAGGCGAAACCCGGAAGTATACACTTCCAGGTTTGCCGCGGCCGTAACCCGAAGATTCTGTGACCTGGAGGTTACGCAACATGAGGTACCACTGTATTCATATTTATTTCCAACTGTATTTTTATTGCTTCCTTCATTTCTTAGATTGTAATTACAGTCGTCTTCACATCCCACACGGCAACTCTGAAATAAGCACCAGCCACATCAGAGGGAAAATCCCCTGGCCCAGAGTCCTCTGAGATACATCTGGCTCCATCAACCATCGGATCCAGGCCATCGTAACAAGTTCCCTCACCCCTTGCAGAGGAAAAAGGCTGCTGATAGCCTAAACCTCGACACTGGACTGACAATGACAAAGGACTGTGTGTTAAAATTCTCCGCTTTCCAACACCCTTCCCTCTTCCTTGCCTGAGAAAAAGCAGATCAATAGCGTGTCCTGCCACGTGCACCAAGCCGATAACGTATTGGGACAGCGCCACGGTTGTCACGGCAACCACAAAGTGCGCCACCCTGTTCCCTGGGACAGCAGTTCAGGGGCGCTCAGTGCCACATCCCAGACAATCTCCTTCTGCCCAGGCAGAGAGACTAATGGGCAGATGAGCGCGAAGGACACTCAGAATCCCCAACCTGTTCCCAGAGCCCAACACAAGGGACAGACAGTCAGAGAGCTGGCTGCCTCCTGGAAAAGAGGCAGGAGGGGTTGTTTTAGTTAAATAAATTGTTTAAATTGTTATTAAGGAAATGGTTATTCTTCTCCAATAAAGTACAGCAGAAAAATTGTCCAAATATGAACAATAATTTAATAATTATCTCTCTATGTAGTTCTAATGGTATAACCAAATCAGTAATTTTTGATATAACTGTAAAAACTACTCTGAAAATTTATGACTCCAAAAACAAAACCTTCATCTGTTTGTAAATATTAAGATTATACCAGCAAGGTTGAACCTTTCTGTAAAAAAATGAATTTAATCAAGTCTTACTGACTAGTGATTTAAATTGTGATTTAAATTTATTCCATTTAAATCAAATCCACCCTGCTTGGGGGCTTCATACAAGTTTGGGTTCTGGCAGGTTGCAGCAAAATCTAAACTAAAATCACCTTGGCAACAGCATCCTTTGATTCACGTCAGAGGACCTGATGGAGGCAGGAGCTGAAATGCCTGACTGTTAAAATGTAATCTCCGTTTTGTCAGCCACTGAAATAAAACAAATATTTGAAGTTCCTACGTGGAAATCATTCAGTTTCCACGATGATCAAAGGTATTTCCCTGAGCAAACTGCAGCGAAGCAGAGCAAGAGACCTTGAACAGCTCCTGGCTCATCTCTCAACTGGGAGGAAAGGACTGCACATGCAAGCTGAGGAGGACGCCAGTTCTGTTGAACTCCTGTATTACCTGCTCCTTTCTGCATCCACTCACACACAGCAGTTCTAGCAGCCCCCCAACGTCACTGAGGTCCAGCTTCCTCCGGAGATGCCCCAAATTGTTTCCCAACCTAAAGGTGAACTGATGATGGAGCAAGCATGGCGTGTCAAGTTTGAGATTTTTATGCGGGCAAACTGTGGCTCTCCTCCCCTCCTCAGCCACGAGCTCACCAGGTGACCTTAAGACAGGTCAGCAAGAAAACAGGTCCCTCCTGCAAGGAAGCTACAAATAAAAAAATGACACAATTGCAATGTGCTGCATGCGGAAATAGCAAGCACAGTGCAATTACAGGGAAATAGTCAAGCTAAGCAGCTACCCGGAGATTCTCAGAAGAGCAGCTTATACCAGGGGTGAGCCAAAACTCTCCTTGCTATTTGTGGGCCGCAAGTGGGGGAGGAATTTTACCAAACACTCTGCAGGGGTCCTCTGCAAACATTTTAACATTTGCTCACCAGTTGCTTTAACTATATAATTAAAGCTCTGGTTTTCCCAGTAGTGATGTATGGAAGTGAGAGCTGGACCATAAAGAAGGCTGATCGCCGAAGAATGGATGCTTTTGAATTCTGGTGCTGGAGGAGACTCTTGAGAGTCCCATGGACTGCAAGAAGATCAAACCTCTCCATTCTGAAGGAAATCAGCCCTGAGTGCTCACTGGAAGGACAGATCCTGAAGCTGAGGCTCCAAGACTTTGGCCACCTCATGAGAAGAGAAGACTCGCTGGAAAAGACCCTGATGTTGGGAAAGATGGAGGGCACAAGGAGAAGGGACAACAGAGGACGAGATGGTGGGACAGTGATCTCGAAGCTACCAGCATGAGGGAGGCAGTGGAAGACAGGAGGGCCTGGCGTGCTCTGGTCCAGGGGGTTACGAAGAGTCAGACATGACTAAACAACAACAAAACAACACCAGTTGCTCTATCTCCTTGATCATTTTCAGAGCCTTTCCCAGGTCTACGATGTCTTTGTTTGAGGTGAGGAGACCAGAACAGTACACAGTACTTAGCATACCCGTCCAATTTGGTTTCAGAGTGGCATTCCCCTTGTCCAGGCATAGGTAAATTTGGCCCTCCAGAAGTTTTGGGACTACAACTCCCATCATCCCTAGCTAACAGGACCAGTGGTCAGGGATGATGGGAGTTGTAGTCCCAAAGCATCTGGAGGGCCGAGTTTACCTATGCCTGCCCTTGTCCCTCTCTAATGAAATTTCCTTATTGCTTTTGCTCTTTCAAGTTTGCTGGAGGGAGAATGATGGAGATGGAGGCTTCCTGCCTGCCTTAGAATAGAATCATAGAATCATAGAGTTGGAAGAGACCACAAGGGCCATCGAGTCCAACCCCCTGCCAAGCAGGAAACACCATCAGAGCACTCCTGACATATGGTTGTCAAGCCTCTGCTTAAAGACCTCCAAAGAAGGAGACTCCACCACACTCCTTGGCAGCAAATTCCACTGTCGAACAGCTCTTACTGTCAGGAAGTTCTTCCTAATGTTTAGGTGGAATCCCAGCACAACGGGGCCCACCCAGGCTCCTTCGCTGCCTGCCTATCGGCGGGCAACAAAGACAGCTTTATCCCAGCATGCAGTTAACCAACTTGAACTATGCATGCTTAATGACACTACAGACCATTTTATTGTTCCACAGTCTGTTTATTGTGCACTTATTGTTCCTGCTCTGTTTGCGAAACCTTCCTGGGTGCATGTATTCAATGAAAGGCAGGACAGAGCAAACACTGTGGCTAGACAGTAATAAATAAGAGGCAGCAAGCTACCTACCGACAGAAGGAAGAGGCAGGATATTAGTGTACAAAATCAATTCCGGAAACCGGTACTATTCTGTCCAAGGAGACGGAGGCAGATGGGCTGGGCTCAAGAGAGGCAAGGAGGGGGACAAGAGTGAGAAATGTCCCACTCACCTCCCTTCTCTGATCACCGGAACACCCCCCCCAAAAAAAAAACAAAACCCCTCTCTGGTTACAGACATTCAAAAGAGGATCACCAGTCTGGTAGCTTAGTCCTGAAAAAATCCATCATGCTTCACGCGGGATGTTTCACACTTTACACCCAATTCGGGAAAGTAGCGATCTTGCAACACGCAAAAAGGAATTTCCCAAATGGGCCCCCAGAAAGTCAGAGGAGAATGGTGGGGAGGTGCTGGTCACCTGCGCAGATCTGCTCATAAATTAAAAGTCAGCCAGGCTGCCCAGCTAATTACAGCTCACTTAGCAAGAAAAGGGCAGTTTATTGCAATGCACCTCTGGCTGCTTGCTCATCTAAGAATGCTTCCCCAGGGAAGGTGCATTGCTCAGTGGGTGGAGTGCCTGAATCGCACCCAGGTTCAACCCACACCATCTCCAGGCAGATTCCTTGTCTGAAGCCCCAAAGACCCACTGCAAGTCAGTGCTGCGCTAGATGGACCAGCGCTCTGACTCAACAACAGGTAGCTTCCGAGGCACCTTTGTAGGAACAATATCCAGGTAGGGCTAGAAAAGTCCCTGGAAAGAAACCCTGGGAAGCCACAGCCAACATTCCCTGGCCTGTTCCTCTGCAGTCGTTGCGGCACTGCAGTTCCCATCAGCCCCAGCCAGGCTCACCAAAGGACCATGAAATTGTGCAGCCTAACCCTCTGCAGTGCAGGGATCTCAAATGAAGGTTCCATGACAGGTGACCATCCGACCTCTGCTTAAAAACCTCCAGGGAAACAGAGCCCACCAACTCCCGAGGGAGACCGTTCCACTGTCAAACAGCTCTGACTGTCAGGAAATTATCCCCGGTGTTTAGTCAGAAGCTCCCTTCTTGCAACTAGTAGCCATTGGTTTGGGTTCTATCCTCCGGAGCAGGAGACAACAAACTCGCGTCATCTTCCCTGGGGAAGCCTTTCGAATGACTATCCTATCTCCTCTCAGTCTCCTCTTTTCCAGGCTAAACATACCCAGCTCCTTCAACCACTCCTCATAAGGCTTAGTTCCCAGACCCTTGAACCTCTCGGTTGCCCTGCTCTGCACACCTTCCAGCTTGTCAACATCCTTCTTAAATTGCGGTGCCCAGAACTGGACACAGGACACCAGGTGGGGTCTGACTAAGGCAGAAGAGAGCGGTACTATTACTTTCCTTGATACAGACACAACATCTGTTGATACAGAATAGCATTCACTTTTTTTGGTGCTGCACCACATGGTTGGCTCATGTTAATCTTGTGGTCTACTAAGACCCCCAGATCCTTTTCACACATTATGGGAGTTGTTACAAGTTGTAGTCTAGCATTATCTGGAGAGCCACAGGTTCCTCACTCCTGGTTTATATGCCCTGCTCCACATGAGGCACTCAAGGTAGCTCACAAGAAGATGAAAGACACACACACACGTCAATAAAGAGGCACACTACAAAAAAATCCCAGGAGACAGGCAGACAATATCAATCAAATACTGTCAAGGAAACAGGCTGCCAGAAAAGTCAAACAAGAATAGACTCTAAGAGCCAACCAAAGGCTTGCCAGGACAAAGCACTTCGTCTTGGAATGTCACCAGGAAAGGAGACAAATGCATCTCCAAAGCGCAGGCAGGGCAACTGAGAAGGACCCACCCGATCGCCCTGCAGGGCCTAAACTCTTTCCTAGCACATGTTGTGGGGGCCTAGGATGGAGAAGCTGGCTGCAAGCAGCTTTAACTCACAGGGCCCACGACAGGTGGCCACATGACCACCAGAAGGACACACACAAAATCACCAAAAGGAAGTCAAGTCAATAGGCTGATGCAGTCATATCATCTCTACGACCACCCTAAGGTAAAGGGTAAAGGTACCCCTGCCTGTACGGGCCAGTCGTGTCCGACTCTAGGGTTGCGTGCTCATCTCGCTCTAGAGGCCGTGAGCTGGCGCCGTCCGAAGACACTTCCGGGTCACGTGGCCAGCGTGACGAAGCTGCAACTGGCGAGCCAGCACCAGCGCAGCACACGGAAACGCCGTTTACCTTCCCGCTATAAAGCGGTCCCTATTTATCTACTTGCACTTAAGAGTGCTTTCGAACTGCTAGGTGGGCAGGAGCTGGGACCGAACGACGGGAGCTCACCCCGCCGCGGGGATTCGAACCGCCGACCATACGATCGGCAAGTCCTAGGCACTGAGGTTTTACCCACAGCGCCACCTACGACCACCCTGCCCTCCCTCAAAACCCACATTGACCACTGCCTGGGTCTGCGGTATATTACACAATGCAGCTGAACTATTATTTTTTTGGTGGTGGTGGGAATGGGACACCTCAATTACAACCTCAAGATAGTGCATGCCAACTATGAAAAATGCTGGACTGAAGTGAAAAAAGATTTAGAAATCTGGTCAAATTTGAAGCTTTCATTGCTAGGCCGTATCGCTGCGATAAAAATGAATGTATTGCCTAGAATGTTGTTTTTGTTTCAAACATTGCAAATCTTGGACAAAATGGATTGCTTCAAGAAGTGGCAGAGAGATATTTCTAGATTTGTCTGGCAGGGCAAGAAGCCCAGAATAAAATTTAAAATACTAACGGATGCAAAGGAAAGAGGTGGATTTGCCCTGCCAGACCTTAAACTTTATTATGAATCAGCAGCTTTTTGCTGGCTGAAAGAATGGCTGCTTCTTGAAAACACAGACATTTTGGATTTAGAAGGTTTTAATAATGTATTTGGATGGCATGCATATTTGTGGTATGATAAGGTCAAAGCACATAAAGCATTTAAAAATCATATTGTCAGGAAAGCATTGTTTAATGTCTGGATAAGATACAAGGACCTACTTGAAAATAAAACCCCAAGGTGGTTGTCACCGATGGAAGCGAAAGCTTTGAAAAAGCTCAATATGGAGGCCAAATGGCCGAAATATTGGGAAATTTTGGAACAAGAGGGAGACAGATTGAAATTGCAGAGTTTTGAAAAACTAAAAAAGTACGAGATTGGCTTCATTATTATCAGATAATGGAGGCATATAATTTGGACAAGAAAATTGGCTTCCAGGTGGAAAAATCAAAATTGGAAACAGAATTGTTAGAACCCAAATCCAAGATTTTGTCAAAGATGTATAACTTGCTGTTGAAATGGAATACTCAGGATGAAATGGTGAAATCTGCTATGATTAAATGGGCACAAGATGTTGGACATAATATAATGATGGCTGACTGGGAACAGTTATGGACCACAGGTATGAAGTTTACAGCATGTAATGCCTTAAGAGAGAATATTATGAAAATGATTTACAGGTGGTACATGACACCAGTCAAGCTTGCAAAAATCTATCATTTGCCCGATAATAAATGTTGGAAATGTAAAGAAACTGAAGGTACATTCTTTCACCTTTGGTGGACATGCCCAAGGATTAAGGCTTTCTGGGAGATGATTTATAATGAAATGAAAAGGGTATTTAAATATACCTTCTTGAAGAAACCAGAGCTATAATATATTAAGTTAAAGGATTAAGATAAAAATAAAGAGGGAAAGGAATTGCTGAATTAATCAACTGAACTGGAATACAAAAAAGGGAGGCGAGAGGAGGTCAGGGAAACAAGTAAATGAAATGTAAGGTATGGAAAGATTGATTTGTTTTTTAAGTCTCTTTTATTTTTTATGTATTTTGTATTTTCTTTTTTCTCTATTTTTCTTTTTTCTATATATGTAACCTTTTTTTGGGAAACCTTAATAAATATCATTTAAAAAACAACAAAAAAACAAGATAGTGCATGCCAATCCCCAGCTTGCTCCTTGAGTTGCAGAGAAAGTGGCCCTGCCCAACCTTCCTGGCTAGCTTCCAACCCCAAGTGAGCTTCAAGAAACACCTGCAATATTGCCAACAGCTACCTGTAACCAAAAGTTACAAAAGAGGCAGTCCCTGACCCAATCTCCTTCTCCAGCTATCAGCCATTGCATCACTCTTCCCTCCTCCCAAGTCTTTTGGATTCTTGCTTACCCACGCATCCACCGCCACCTCGCCCTCCCGCCCCCCAAACACAGAACCACACCCAAGCACCCAGCAGCCTTGCTTTCAGATGTGAATGTGTGATATGTTTGCCCTAGAGCAGTTCATACGTTCTTAAACTGCGCTTGCAATCTCCATCCTAGCTTCCTGCTGTCCAGGTCCCAGGGTGGCTGCCAATGTCTCATCCTTTCCCCTCCTGCAGACCAAAGGATGCTGCTCCTTAGAAATCTTGCACCACAGCTCAAGCACATTTTAAAAAAGAGCAATTTCTATTTGCCACTGTGCGCCAGTTCCACAGTCCTGGGATCCTTACTCCGTTCACCACAAGACTCTCACCTATCCATCGCTGCACCATCTTTCCCCTTTATAACTTCCTCCTTCCTCTCACTAAAAACAAGTCAGGATTTCCAGTAATCCCAGCAACATAGACTATGTGGTTCTCTTCTCTCCCCCCGCCACCCGCTTTTATCCTTACACCAACTACAAATCCCACAACAACGATTTGCTCCACATCAAAATAACTCCATCAAAATAAGCTCCACATCAAAATAACTTGCTTGGTGGTGGAGACACACATGACCTTCTCTGAACTGCAAACTGAGATGAAATCCTACAGCCAACGCGACTTCATGTGCGTTAACACCTTCCTGGGTTTGGAGAGGACAGGATAGGAGAGGATTCCTCCTACTGAGCGCCCTTTTCTCAAACCAGCTGACAGTTGTTTTGCTGAACATAAAGGTAGCACGCTTAGGGGAGCAAATTATTTTTAGTCTTGCAGACCCCAGGGGAAAGTTAAGAGTGCCGTATATGAGATTGCAGTAGTAAACTGTAAGAAATGCAGCAGCCACAAGCCAGCCCCGTATGTCTGATATTATGGGATGGGCATCTTAATTCAATGTTTATGTTTGCGGCTTTAATACAACCAGACGGCAAGTGTCCCTGTGTATCTTTCTGAAGTACTGTCTTCCTGCTCCTTCTTCCCTTCACCAAGGGCAGTAGCAGGAGAGCATCTGCTTCGCTGAAGGTCCCAGGGTCAAGCCAGGTGGAACTGGGAACATCTGTATAAGGCAGCTTCCTGTTCCTACGAAAACGGTGCTGTTTCAGAATTTGTTTTTGTGCTGCTTTCCCTGGCATCGTCCACCATGTGCACAGATTCCTATGTTCCTAAGTGAACAATGATTTATGTCTTACTGAGCCATTACTCAGCCTGCATGTTGGCCCAGCCCTCGTATATCCAGAAACCGAAGACAGGTTTCCTCCTAAAGAGGTCTAGAATATCACTGAAGTGGCCAGGCTCAGAGGCTTAGGTTTCTCTCAGCCTCTCTCACACAGGCCAGAGTTTCTAGTTTCAATGCAGCTGTAGGATTGCCTCCATGGTTGAAGAGGAGTAAACAATGTCTCCAAAGCCAGAAATGGCCACCGAAGTGTTGCGTTTAGCATCACTGTAATGCAGAAGACAGCATCTTAAAAAGCAGAGACATCACCTTGCCAACAAAGGTCCGTATAGTTAAAGCTATGGTTTTCCCAGTAGTGATGTATGGAAGTGAGAGCTGGACCATAAAGAAGGCTGATCGCCGAAGAATTTATGTTTTTGAATTCTGGTGCTGGAGGAGACTCTTGAGAGTCCCATTGACTGCAAGAAGATCAAACCTCTCCATTCTGAAGGAAATCAGCCCTGAGTGCTCACTGGAAGGACAGATCCTGAAGCTGAGGCTCCAAGACTTTGGCCACCTCATGAGAAGAGAAGACTCCCTGGAAAAGACCCTGATGTTGGGAAAGATGGAGGGCACAAGGAGAAGGGGACAATGGAGGATGAGATGGTTGGACAGTGTTCTCGAAGCTACCAGCATGAGTTTGACCAAACTGCGGGAGGCAGTGGAAGACAGGAGTGCCTGGCGTGCTCTGGTTCAGGGGGTCACGAAGAGTTGGACACGACTAAGCGACTAAACAACAGCAATGCAGAGGAGGGAACTGTGCATCCCTCCAAATGTTGTTGGGACTCCTAATTCCCATCAGCTCCAATGAAGCTGAATGTTGGAAGGCTCAGGACAGATAAAAGAATTTATTCAAGCAGTGCACACCTGTAGGCAGTCAGGCATGGCCACCAAACTCGATGGCTTTAAAAGACGATTAGACAAATACATGGAGGAGGAGAGGGTCAGACTTTATGAGCCTTGGGGTCCCTTCCAACTCTACAGCTCCACGATTCCACCCCTTCCTCTTGCTAAAAGATTCCCAGCTCTTAAAAGGCAAAAGCTTGGCGTGCCAATTCAACAAAGGCATGGATTCTGAGCCCTGACAACGCACAGGTTTTTAGCTGTTGTGATATACCCAGCCTCATACACCTGGGGCCAAAGTGCACATACCTTTGGGAGGAAAGGTGAGAAGACATACATTGAATTTGCTCTGCTACAAGTTAGTCATTATAATTATTTGATTGCTTAGGAATTGCTTGATTTAAGCAAACGGCTTTCCAGTAACGCAACCTAATAAAACCATGTCAAACGCATGCAGATTTTGGGGTGCGGACTGAACAGAGAACACAGATACCAGGGCATGAGAAGCTTAAGGTATTGTTGCCACATCCTTATCTTGGTGTTCTCCATATGCTTCCTAATAATAAGAGGCAAAAGCTGCCCCGTGAAAAGCCATCGTTTAACACAGCATTCAGCTCCGCTTTGGCTTCTCGGAAACCTCCCACTCGTTCCAGCAACAGCTTGTTCTCATGTCCAAGTGAATGAAGCGAACCGATCGCTCCCCTTAAACTCTCCACCCAGAGGCATCGAGCTGGAAACCGGAAGAGTGGAGGACTTTGCATCCTGGAGAAGAAGTAGGATCCAGAGAGCCAGGGTCACAGGACGGCAGCGTGAGCCTCACGCAGCTCCAGCTTGGACTCTGAACGTTAAGAAGCCAGGGCTGCCGCACAATGCCTCTTTGTTTTGGGGAGTGTGCAAAGGCGTGCATGAGAGGGCAGGGAAATTCCTTGCTTACCTAGAACCCCTGAAGAAAACAGGCAGCAGAGCTCTACAATCCAACCTCGGCTCTGACAGGAAAAGGGGCTTCCCGAAGAGACAAGCACTGGGGTGTCTGCTCTAGAAGGCTGTTTTGCTACCAGGAAGTTTCTCTTAAGAACATAAAAGGAGCGTTCTGGGCCAGCCCAATGGCCCATCTAGTCCGGCATCCTGTTCTCACAGCAAGCAAGCACATGCCCCAAAGGGAAGCCCACAAGCAGGATTTGAACCCAAGAGCAGCACTCTCCCCACCTGTGATTCCCCCCAGCTGGTATTCTGAAACACAGGCCTGTAGTCAACAAGGTCCAAGAGCAGATCCGCAACAGTGGAAGACCTGAAAAGCAGAGCTCGCTCCATCAGGCACCTCCTGCCCCTGAACTAAGCCAGCAGATCATTATCGGAGCAAGTGTTTAGAACAGGGGTTGGCAACCTAAGGCCCATGGGCCACAAGCGGCCCGTGGGGGTCATTTAACCAGCCCATGGACCCCTGCCGCCCGCTCGGTCAGCTCCCGTGTGCCGCGCTAAACCGGCACGGAACAGAGCGGGGACTGCCTTCCGTGACACTGGCCGGCTTCCCATTGGCTGCAGGAAGCTGCGCATGCCTCCTCCGCATTGGAAATAGCGTTTGCACATGCGTGCATGCGCGCGTGCACACACGCTGGCCCACCGCACTATCTGCGGGACCGTGAACCGGCCCAAGCCACAAAAACTTTGCCGACCCCTGGTTTAGAATCTGGTGCCTGAGTTTTAATTTTCCTCAGCCCACCCTGTTCCTTTTTCCTTGTGTGCTGTGGGGTTTAGATTGTAAGCGTGCGGGTAGGGACTGTATTGCTTCGATTGGGAGCCTTTTTGGCTGAAGAGCGGGGTGCCAAATGCTCTAAATAAATAAACAAAAGTCATATATTAATTTCAAGGAGTCTACTCTGAGTAGGACAAGCCCGGGCTGCCACCCATGCTGCTGTCAACAGTGGAGTTCGATGGGGCTGTTGCAATTAAAGACCATCAGATCAGTGTCCCCAGGATAACCTTGTATGAGTATTCAGTTTAAGCTCCAACAGGAAAACCTGGAATCAACTCTTTAATTGAATCTTGCAGCGTTCGAGTCAATTGCAAAGGAGGCTGCACAGCCCCATCTGCTTGGGGCAAGCTTCTACCCCACAGCAGACAAAGTGGGGAGCTGGTGGGGAGGAAATCCTGAACCACTCATTAAACCACAATGCAATTTAGTGGCAAAAAAATCAACAGAGTAACTTGAGCACCAGTGAAAGGGCTGGAAATTTTTCCATTACTGATACCTCGTTTTACCAAATAACATGTTCCACTTTTAGAAATGCCTCGTTTCGTGAAATTAATCTGTTAAATAAAAATTTAAAAAAGAGTACAGCAGTCAAGTTGGACAATCTGAAAGTTGTGCTTCAATTTTCCAGGTGAACAACCCTTGAAAGCATTCAATATATAATGCGCACTAATGTGTTTTATGAATGTGTGTGAACACTTGGGGTTGGATGAGGGAAGCATTAAATTACAAATAATCTAGACATGCTAGTCGGATTCTGATTGATTTAGGATTATTAGAAAATTTTCCAGAAAGTGTCTTATTCAAAATTTCCCGAAACATGCGCATCTCTGCCGACTGAGTTATGGTCTGTTATAATCACTACAGAATAAATATTCATATTTTCCATAAATCAGGTTTTGATAACAGGATGGATTATTAAATCTGTGTGCATGTGCACTGACTTATCCTTGTGAAAGTATTATTCCGGCTGCCCCAATATGGGTCGGGGCAGGAGCTATATAAATCTTTCTGGACAGGCTTTTGGGTATTTTCCCTGGCAACGAAACCAATGAAAATGAGGTCAGGAGAGAGGGACAAACAACTGTGTTGTGTGTCTAATGAAAGTTTAATCCAGACAGCCTTCACCTTCAACGGAAATTGCCTACACATTATCTGTTTTTTCTTGGTGACCATCACAGTTATAAGATCCAATTTCCTATCTGAAAAAAATATCTGATTTTGTCCTCAGGCAGCTTAAAGTTCCTAGGTCTCCTGTTATTTGCTTTGTTATTTGCTTTCTTGGAAATCAAAACTGAAGCCCCACAGAAACTACAATTAGGTGGTTAGCCTGTTTGGACAGGGAGAAAAGGATTGTAACAGGCGGCAGCACTGTGATTATTCAGAGTTGAGAGACCTTTGAATCTGCTTCTGGTCCAAGTCACTGATTCTGGCTCCTGCATCGAAGAAGGATATTAGAATACAGAAGGTGGGAAAGGTGCAAAAAAAGGCAACCAAAATGATCAGAGAACATTCTTCACATAATGTATACACGGCTAAACTATGGAATCTGATACTCTTAAGATGTTGCAACCACCATCAACTTCAACGGCTTAAACAGACATTTAGGGTAGGGTTACCAGACGTCCCCGTTTCCCGGGGACAGTCCCCAGATTTGCAAATCTGTCCCTGGGAAACATGGCAGTGGCAGTCAGCAGCCCAGAGTCAGCCTGGTAGCCCAGTTGGCTCTGGTTGGCTTCAGGAGCTGATCGCTGCTGTGGCGCCCATCATTTTTCCTTGCCAGAAGGCCCCATATGATGTGTCTTGTGCGTAACACATCATATGAGGAGTTCGTGTGAGGAAAAATGGAGGGTGCCACGGCAGCGAGCAGCTCCTGAAGCCCGCCAGAGCCAACTGTACTACCAGGCTGGCTACGGGCTGCTGACTGCCGCTGCCACTGCTGAAGGGGAACCGGGGACGTCTGGCAGTACAGATCTCCTTTCCCCTTTGTTTTGACTGATGGGGTAAAACTCTGCGCATTTATGTTTCACAGGGTGCAAAAGAAGGGCTTTGCAACTTTATACAATATGCATGTGTGCTTGGGCCCAGGGTCTTTTTCCTCACCATGCCCACTACTGACTCCCTGTTGCTAGGTAAAGGTAGCAAAGGTACCATTAGGTCCAGTTGTGGCCAATTCTGGGGTTGCAGCGCTCATCTCGCTTTATTGGCCGAGGGAGCTGGCATACAGCTTCCAGGTCATGTGGCCAGCATGACTAAGCCGCTTCTGGCGAACCAGAGCAGCGCACAGAAACGCCATTTACCTTCCCGCCAGAGCGGTCCCTATTTATCTACTTGCACTTTGTGCTTTTGAACTGCTAGGTTGGCAGGAGCAGGAACCGAGCAATGGGAGCTCACCCCGTCGCAGGGATTCGAACCGCCGACCTTCTGATTGGCAAGTCCTAGGCTCTGTGGTTTAACCCACAGCGCCACCCGCGTCCCTTGCCCACTACTGACTCCCTGTTGCTACTCAGCTTCAAAAAAAAAAAAAAAAAAAGTGTCCCCGGATTCATTGAAACGCAGGTGAATACCAGTGTCACGCAGGTGAATACCAGTTGCTTGGAACAGCAGCAGGAGGTGCCCCCTGGAAGATAACAGAAGAAAACAGGATTCTGGACCAGGTGGGCCTTTGGTGTGATCCTGCAGGGTTCGTCTCACGTTCTAAGATGCAGACATGAGCTCCTCCTGTTGACAAGGAGGCTGCGTCCCCCCCCCAAAAGGCTGCCTCTCAGATAATCAGCTCATTCCTCTAACTCTCAAGAGCAATTCAAAAATCTCAAGTGACTCGGCCCCCTCAAGTTAAGCTGGTAATAATCAGGCCACTCCAAATCCACAGCTATCGGCAAAAATGGCAAGACATGCAGATAAGCATGTCGGCACCACGCAGCAATATTCAAAACTGTCTCTTATTGAACCAGCTTCTATTAGAGAAAGGAAGTCTGACCATTTGAGTCTCACATATGGCAGAAAGGTGCAGATGGAAGCAAAAAGGTTTATTCCTAAGGGGGCAATCTGGACCACAGACAAGACCGGGTGCCTTCTTATGCCTAAGGTTCAGCAACTACGACAAAGCAAACTGAAAGGGATGTGGGTGACCACTCAGAGGTGGATTTTTAGAGGAATGATTTGTGCAGAAAACCACAGTCCCAATGGACTGCAGAACCATGGTGACCGGCCAGTCGTTCTGACTGCAAAACTGCACAACTGAAAGGAAAGACAGAGGCATTCTATCTACCCCAAGATTTAAAGAAGTAAAAAACAAGAAAAACAAGAAAACACTCCTCCGACCCTCCAAAGCACCAGAAAAATTAAGAATTGTATATGAATGCACTTGCTCAAGGGGAGAACAGCAGGAGAGAAAAGCGAGGGGGCATTGAGCAAAACCACCCGCGCACAGGGCAGCATGAATTTTAACCTCTGAGGACAAACATTTATGCTGGGCCTCGCCTTTGTGAGCAGGGAGGATGGAAACAGGAAGAACAGTAAGCGGTTGTGGGGGGGGGAGAGAAAGAGAATGGGGGAGCAGACTGGGGACACAGAGAAGCAGTTGGTTACACGTCCCCCTTGTATTTCACCAACCCCAATCCCTAAAATATCATCAGGAGAGTTACAGACATTTGTAGGAAAATCCCACTACTGGGTCTGTTTTGCAAACTGAAACGGTTTCCTCCACTCAAACCACTCATCTACAGGGAGGCACAATTTTTGACTAGCCTTGTTCACAAAGATAAAAAAAGGGTGACAGCCTGCCTTTGCCTCTGGACAGTTTGTGCCTAAGGAAGCCCCAGCCCAATCTCATTTTCCAACAAGAGCAGGAGGCCTGCAGCTAGCCTGTGTGGTCCTCTCTTGGGCAATGTGCTCCAGGTGTCTCAGCCGCATGGCTGCCAAGCAAGACTCCAGTCGTCCTTTCCCTGGGAAAATGAAGCCGCCCATTTGGCTGCCACTCAGCCAAGGAGCTCCGAGATGCTCAGGGTGACATTTTTAGCCCATCTTCCTCTCCAAATAGCTCAAGGTGGCATACATGGTTTTCCCCTGACTCATTTAATCATCTGGGGAGCGTGGGGAGCTGAGCCTCCTTCGCAGCCTTGGAGCTGCAAAAGTTGGTGGTGATCAGCCCTGGAGTTTCATAGGCATCTCTACCCTGCTCCAAGATTGGGAGGAAAGGCAGGAGTGGTTTGGCCACTACATTGCTAAGAAAGGCAGCGTGGTGTAGTGGGTAGAGGGCCAGACCATGACCTGGGAGAGCAGGATTCAAACACCCACTTGGCCATGATGTATCATAAAAAAACCCCTATATATCACAGGGTTGCCATGAGGATAACATTGGGAGAAGTAGGCACACCACCTTGTGCTCCTTGCCAAAAAGGTGGGATATAAATACTGAGTCATGATCACTGTCCCTCTAGCTGAGTATTGTTGACACAGAAAGCGATGGCTTCGCAGGACTTTGGACAATGAGTCTTTTTGAGCCCGACTTGGAGAGGATGGGGATTGAACCCGCGACTGCTCCGCCACCGAGTTGTAACTACCAGCCACGCCCTGCAATCTGCTCCTTGCCAAAGGAACTAACATTTGGCATTGCCTGAACTAAGCCGCTGAGATTTCGCAATTCCACCATTTACTCCCACATGGCTCTTTCACCAGATGAAGCCCTGACAGTCAGCACATGTCTGGAAAACTTAAATTAACAGCAGGGATGGGGACGGAGGAGAAGAACGCATGTTGACTCTTTGGGGATGTGTAAGGTCCCTCGCGAACCTCGGCACCACAGGTGAAACCTGATTAACCCAAAAGTTGTCACAAGTCCTCTGTGTGGAGACCATGCACAGGCTGCCCCTTGCTCACTGCAGGAGAGGATTCTCATGCGCTTGCAGCTGCCCCCTTACACTCTCTTCCCACATGGGAATCATTAATGAGAATCTGTCCTACGATTCTATCTGATTACAGTGGTAAGGTAAAGGTAAAGGGACCCCTGACCATTAGGTCCAGTCGTGGCCGACTCTGGGGTTGCGGTGCTCATCTCACTTTATTGGCCGAGGGAGCTGGTGTACAGCTTCCGGGTCATGTGGCCAGCATGACTAAGCCGCTTCTGGCGAACCAGAGCAGTGCACAGAAACGCCGTTTATCTTCCTGCCGGAGCGTTACCTATTTATCTACTTGCACTTTGATGTGCTTTTGAACTGCTAGGTTGGCAGGAGCAGGGACCGAGCAACGGGAGCTCACCCTGTCGTGGGGATTCGAACCGCCAACCTTCTAATCGGCAAGCCCTAGGCTCTGTGGTTTAACCCACAGCGCCACCCGCATCCCAATACAGTGGTACCTTGGGTTAAGTACTTAATTCATTCCGGAGGTCCGTTCTTAACCTGAAACTTCTTAACCTGAAGCACCACTTTAGCTAATGGGGCCTCCCGCTGCTGCCGCACAGCTGGAGCGCGATTTCTGTTCTCATCCTGAAGCCAAGTTCTTAACCTGAAGCACTATTTCTGGGTTAGCGGAGTCTGTAACCTGAAGCGTATGTAACCCAAGGTACAACTGTATATTTCCTGCATTGCCTGGGGTCAGACTAGATGACCCTTGAGGGTCCCTTTCCAACTCTACAACCCTATCAACTGACTGGGGTCAAGGAGCTCCAGGGGGCGCCCAGGGCATTCTCCGCCGCCTCATTCCACCCTCCCAACAACCCTGCGAAGGAGGTCGGGCGGCGAGGCCCAAGGCCGCACCCGGGGAGCTTCGCAGTCCAGCTGAAGGGTCTCTCCCGGGCCCTCGCTTGACCCCCTAACCGCCCCCACCCCGCCGGCTTCCGAAGAGAAGAAGAGACCCAGGAAGGCCGGCGTGGAAGCGGCTGCACGAAGGAGCCACCCAAGCGGCTCTGCCCATCTTGCAGCCCGGGCACGTGAGAACCGGCAAACACGTGGCAGCCGCTCGCTCGCTCGCTCCCTTCTGCGTTGCTGCCCGGCGGGGAGTTCCGCAGGCGCCCGGCCAGGGGGGGGGGGGCTTCCATGGCCGGCCCTGTGAGGGGAAAGGCAGGAGGGCCGGGAAGGAGGAGGAGGAGGCCCCGGCGGGGAGACGCGGAGGCCCCTCCGGCGCCTGAGAGGAAGGGCGGGTCCCGCGTGCAGCCCGGAGAACGAGGGGGGAGGGAGAGGGGTCCCCAAAGGTCATCCAGCCGGTCCCCCGCCGCCCCCTCAGCGCGCCCACCTTGTACTTGTCGAAGCCGGCCAGCTGCTCGGCGCTCACGTACTCGTAGCCGGCCATGGCGGAGGCTGTCGGGGAGCGAGAGCGAGAGAGAGAGAGACGCGCCTCGCCGCCGTGACAGGCGCCGCCGGGCAGCTCCCTCACAGCTCCCTCACAGCGCGCGCGCCCGGCTTGGCGAAGGAGCGGCGCGGCCCGCCCTCGCCGGCTTCCGTACCTCGCCCCGCCCCCGCCTTCCCGCTCGCCGCGACAGATCAGCCCACCCGTGACGTCAGCGAGGCGCTCCCCGCCCTCCCTCCCTCCTTCCTTCCTTCCCCGGCTCCTCGCTCCCGCGGAGCCATCTTGGGAGAGGCAACGGGCGACGCCGCCTCTGGGCACGTGACGGCGTCGCGAGAGCGGCCCTCCCGTGACGTCGGCGAGGCACCTCCCTCCCGCGGAACGGCGGCGTCCTCTGACGCGCGCGATCCCCCGGCGCCCAATTGGTAGCGAGCACTGTCACTCTTGGCTTTGGGGTCCAATAGGGGTCCTTTAATCCTTCCCGGTGCCCGCCTTCCGTATTGATTGATGGGCGGCTCCCGCCCACCCACTCTGCCTGGAAGTTTCTGATTGGGCGGGACTCGGGAGAAACCTACGGAGGGCTGCAGGCACTGGTCTCTCCTTGCGCCCGCCTCCCTGCCTCCGTCGTTCCGCCGCCCGCTGCCCTAAGCGCCATTCCTGTCTCCGCCGGAAGGGGCGCTCTCCCTCCCCCAGGCTCTGCACTCCTCTGCCCTCCGCTGCCCTCTTTCCTCTGCTGCGGCGCTTCTGGATGAAATGCCAGGGAATTTGCCCCGCATCGCCATCGGCAGCCTGCCAGCCTTTAGGAACACGCAGGCCTCCCCGGCGTCTCCTGCCCCGAGTACTGGGTTTTAATCATAGAATCATAGAGTTGGAAGAGACCCCAAGGGCCATCGCGTCCAACCCCCTGCCAAGCAGGAAACACCATCAGAGCACTCCTGACATATGGTTGTCAAGCCTCTGCTTAAAGACCTCCAAAGAAGGAGACTCCACCACACTCCTTGGCAGCAAATTCCACTGTCAAACAGCTCTTACTGTCAGGAAGTTCTTCCTAATGTTTAGGTGGAATCTTCTTTCTTGTAGTTTGGATCCATTGCTCCGTGTCCGCTTCTCTGGAGCAGCAGAAAACAACCTTTCTCCCTCCTCTATGTGACATCCTTTTATATATTGGAACATGGCTATCATATCACCCCTTAACCTCCTCTTCTCCAGGCTAAACATGCCCAGCTCCCTTAGCCGTTCCTCGTAAGGCATCGTTTCCAGGCCTTTGACCATTTTGGTTGCCCTCCTCTGGACACGTTCCAGTTTGTCAGTGTCCTTCTTGAACTGTGGTGCCCAGAACTGGACACAGTACTCCAGGTGAGGTCTGACCAGAGCAGAATACAGTGGCACTATTACTTCCCTTGATCTAGATGCTATACTCCTATTGATGCAGCCCAGAATTGCATTGGCTTGTTTAGCTGCCGCGTCACACTGTTGGCTCATGTCAAGTTTGTGGTCAACCAAGACTCCTAGATCCTTTTCACATGTACTGCTCTCAAGCCAGGTGTCCCCCATCTTGTATTTGTGCCTCTCATTTTTTTGCCCAAGTGCAATACTTTACATTTCTCCCTGTTAAAATTCATCTTGTTTGTTTTGGCCCAGTTTTCTAATCTGTCAAGGTCGTTTTGAAGTGTGATCCTGTCCTCTGGGGTGTTAGCCACCCCTCCCAGTTTGGTGTCATCTGCAAATTTGATCAGGATGCCCTTGAGTCCATCATCCAAGTCGTTGAGAAATCTGTGTCTTTTTTCAATCCAATGGCTTTGTGGCACGCTTTGATTGGCACTGCTTCTCCTGTACAGTATTGCAATGCTTTAGAGCAGTATTTCCCAAGCTTGGGTCTCCAGCTGTTTTTGCAGTACAACTCCCATCACATCATCCCTAGCTAGCAAGACGAGTGTTCAGGGATGATGGGAATTGCAGTCCCATAACAGCTCCCTGCTTATTTAACTTATATGCAGAATTCATCATGCGAAAGGCTGGGCTGGATGAATCCCAAGCCGGAATTAAGATCACCGGAAGAAATATCAACAACCTCAGATACGCAGATGACACAACCTTGATGGCAGAAAGTGAGGAGGAATTAAAGAACCTTTTAATGAGGGTGAAAGAGGAGAGCGCAAAATATGGTCTGAAGCTCAACATCAAAAAAACGAATATCATGGCCACTGGTCCCATCACCTCCTGGCAAATGGAAGGGGAAGAAATGGAGACAGTGAGAGATTTTACTTGGGCTCCATGGTCACTGCAGATGGTGACAGCAGCCACAAAATTAAAAGACACCTGCTCCTTGGGAGAAAGGCGATGGCAAACCTAGACAACATCTTAAAAAGCAGAGGCATCACCTTGCCAACAAAGGTCCATATTGTAAAAGCCATGGTTTTCCCAGTAGTGATGTATGGAAGTGAGAGCTGGACCATAAAGAAGGCTGATCGCCGAAGAATGGATGCTTTTGAATTCTGGTGCTGGAGGAGACTCTGGAGAGTCCCATGGACTGCAAGAAGATCAAACCTCTCCATTCTGAAGGAAATAAGCCCTAAGTGCTCACTGGAAGGACAGATCGTGAAGCTGAGGCTCCAATACTTTGGCCACCTCATGAGAAGAGAAGACTCGCTGGAAAAGACCCTGATGTTGGGAAAGATGGAGGGCACAAGGAGAAGGGGACGACAGAGGACGAGATGGTGGGACAGTGTTCTCGAAGCTACCAGCCTGAGTTTGACCAAACTGCGGGAGGCAGTGGAATGGGAAAACCAGAGCTTTAACTATACGGACCTTTGTTGGCAAGGTGATGTCTCCTTTTTAAGATGCTGTCTAGGTTTGCCATCGCCTTTCTCCCAAGAAGCAGGCGTCTTTTAATTTTGTGACTGCTGTCACCATCTGCAGTGATCATGGAGCCCAAGAAAGTAAAATCTCTCACTGCCTCCATTTCTTCCCCTTCTATTTGCCAGGGGGATTCTATTTAACTTAATATATGTAGGAACACAAGTGAATAGCAAAGAACCTGCAGGAGCAACGCTGACACCCAACGATAAAGCATCTGTTACTGGAATTTTTATAAAGATTGGGGGGTGTTACTCCCTCCCCTCCAGCACACAACATACACTCCCCCTTGCAAATGCCCCCACTAAACTCTTTGTCCCCCAATTCTTTCCTATCTCTGGCTCCTCCCCTGGCCACGCCCCTGCCCCGCCCACTTCCTGAGCCTCGCCGGCCACCGTCGCCGCCTCTCGCTCCCGCCAAGATTCAAACGGAGGCAGCTGCGCAGGGACTGGGCGGTGTCCGGCTCTCCCAGGTGGGGGGGAAGATCGAAGGAGGCGCGGGGGGGGGGGCGGGGGTCGCAGAGGGAGGGGGCGTCGGGCGTCACCCCCCAGCTTCAAATAAAGTGCCTGGGAGGAAAAGCGACCCCAGGATGTCGGCCCCCCAGTTCCCAAGGAAGGGGGTTGATGATGGGGGGGGGTCCTTGGATTGCGCAGGGCCTTGGGGGGCTCGCAAACCCTGGCCCCTAACTGTCCCCCCATCCTCCCCTAACTGTCCCCCCATCCTCCCCTAACTGCCCCCCAGATCCTCCCCTAAGTGTCCCCCCATCCTCCCCTAACTGCCCCCCAGATCCTCCCCTAACTGCCCCCCAGATCCTCCCCTAACTGCCCCCCCAGATCCTCCCCAACTGTCTACCCCAGATCCTCCCCTGTCCCCCCAGCTCCTCCCCTAACTGCCCCCCAGATCCTCCCCTAACTGTCCCCCCATCCTCCCTTAACTGTCCCCCCCAGATCCTCCCCAACTGTCTCCCCCAGATCCTCCCCTGTCCCCCCAGCTCCTCCCCTAACTGCCCCCCAGATCCTCCCCTAACTGCCCCCAGATCCTCTCCTAACTGCCCCCCCAGATCCTCCCCTAACTGCCCCCCAGATCCTCCCCAACTGTCTACCCCAGATCCTCCCCTGTCCCCCCAGATCCTTCCCTGTCCCCCCATCCTCCCCAACTGTCTACCCCAGATCCTCCCCAACTGTCTACCCCAGCTCCTCCCCTGTCCCCCCATCCTCCCTTAACTGTCCCCCCCAGATCCTCCCCAACTGTCTCCCCCAGATCCTCCCCTGTCCCCCCCCAGCTCCTCCCCTAACTGCCCCCCAGATCCTCTCCTAACTGCCCCCCCCAGCTCCTCCCCTAACTGCCCCCCCAGCTCCTCCCAAACCTCCCCCGCAGCTTTTTATTTTGGAGGTTGCAAAGGACCCTGGCTGGGGACGCGGTTCGTTTAAGGATTTCCTCCCAGCCCCCGTCGAAATTAGAAACCTAGAAGAGGCGCCCTCCCCGGGACGTGGCACTTCAGGGGGAGTTTTTCTTAGGATTGGGGGGTCATGGTGGTCATGTATGGGGAAGTGGGGTGCAGTGGGTTTGCGACAGCCCCAGTCCCTACCACAAAAAGGTAAAGGGACCCCTGACCATTAGGTCCCGTCGTGGCCGACTCTGGGGTTGCGGCGCTCATTGTGCTTTATTGGCCAAGGAAGCTGGCATACAGCTTCCGGGTCATGTGGCCAGCAGGACTAAGCCGCTTCTGGCGAACCAGAGCAGCGCATGGAAACGCCATTTACCTTCCCGCCGGAGCGGTACCTATTTATCTACTTGCACTTTGACGTGCTTTCAAACTGCTAGGTGGGCAGGAGCAGGGACCGAGCAACGGGAGCTCACCCTGTTGCGGGGATTCAAACTCCCGACCTTCTGATCGGAAAGCCCAAGAGGCTCAGTGGTTTAACCTACAGTGCCACCCGCGTCCCATAGCTGTCAACTTTTCCCTTTTCTTGCGAGGAATCCTATTCGGAATAAGGGAATTTCCCTTTGAAAAAGGGAAACGTTGACAGCTATGGTCCCTACACACCTACACCCCGAATGCTCCCCAAACTCCCCCCCCTTTATTTTTATGATTGAAAGTTGTTTAAAACTGCTTTTAACGTGGGGTTTTAAGTGCCCTAAACCATCCTGGGAACTTAGGGTTGAACGGTGGGTAGATATTGGCGATGATAACAACCGTGGGGAGAGCAATAGGGACTGTAATAACTCTTCTCTCTCTCCCAACAGAATAATTCTCAGCCATGGATGCACAAACTGCTTTCAAGACCCCTAGCAAGCCTCCTGGGGGGAAGAGATCAGGTGAGGCTGTGCTTTGTCAACGTGTGTTAGGGAGTGTTACAGGCAAAATTGGGTGCTCGTTTTAACTATAAATGTTTCCCTCTATAATAAATAACAAGAGGAAAGATTAAAAAAAAAAAACCTTTATAAAAAGATGATCCAAAAAGAACTCCCTTAAGAGAATCAAGTCTTTTTGCCTGAAGACAGTCTTTAAAAGAATCTTTAAGCATCTTTATAGATGTTTCCCTCTGTGTTACAGATGGGGAATCTGTGGCCCAGAATCTCTGAGCACTGGCCACATAATAATAATAATAATAATAATAATAATAATAATAATAATAATAATAGTTTATTATTTATACCCTGCCCATGTGGCTGGGTTTCCCCAGCCGCTCTGGGCAGCTTCCAACTGAATATTAAAAATACAATACAGCATCAGACATTAAAAACTTCCCTAAACAGGGCCGCCTTCAGTTGTCTTTTAAAAGTAAAATACAGTGGTACCTCAGGTTACAGACGCTTCATGTTACAGACTCCGCTAACCCAGAAATAGTACCTCAGGTTAAGAACTTTGCTTCAGGATGAGAACAGAAATCACGGCAGCAGGAGGCCCCATTAGCTAAATTGGTGCTTCAGGTTAAAAACAGTTTCAGGTTAAGAACAGACCTCCAGAACGAATTAAGTTCTTAACCTGAGCTACCACTGTAGTTGTTTATTGTCTTGACATCTGGTGGGAGGGTATTCCACAGGGCAGGCGCCACCACCGAGAAGGCCCTCTGCCTGGTTCCCTATAACTTGGCTTCTTGCAGAAGGCCCTCGGAGCTGGACCTCAGTGTCCGGGCAGAACGATGGGGGTGGAGAGGCTCCTTTAGGTATACAGGACCAAGGCCGTTGGCGTGGATTCATGGGATTTGGCATCCAACCACATCTTGAGGGCCACAGAGCCCCCATCCCTGCTATAGCTAAATCTCCCTGGCAGAAGCAGATGAGAGGTTTTTGTTTTGCTCCCACTGCTTTTCTCCTCCAGGGCAGTGAGTGAATGGTCTCTAAATATTGGGACTACAGGTCCCATCATGCCTCCCCATTGGCCATAGTGGGTGGGGCAGGTGGAGGCTGAAGTGGAGACTATTTGAGGGCACAAGTTTGGGGAAAGCTGGTTAGAAGGATTCAAATGGAGTCTTGCCATACCCTGCTCTGTTTGAAAAACTTGTAGCAGGAGGGGGTTTGCCATCCTTAAGAAGGGGAAGAACGTCTCAGGTGTGTTACTCTTCCGCTGTATATGGAAAACACATGGGGTGGCGATCTTTCTATTTCAAAAATTTTCTTTTGTTTTGTTTTCACAACATTATAAACAAACAAACACATAAGACAAACAAACATAAATCATAGCCTTATTAAAAATTACACTTATTCACATTGTTAAGTGACTTCCTCGCATCCCCTTGGTTGAATTTCATTGCATATCCTTTTAACGGTTTTCCAAATCACAGTTCTTATAAAATTTAACTTAAACATTAACACCCTTAAATCTTCACATTATGAAATTATACATATTAATTCATCACTTAACATAAATAAAATCCTAAGCCAATTAAGTATCTGCAAGCTGTTTTCAGTTAATTTAACTTAACATATTTAACTAAGTAATCATTAAATTTAATCCACTCTTCCTGATACTCCTCCTCCTTCCGGTTGCGGACTCTTCCGGTCAGGTCGGCTAGCTCCGAAAAATCCATCATCTTCATCTGCCATTCTTCTATCGTTGGTAATTCTTGGGTTTTCCACTTTTTACATGGGGTGGCGATCTTTCTTGCATGTCTAATAACAAAAGCAACATCTCTGTTTTTGCAAATACAGGGCAGAGTGGCTCTTCACCCTCAATAGCTATTCCGGCCTCTCCCTTCATGCAGAAACTTGGCTATGGAACTGGAGTCAATGTTTATCTTATGAAAAGGTAAGTTGTCTTAAACGATGGCGGGGACTTCAAGCAGCAAGACTGATATTGCCAAGTGGAGTGGATTTATGCTGCTGGGGGCTGGGAAAGAATATGTATTTATTAAATGCGTATCTTGCTCCTTCCTGCCTAAGGATCCCAGGGCGCACTGGTGTTGAAACCTCAAAATAAAACAAGTGCAATTAAAAAATAAAACAACTACTTCCAGAAACAGATGCTCTCACAGGTAGTAATTTAAAAGCTGCCAGGAATATTTGGTTTAGTAAAGCACCTGCCAGATTTTGGGTAGAGAAGGCGGTCTCCCCTGGGTCTATATGCCTATTGGGGTGAGTTGCCTTTCCCTGTGGCTCAGATGGTGGAAACACTTAACTGCTGCGCAGGCTAATTCATATGGCGTCTCCTGGTTGTTCTTAACATGTACTTACAATGTACAGTGGTACCTCGGGTTACATACGCTTCAGGTTACAGACTCCACTAACCCAGAAATAGTACCTTGGGTTAAGAACTTTGCTTCAGGATGAGAACAGAAATTGTGCTCTGGCAGCAGCTTGTTGCTGTTTAGTCGTATCCGCCTCTTTGTGCCCCCCTGGACCAGAGCACGCCAGGCACTCCTGTCTTCCACTGCCTCCCGCAGTTTGGTCAAACTCATGTTAGCAGCTTCGAGAACACTGTCCCACCATCTTGTCCTCTGTCCCCTTCTCCTTGTGCCCTCCATCTTTCCCAACATCAGGGTCTTTTCCAGGGAGTCTTCTCTTCTCATGAGGTGGCCAAAGTACTGGAGCCTCAGCTTCAGGATCTGTCCTTCCCGTGAGCACTCAGGGCTGATTTCCTTCAGAATGGAGAGGTTTGATCTTCTTGCAGTCAATGGGACTCTCAAGAGTCTCCTCCAGTACCAGAATTCAAAAGCATCAATTCTTCAGCGATCAGCCTTCTTTATGGTCCAGCTCTCACTTCCATACATCGGGAGGCCCCATTAGCTAAAGTGGTGCTTCAGGTTAAGAACAGTTTCAGGTTAAGAACAGACCTCTGGAACGAATTAAGTACTTAACCTGAGGTACCACTGTACTGCAATCTGGATTGATCTGAAACTCACACATCAAAGGATTTCTGGGCTGATGTGAGGGTGTGCTTAGAGACATATTATAGTAAAATTAATTCTGAATTTGTCAGCGCGCCTGATCTAGGGTTGGGGTAAGAGAAATATGTGCCGTTTACTCCTAAATGTCATAATAATATAGCCTCTGATTGAATCTGCTACGTCAGCCATCCTCAGAGGAGGAAGAAAACACATGTTCCTGTGGTCCAAGAAATCTGGTTTGCCCAGATCCCTCTCTCTGATTTCCATAGTTTGTTTCCAGGTCTCCCAAAGGTATCTCTTGCTCTCCCTGGGCTGTGAAGAAGATCAATCTCAAATGTGACGCCAGCCAGAGAAGTACATATCAGCAAAGGCTGAATGAAGAAGCCAAGATTCTAAAAACCCTTCAGCACCCAAACATTGTGGGTAAGCTTTGAATGGGGGGAAATGGGGGGTCCTTATTCAGACCTATTAGCCAGAGGCGTGTTAATAATAATAATAATAATAATAATAATAATAATAATAATAAATTATTTATACCCCGCCCATCTGGCTGGGCTTCCCCAGCCACTTTGGGCGGCTTCCAAAAAAATATTAAAATACTGTAATACATCAAACATTAAAAGCTTCCCTAAACAGGGCTGCCTTCAGATGTCTTCTAAAAGTCTGGTAGTTGTTGTTCTCTTTGACATCTGGTGGGAGGGCGTTCCACAGGGCGGGCGCCACCACCGAGAAGGCCCTCTGCCTGGTTCCCTGCAACTTGGCTTCTCGCAGTGAGGGAACCCCCAGAAGGCCCTTGGAGCTGGACCTCAGCGACCGGGCAGAACGATGGGGGTGGAGACGCTCCTTCAGATATATTGGACTGAGGCCGTTTAGGGCTTTCAAGGTCAGCACCAACACTTTGAACTGTGCTCGGAAACGTCCTGGGAGCCAATGTAGGTCTTTCAAGACTGGTGTTATGTGGTCTCGGCGGCCGCCCCCAGTTACCAGTCTAGCTGCCGCATTCTGGATTAGTTGTAGTTTCCGGGTCACCTTCAAAGGGTTTTCCCAGGCTGATATTTCCCAGGCTGATATTTGCCTATGTGCAGACATGCAGGAGCCTGCAGCCTCATGGGCCAGCCATAACTGACATTAAAGAGTAGGGCCCACTGTTCTGTCCTATGGGAATGTAGCAGTGGGCAGGCTTGGCGGTTGTAGACCAGCTGCGGACTGCCAGGCTATGGCATGTTGAAGAAGCCTGCGTTTAAGCCCATGAGGACTTATGCGCCAATGGGATGGAGGTGGCTCTTCTAAATTATTCAGGGATGTCCAAACAGCTTTTGTTCCCTAGCTGTAAAATGTGATTAGGGAACCTGCCTCAACTAGTGGCTGGGAATTGCAAAGCACCCTACCAACTTGCCTGTCTATTGAAGAAGTGATCTTCGGATGCTCTTCCACGTTCTCTGCCATGAGTTAAAATGGGTGATGAGCTGAGAGCCTTCTTGTTTTGTTTTTTTTAAATAGTATTTATTAAGATTTTAAGTTTACAAAAAGGCAAAAGAAAACAAAACAAAAAAACAAAAAAACACCAGGTTAGACAATAGTAAAACAACACATCACAATAAAAAACAAAGAAATAAAAACACTTAAAAACAACATACAAAAAGAAAAAGAAAAGAAAAAGGCAAATCAAGCCTTCCCATAACTTATCTTTCATATGCTTGTTTCCCTGACCTCCTCACACCTCCCTTTTTTGTGTTCTAAGTCAATTATCCATTTCAGCAAATCCTTTCCCTCTCTTCAAAATTCTTATCCTGAAAATTTATCTTGATCTTACTATAAATTTACTTTCCCTCTTTTCACCAATTAACAGTCTATTTTTCTTAAATCTTTGATACATTTTTGCTAAAATCACATAGATTCATTCCAACATCATTCTAACATTCATTAATTTTACAATGTTTCTGTAAATAGTCTTTAAATTTCTTCCAATCTTCTTCCACCGACTCTTCTCCCTGGTCTCGGATTCTGCCAGTCATTTCCGCCAGTTCCATATAGTCTATCAACTTCATCTGCCATTTTTCCAGAGTGGGTAAATCTTGTGTCTTCCAATACTTTGCAATAAGTATTCTTGCTGCTGTTGTGGCATACATAAAGAAAGTTCTGTCCCTCTTTGGCACCAATTGGCCGACCATGCCCAGGAGAAAGGCCTCTGGTTTCTTCAGAAAGGTATATTTAAATACCTTTTTCATTTCATTATAGATCATCTCCCAGAAAGCCTTAATCCTTGGGCATGTCCACCAAAGGTGAAAGAATGTACCTTCCGTCTCTTTACATTTCCAGAATTTATTATCGGGCAAGTGATAAATTTTCACAAGCTTGACTGGTGTCATGTACCACCTGTATATCATTTTCATAATATTCTCTCTTAAGGCATTACATGCCGTGAACTTCATACCTGTGGTCCATAACTGTTCCCAGTCAGCCATCATAATGTTATGTCCAACGTCTTGTGCCCATTTAATCATAACAGATTTCACCGTTTCATCCTGAGTATTCCATTTCAACAGCAAATTATACATTCTTGACAAATTCTTAGTTTTGGGGTCTAACAGTTCTGTTTCCAATTTTGATTTTTCCACCTGGAAGCCAATTTTCTTGTCCAAATTATATGCCTCCATTATCTGATAATAATGAAGCCAATCTCGCACTCTATTTTTTAATTTTTCAAAACTCTGCAGTTTTAATCTGTCTCCCTCTTGTTCCAAAATTTCCCAATATTTCGGCCATTTGGCCTCCATATTGAGCTTTTTCTGAGCCTTCGCTTCCATTGGTGACAGCCATCTTGGGGTTTTATTCTCAAACAAATCCTTATATCTTATCCAAACATTAAACAGTGCTTTTCTGACAATATGATTTTTAAACACTTTATGTGCTTTGACCTTATCATACCATAGATATGCATGCCACCCAAAGACATTATTAAAACCTTCTAAATCCAACACATCAGTGTTCTCAAGAAGCATCCATTCTTTCAGCCAGCAAAAAGCGGCTGATTCATAATAAAGTTTTAAGTCTGGCAGGGCAAATCCACCTCTTTCCTTAGCATCAGTTAATATCTTAAATTTTATCCGGGGTTTCTTGCTCCAGAAGAAAAGGAGCTGAGAGCCTTCTTGATGGTGGTGCCCCGTTTTTCTCCCTAGGGAGGCATAAAGGTAAAGGGACCCCTGACGATTAGGTCCAGTCGTGGCCGACTCTGGGGTTGCGGCCCTCATCTTGCTTTACTGGCCGAGGGAGCCGGCGTACAGCCTCCGGGTCATGTGGCCAGCATGACTAAGCCGTTTCTGGCGAACCAGAGCAGCGCACGGAAATGCCGTTTACCTTCCCGCCGGAGTGGTACCTATTTATCTACTTGCACTCTGATGTGCTTTCGAACTGCTAGGTTGGCAGGAGCAGGGACCGAGCAACGGGAGCTCACCCCGGCGCAAGGATTCGATCTGCCGACCTTCTGATCGGCAAGTCCTAGGCTCTGTGGTTTAACCCACAGCGGCACCCGCATCCTAGCGCCACCCGCGTCCTAGGGAGGCATATGTAGTTGCAAAATTTTTATCATTATTATTTTATTTTATTTTATCATTTTTATCCAAGGTGTACTTTTAATACCATTACGGTTGTACCTAGGTTCTCAGATGCCTTGGTACTTGTACGTTTTGGCTCCTTAATGCTGAAAACCTGGAAGTAAGTATTCCAGTTTTGAAGCGTTCTTTGGAATGCGGACGTCCAACGCGACTTCCGCAGCTTCCGATTGAGTGCAGGATGCTCCTGCAGCCAATTGGAAGCTGTGCCTTGGTTTTCGAACGTTTTTGGAAGTCAAAC